CTGGGCGTGTGCCAGCTCATGCTTTTTACCAAACATATTGCTCACCCTATGTCTAATGCAGAGGGACGAGAGAGCCACACGACAATACGATTTGATCAGTCATGGAAAACGTAGTGGTGAAAAAGAAGAAGGAAACATATTGGAGTTTTGGTGCAGGAACAGCCAGCTAGGGCAAAAATAATATTGCAATATTGTCGATACGATATATTGTCAAAAATAATGTCCCGTAATGTAACTGTATAGATTTTCCCCCCCCCCATCACTAATGGCGAGTGTGATGCACAGGGACTCGTCTGTTGTGAAGCAGGGACGGGGAAGTGGGTACTGGCTTTGATGTGTGTGAGGCATCAGAGGCACTGAGTCCCCGTTGAAGGGCCTGGCTGTTCTGGAGAGGTGGACAGTGGAGTGCTGGTTGTGACCTCACTGAAGGACCCTAGACACACACACTTCACTCTGGTGTGTGTAATGATGAGAGGATGTCTAGGCACTGCCGGGGCTCAGGGAGCAGCGCTAGAAGGCTGGGGAGTGGAAATGATTGGTGCAGTTATTTGTAGCTCTCATGGTGACATGTATGCATGAACTTGAACACGTATACTCTAATTCAGGGATGGACAACTGGCGGCCCCCCCTTTTGAAGGCCCTCGGATAAAAAATATATATATATATATTTTTTTAACTCAGTCGGGGTCTCAACTTACTGTTGCATAGTAGAATACACAAGGTGACATTTCCAAATGTGGTTGTGCATCAGCAGATGTCATCACTCAATTAGCCCATGTCAGCATTTTTTATTTTTGATTGGTAAGTTAGTCTAGCGGCCAGCTATCTAAACGTAGTAATCATGGTCAAATTACCGGCCGGTAATGTTAGTTAGTCTCACTCAGATATCATATTAAAAACTGCAAACATTTCTCGCCACCCTACGGCATCTCATTTTCTTCTCCGCCTCAAGGCAAAATGTGTAGAATTGCATGAAATTAGTTATGAAAGTGCAGAATCTTCTCTCCACCCCATGGCAAAATGTGTGTAATTGCGAGGGAGGGGAGGGGGGGGATGCACATGTGGGTACGCAGCTCCACAAGCAACTGTGGCCCCTCATGATGAGTTCCGATTTTTTGGTGGCCCCCACCCCATCAAAGTTGCCCATCCCTGCTCTAATTTGTGTAGCTATACACACACACCCCTACATTTAGACATAGACTCTCTATCTCTCTCTCACACACACTTTCACAGTCCGCTGAATCTGCAGAGTCAGTGTGTTTTTCTTTACTCTTTTTCCCCTCCATCTGCAGCAGCAGTCCCTTTGAGGAATGTAAAACATGACAGTCTTCTGCACCATACTGTATGTCCTGTCTACGTGTTGTCCCTCCACCCTGCTGCCTGTTCTGCTGCTTCCCACGGCATGTTCCTGGTGCCTCCACGGTTCTGCTCAAATGACCACGGCCCCCTAATTTAGGATATGTCAAATCATGTGCATCGAAGATGGATATGTATGCTATATTTATGGCTCTGGTGGGTGCTAGCCTATTAGTAGTTGCCGCAAATGTCTTTTTTGGCGAGTGTACCCTATTCCACTGAATCGAATACCACTGTGATACCTTACATTTACATTTATTTTTTTTTACATTTTAGTCATTTAGCAGACGCTCTTATCCAGAGCGACTTACAGGAGCAATTAGGGTTAAGTGCCTTGCTCAAGGGCACATCGACAGATTTTTTCACCTAGTCGGCTCGGGGATTAGAACCAGCGACCTTTCGGTTACTGGCACAAAGCTCTTAACCACTAAGCTACCTACCGCAAATGTGTCATCATGTTCTTGTTTCGTTTACTTTTTATCATGATCTTTTGTTCACTCAGGTCACACAATATATATTATTTTCCTATCAACCGCTAATTCCTTTCTTTCTCTCGCTAGCTCACGCTCAATTTTTTATCTGTCTGTGTGTGTGTGTGTCTGTCTGTCTGTCTGTCTGTGTGTATCTCTCTCTGCTGCAAAGCCAGACCTCATCATCCCACAGGAACAAATCTCTCTGTTCCAAAATTGTTCCAAAAAGATTTGGATAGTATTAGGTTGATACATTTTGCATGGCATCCTATTTTAGTAGTGGAACAGAACAGACTTGCATTTTAGCTGTGTCAGCTTTCAGGCAGAAAGGCACTGGGTGCTGTCTTCTGAAACCTTGATGAAGAGGATCAGACCTCAAGTAAATCGGCTGTAAGAGGAAATACTCTGAGAATATGAATAGACTCATGAAAAGAACAGGATGTCTTCACTTTCTTAGACTTACCTCTTTTGTCACTTTCCCTAAAAGTAATCTATGGGGCCATTCTAGACTGTCGTCCATGGTTCAGATTTGTTTTAAAAGCCACTGCTAACTTGAGCTGCTCACTGAACTGTGCACTCATGAATTCATAACTATATAGACAGTACACAGTGTACTTACTGTGAATGGGGATTTTTTTAAACACTTCCTCCTTTCTATCTCTTTTCTCCCAGGCTATGCCTTCCTACTGTTCCAAGAGGAGACCTCTGTCCAGGCCCTGATTGACGCCTGCATCGAGGAGGACGGCAAGCTTTACCTATGTGTCTCCAGCCCAACTATCAAGGACAAGCCAGTAAGTGAATGCTACAGTATTATACTGTACTGTAATACCTTTTTCACACTACTGAGCCAAACCAAGCCAAGCAGACCTGTACTGTGCCATTCTGGTTACACGTTCACCGTAGTTGCTGGAACTGGTAAGGAAAATAGCGAAGGCGGTACGGGTCAGGTTGCCACAATCATGTGAAAAGGGTATAAGTGTGAATTCCTTGTCAGACACAGTCCTTAATTAATTATGTATCTCTCTCTCTCCAGGTCCAGATCCGCCCCTGGAACCTAAGTGACAGTGACTTTGTGATGGACGGCTCCCAGCCGCTGGACCCCCGAAAGACCATCTTTGTGGGGGGCGTGCCCCGGCCTTTACGTGCAGGTAGGGTATTGGTCAAAGTGGCTGTTGATCAGTGGATAAGTTGGTGGATTAGCTGTGTAAGGTTGACTGGCATAGACTGTAGCCTACAGGCTGTAATCAAAAATAAAGTTGTGCCTGTGAGAAAGCAATCTACTTTGTTTCCAGGCAGTGAGCCAACTGGTGGTCATGTAAAGTATTCATGCAAGGCCCATTAGGTGGTATGATATATCTGTGCTTGGGACAAACATCACTGACTGTCTGTCTGCTATGTGACCTATGCTAATTATAACAACAGTCCTAAGAATGTTATTGACTATTGGCGAAGAATGTTATTCAAGTCGAATGTCGCATCTGTTTGTCTCGACAAAAATGAAGTTAAACTTTTTTCCTCAATTTTCATTAGACAAAACTAGAGGCATGCAGTCATAACATTCTCTCTCTCTCTCTCTCTCTCTCTCTCTCTCTCTCTCTCTCTCTCTCTCTCTCTCTCTATTTCTCTCTCTCTCTATTTCTCTCTCTCTCTCTATTTCTCTCTCTCTCTCTCTCTCTCTCTCTCTCTCTCTCTATTTTCTCTCTCTCTCTCTCTCTAGTGGAACTAGCTATGATCATGGACAGGCTGTATGGTGGCGTGTGCTATGCCGGCATCGACACTGACCCGGAGCTCAAGTACCCCAAGGGGGCGGGCCGCGTGGCCTTCTCCAATCAGCAGAGCTACATCGCCGCCATCAGCGCCCGATTCGTTCAGCTGCAGCACAATGACATTGACAAACGGGTTAGTGAGACCAATCACTGTATTCAAAATGTCTGTCTCTGTATCAATAATGCTTCAGGAGTTGCCCTAAAAGCTGGATAACAGGGAGATATATTTAGCAGATGAAGAATGACTGGGTTGTGTTAATTAGGGCACGCAACAGAAGACGTTTTGCAACAAGAAACTTGTCCAGGTAGTCCCTCCCTGTTTCAGTCGGTTTTCTTCCATTTGGTGACGAATAAACATGACCCTAGTGTTACCTCCCTGTAGGTTTTCCTATGGTTTGCTGCTGTGGATCTGCACTACTTATCTCAAATTCAGTCTCTCTATACGTAAGAGCTGTCATTATACGCTGGTTTCCAACCAACCGCTCAGCGAGCCTACAATACAGGGAGCCCCGGTTAGGTCTGTGGAACAGAGTAAGCTGTGTAATCACCCTGGCCTTTGGCTGCTGGAGGGCTGACAGACGCGGGGAGGGTTTAATTATAGGACTTCCCTATACATGTATATTAACTTCAGCTCTGCTGCTGACAGGTTATTTTGAGCAAGCTAGCCCTATCGAGTATGGTCGATCGTAACCAACCAAGACTGATAGTCTGCCAGCCCAGAGAGGCTCATTGGGGGCTGCTCGGTCCACACTCCATCTGGGCTGCCATCATCTAATATCCAACCCCAGTGGCTGGTTGAGCAGACAGTGTCTTCATTCTGATTGACCAGGGCCGAATTCACATAGTCCAAGAGTAGGAGTGCTGATCTAGGATCAGGTCCTCCCATTCCATATACTCATATTGATTATTACTTAAAAGTTAGATCCTAGATCAGTACTCCTAACTCTGAGATGCTTTTTGAATATGGGCCCAGATCACTAGACCACTAACAATGCACGTAATGGGCTGTAGATGAGACCTCTGCACTGCGAACCCTCACTATCAGCCATAGCGCCATAGAGATGGTATGAGGGAAATCTCTTTTCCAGATCCCTATGTTTGTCTGAGGCCAAGGGAAGCTTGGAATGAATGAGGGGATACTGGCTGGGGGGATACATCGTTGGAGGCTCTACCCAGAAAAGCCCATCTGCTTCCCTCCCTTCCCCTCCCTCCGTACACACCATAGCCCCATTTGGTCAACCACCACTGCGCCACACCCAAGTTCTCTCAGGGTAAAGTAATGTTCATGCTTGTGGTTGAGGCCTAAGGCCTCGTTCACTGGTGTCCAACCACACCACTTTTGTTTTCATGCTTTATTTCAGTTCCATCCCTAGCAACACAATCATTCCGTTAACTGTAAATGGCCTCTTGGAATTGTCTTAATGATAGGCCAGAATGGTTCAATTACCTCAGACCATTGTGGTACTCACTAAGGTGATAATTGTATTTAATAGCATGGGTGCCATTCTGTTTCTGGGTCGTATTCATTAGTGCACGCTGTAGAAAAACATAATGCAATGGAAAACAAAAAGAGGCTTTCTTATTGGGCAAGTTCAGGTAGTCCCTCCCTGTTTCAGTCCGTTTTCTTTGGATTGGTGCCTAATGAATACCCAGCTTTGCCAGCTTGTTGTGGTCTTTCCAAAGCCCATGTCTGTAGTCATGTTTCCGCTAGCTAGCTTGTCATGTCTTTCCAAAGCCATTGTTTTGTAGTTCTGGACTTTAGTTCTTTTTGAGCTGAGCTCAGACAGACAGTGCTTTACAATATGTATCTCCAGGGCTAGGGGTTTAAAGAGGACCCTTCATTACAATAGGCTGTAGTGGAGGGACATCTCTATGTAACCAGGCCCTGCTCACACACTGTGTCATCTCCATGGAGACACAGATTAGATAGTCTGTCCCTCAGCAACGGTCATCGGACTCCAATTATCTTGTGTGTGTGTGTGTAGCAGTATACCTGCTTCGGTGCATAAAGAGCCCCAGACAGTGGTCTAAGAATGTTGTTTAACACTTGGACATATGGCAGCCATTTTGGCTCTACAATATTCGCCACACCAGTTTTTGCAGTGCTTTATCCATAGAGAGGAAAATAAGAACAGCCAGAGACAGAAACATTTTTGAGAAGTTCATATATTTAGCCTTTAAGATGTCACAGTGGTATAAGAGGGGCAAATAATACATCAACAGAAATATACGTTCCCAGACTCGGGCGCTAATGGCAATATCTTGCAATTGGTCAAACTTTTTGCATAAAGCATATAGACTACCTCAGTTTACATTCTGACAATAGAGATTCAAGTTTGAATAGATATTCAAGTTTGAGTTCAATCTACACCTCAGGCCAAGAAGATAATAAACCAACGTGTCTCCTTTCTCTGACCTTTGACCTTCAGGTTGAGGTGAAGCCCTACGTCCTGGATGACCAGATGTGTGACGAGTGCCAGGGGGCACGTTGCGGGGGGAAGTTTGCCCCCTTCTTCTGTGCCAACGTCACCTGCCTGCAGTACTACTGTGAGTACTGCTGGGCCAGTATCCACTCCCGGGTGGGCCGAGAGTTCCACAAGCCACTGGTGAAGGAGGGGGGCGACCGCCCTCGACAAGTGTCCTTCCGCTGGAGTTGAGGGGGTCGAGATAAGCCCTGCCCCCACGACCCCCCCCCCCCCCCCCCCCCCAGCCCCTAAACTCTCTCGACCTGGGACAGCGCTACACCCCCCTCACCACCTTTGCTCTGCCCCCCTCCCCACCACCTCAACATCAGTGAAGATGAGAACTACAAATACATGGTTCTTTCTACAACGCTCGACTACAAACTCATTGTCCAGTGTACCCTTAATAATAATAATAGGGTGAAAAAAATTAATTGTGAAAGTCTATCTGCTTAGAATTTGCACTTTGGCACAAATACTCACTAAACACACATGGGATGGTATGTTAGAAAAACCTGATTATGTTCGAGTCCCCTGTTTCATGACCGGGTGGGTCAGTGTCTCCTGTAGAACCCCACTTAGCTGTGGCAGAAGTGAGACTATACAATACATATATATTTAAAAAGTATATATATTTTTGTTTTATATATCTATCTATACATATATAGATAATTACATTCTATGTGAAAGGAACATGCACTTATTAAAAAAAAAAAAAAAGTTGCCCCTTGTAAGACATATTACCAAACGCAAAAATGGAATTAATGCATACAGAAAAACGACATAGGTGGCATAAAATGTAGCAAGACTTAACAATTATCCAGTAGTGTGGGCCACAGAAGCCCAGATAAAAAAAACACAGCTATATTTGCTCTCTATATTGACTTTGAAAATAGTAAAATGAATACCTCAAGGCGAAATCAGATTTAGTTTTGCTTTTGATTAGTAGGGCTTTATTTTTTTAATAACATTATTTTCTAGCGTTATGTTAATGTAATGCTGCAAAAGCTTTTGCTGCTATATCCATGGTATTAACAGATCCCATAGTACTTTATTCAGGCTAGGGTGTTATAGCAACTATGATGGCACCTGGTGTTAAGGATGATGACCGGCTATCATTGTAGGTAGCCTTGCGGTTAAGAGCATTGGGACAGTAACCGAAAAGTCACTGTGTTGAATCCCAGAGCCGACTGTGATAAATCTGTCGATGTGCCCTTGAGCAAGGCACTTAAACCCTAATTGCTCCTGTAAGTCGCTCTGGATAAGAGTGTCTGCTCAATGACTCAAATGTAAAAAGAATATATATATATAATGGTGAGAGGGGGGCATCCATTACTACATTATGCCTAGTATGATGTGGGGTAAAAGGGGGGGGGGGGGGGGGGGGGGGGGGGGGGGTCGCCCTTTAATGCATGTATACAGTATTTCAATCAGGTTGCATGCAATAGAATTTCAGTATCATGTCTACTATTCAATTCTGCCCATGTTTGCACAACACAATAGATGTACGTAAAACTAGCAAGAAACTGGACACAATAGGGAAGACTGGTAAAAGAATCCTACACCTCCAGTGAGATATAAGTTAACAGCCACAGGGGCAGTATGAGCACTGCTTCTGCACAAGGTGGCTAACATAACCAGATGACGAAACCTTCATATTAATCATGAATCCAACTAGATGTAGGATATATCATTTAAAACTGTCTATGATAGGTGAAGTACTTTTTTGCAGTGATTTGTTAATATAATTGTGGCATTTTTTTATACCGTATGTAGTTAGGTCTGAGTATGCCTATAGAACTGTGATTCGCTTTAACTGTTGTTGATGTCTGACATAAAAGTCATGTGAAACTTCATGAGCTAGTTTATGCACACGTATATATGTTCTCTCGTCCACACGTTTACACAAATACACACACCAGACCAGGGTTCAAATACATGTGTATTTGATTATTTTTTTAAATACTTATTTTCTGTGTATTTGAGTATTTTCTAATAATGTGGCCTGAATCAAGTACTTCTATTAAAAGTATTTGAAAGTATTTTCAAATAATTTCCTATAAATAGCCTACTATTTTAAAGTATTTTCAAATATCTGTGTTAACTGCATGGGCGTGTATTTGAGTCAGTGTATTTTAGTATTTTCAAATACTTTTCAAGTGTATTTCCAAATACATTCCAATATTCAACTACTTGTCTTTTCAAATAAAAAATATCTAAATACTTACTTCCAAATGTCTTTGAAAGTAATTAAAATAACCTAAATAGTATTTGAACCCAGGTCTGACACACACTCACTGTACACAGATAGTTCTCGTTCTCTTACACACATACCCATACAAACACACACCTATGCACACAAAGTCTGACCCAAACACACAGAACATATGACACACAGACTTAAGTGAGCTTGACTCTGAAAAACACAGAACCACTGTCTGTACCGTTGACAAAGCGTAGGATCATGTCCCCAAAAAAACCAAAGAGCTCACATATGTTCAACTTAAACCACCAACACATACGGAGACCACAGATGATACTGCGCGAAGCATTAAGCCCCATGTCTGTGGGCTTCAAGGTGCAAGTTAAAAACATTTGTACTGTTGTGACAAGGCATTATAGACAGTGATGAGAAAACAGACACTACTGGAGACTTGTGGTTTAGTAAACCGAGTTTCTCAGCCCGCACATAACGTTGTCCCGACATGGCTACGGGGTTGTAATAACATTGCCAGAACATTGTGTGCTAGCTGGGTTTACCGTATTGATCCAGATTTTCCTGCAAAGCTTGAAGTAGAATAATTACCTGCTAAAATGGTGGACATTTTTTGGGAAAAAAAATGTGGGAAAAACGACAAAAAAAGAGACTAACCATGAATAATAATAAGTATCCCTATGAAAGTGAATTCTGGGTGTTTTTGTGATATTTCTTTCCCCGCCCAGAAGGGTTTTCTATGTTTGTTCCTTCTCTATAATATACATTTGTTATGCACTACTCTTTCTATCTGGACAGTTTTCAAGAGTCAGCTATTTTTTGGGTTGAGAGAAAAAACGAAAAAGCGTGCTTTCTGACTGACTTGATCTTTTTGCAATACCTCAATTTTTAAATATATTAGGAGAAAAATTGATATTTTCTAAGTTTATTCAAAAAAAATAAAAGTAATTTAATTATTTGAGAGATGATTTAACAGGTGGTTGATTTTATTTTTGTCATGCTTATTTGCTTAATTTTAAATTGTGTTTCTTTGAAGAAGAAAAAACAACTGAAGGAACTAGAGCATTATAACTTTAATATAATGATGTAGTTAGCTGAAGTAAAGAGTCTACCTTATTACAGAGGTGGTTAGAGTGAGTTTCCCGCTGGTCTGATACCTGTGGAAGTGCGGAGTCACCAAGACAAACATATAATGAGTGGTAGTGTTATAAGGAAAACATTAGTCCACAAAAAAAAAGAGTTCTATATAAATAAGTCTATTAGGTGCACAGAAAGACAACTGAATATACTTATATTTATAATCAATCATTTACTATGCTGACCAGAATTGTGAAAGAGATCTTCTGTTCATGTTATTTTTTAAGAACACTTTTTTACGTTTCCTAAAAGTATGTGCTCCCTTTTGTTTTGTAAATGCAACATACCCATGATATGTTATTCTGACATTGTTTAAAAAGAGACTGAGCAGATGGAGGTGGAGAGAAAATGTAATTATTTTCAACTGTAACTTGATCGAAAGCCCCCAAGGTGCATCAATTGAGTGGTGGCCTTCGATTCACGCAAGACTTGAATTAGTCCCATTTTTTTAAGGCTAAGAACCTGTTCTTTGTTGTAATGTGCAATACTGTTTGTAAAAAAAAAAAGAAAAAAAAAAGAAAGAAAGCGGCATAAATCTTTATTGCAAATTTATTTTCATTGCATTGTGATTCACTAAAATAAATTTATACTGTTTATTTACCTACTCTACATGCTAGTACCTTCCAGTAGTCATGTAGCCTTTGTACTGAGAACATTTATTATTTTTTTAGATTTTTGCTAAAAATACTTCAAACATATTTAAATATTTTCCTTTTTGTTTCGTGTTTTCTTTAAATACTTATTTCTCAACCATTAAGTTATTTCTGGTGGAGACTTTCATATCTGGTCAATGTCATTAATATTATTTTGCATTTTTACATGGAATAAATTAATTTTATGATGCTAATTCTTTTATAGTTTTTTGTTTGTTCACTATTTTATTTTTGGAAACTGAAAAACCTTTAATATTGTTACTTAAGTGTCTAGACTTTTGAAATGCAAAGCCTATGTTAACTCGCTGATGTTGCTTACATTAGTGTGACGATGATCGAAGGAAAGGAAAAAGAACACGATGACGGTTGGTATTGTTAATTGATTGGCAATGTAAAACAAATGAATAGGCAATACAATAAAAAGGCAGAATGGCGCAGTGTATTGTGGAAGCTGGACAACGATACCAACCTCTCCTATTGCTCTTGCTGCTGCTACTATAACCCCCACCTTCTATAGTCAATGACATTACTTTCAATAACATTGTATGGCCATGTCACACCACTTCCACTGATGTGAAACATCATATGAACTCCTTTAAAACGTAAATCATGTCACGTGACCCCCCTCCCCCCCCCCCTCCAGTTTCAGATGGTGGGTTAACCCCTGTAGTAGCCTGAAAAGTGGCTATGTGCACCATTGAGATTGTATTTAAGTATGAATGTAAATGTTAAGTGGAGGGAGTGACTTGTTGGAATCCATTCATCTTAATAAGAGGAGTCATACATCTAAATCTTTGGCATGTTTTCTTTCTGTCCCCAAACCAGCTAGATTGCTATAGTGTATGAACTGGCCTTAGATTTGAAATTCATTTGACCCAAGAAACCCTTTAACATCCTCTTTTGATATTATGTGGTGTGTTCTTAGGGGATGGCATTGACTTGATTTTGCCCTAATTTTACATAGACTAATTCTCCATATGAAGTGTTGTGACATCACTTCCTGTACTACAGTATGGTCATCAATAAGAGAAAAAAACACCAATGCAAATGCTGGTCCAAGAATGTTACTTCTAGCTTTTCTCTTCTACCAGTTTGTACTAATAACCTTCATCTCTTCTACTAACCCAATGGTTGCTTTCTCCCAAGGGTCAGTATTACACTCATACCACCAAGTATTTGTCTAGTATTTATCATTTTTATACCCTGACAATAATAAGCACCTGTGTTTGTGCAACTGAAAGGCTAAGATTTGGTAGGAAGAAAATCATGTGTTTGGTGGAGGCATTTTCATATAATCTTCATTAAATATACCTATATATTTCACGTAACACTAGAAATAGTATGTTTTCACTTATGCTTCATGGATGTTCTCTCTGGGTAGTCAGTAGGCCTCTTCATCATGTGATAAACAAAAAAGATTCAAAACCTGCTCAATTGTTTTTTTTTTCAGACAAAATCACTACTTTTAAGTGTTCATTTATTATACTTTGTATTTTTGGTTTGATTACTGGTTCCATCTTGACGAGGCTTTGAGAATGTTTGGACGTATGGTGTCTGAATTGGTAGTATAACTGATTTTAAAAAAACATGGAGCTCTATGCTGCTAATGCTTACTACTACTACTACTTCAAGTGTGCAGTTCCCACCTTACTTTTCCCTTTTCTGTACTAGTAACAAGCAAATCTTATTAAACGTAGTTGTATGATGCTGTGAAACATTGTCGTCTTTTGCATGGCCTCCTTTTGCACCTCTTCTCCCATCCCTTGTATTTCCTCCTGGAATAAGGTGCTTGACTGTGTGTGACTGGAATGGAAAGATGTGAAGTGAGAAAAGAAACGTATCAAGATAACTATACTGAACAAAAATATAAATGCAACAATTTCAAAGATTTGATTGAGTTACAGTTCATTTAAGGAAATCCGTCAATTGAAATACATTTATTAGGCCATAATCTATGGTTTCACATGACTGGGCAGGGGTGCCACCATGGGTGGGCCTGGGAGGCAAATACGCTTTTTGTGCGAATGGAACATTTCTGGGATCATTTTTCAACATGGGACCAACACTGTTGCATTTATATTTTTGTTCAGTATAAATTCAATTTCTAAAGAATTATGTTACATTAGGATTACTGAAGCAATGTAGGCTTATCAGTATACTTCAAGTAAGAAGAGGGATTATGTTTAGGTCAATAGGGTTTTAGCAGCATTTACAATGTGCATGCAAGTTAAACCTTAGTTGTGCCTTTGTCACAAGCGTCTACTAATGTGATATGTTATATCACAAGTCTTAAAGGGTTGACCAACTTGCACTATTGTACTTGACAACTCTTCTTCCAAGCACTCCCTTTTCTATGTTGTTTGTGCATGTTCAGTGATCCATAATCTATAACTGTCCCACCATGCAGCAGAACCCATCATGCTACATATAAACTCAGCAAAAAAAGAAACATCCCTTTTTCAGGACCCTGTCTTTCAAAGATAATTTGTAAAAATCCAAATAACTTCACAGATCTTCATTGTAAAGGGTTTAAACACTTTAATATAATATGCCATTTAGCAGACGCTTTTCCCATGCTTGTTCAATGAACCATAAACAATTCATGAACATGCACCTGTGGAATGGTCGTTAAGACACTAACAGCGGTAGGCAATTAAGGTCACAGTTATGAAAACGTAGGACTCTAAAAGAGGCCTTTCTACTGACTCTGAAAAACACCTAAAGAAAGATGCCCAGGGTCCCTGCTCACCTGCGTGAACGTGCCTTAGGCATGCTGCAAGGAGGCATGAGGACTGTAGATGTGACCAGGGCAATAAATTGCAATGTCCGTACTGTGAGACGCCTAAGACAGCGCTACAGGGAGACAGGACAGACAGCTGATCATCCTCGCAGTGGCAGACCACGTGTAACAACACCTGCACAGGATCGGTACATCCGAACATCACACCTGCGGGACATGTACAGAATGGCAACAACAACTGCCCGAGTTACACCAGGAATGCACAATCCCTCCATCAGTGCTCAGACTGTCCGCGAGAGGCTGGACTGAGGGCTTGTAGGCCTGTTGTAAGGCAGGTCCTCACCAGACATCACCGGCAACAACGTCGCTTATGGGCACAAACCCACCGTCGCTGGACCAGACAGGACTGGCTGCTCTTCACTGAGTCGCGGTTTTGTCTCACCAGGGGTGATGATCGGATTCGCGTTTATCGTCGAAGGAATGAGTGTTATTCCGAGGCCTGTACTCTGGAACGGGATCGATTTGGAGGTGGAGGGTCTGTCACGGTCTGGTGCAGTGTGTCACAGCATCATCGGACCGAGCGTGGTACCCTTCCTGCAGTCTCATCCTGACATGACCCTCCAGCATGACAATGCCACACTGCTCGTTCTGTGCGTGATTTCCTGCAAGACAGGAATGTCAGTGTTCTGCCATGGCCAGCGAAGAGCCCGGATCTCAATCCCATTGAGCACATCTGGGACCTGTTGGATCGGAGGGTGAGGGCTAGGGTCATTCCCCCCAGAAATGTCCAGGAACTTGCAGGTGCCTTGGTGGAAAAGTGGGGTAACATCTCACAGCAAGAACTGGCAAATCTGGTGCAGTCCATGAGGAGATGCACTACAGTACTTAATGCAGGTGGTGGCCAAACCAGATACTGACTTACTTTTGATTTTGACCCCCCCTTTGTTCAGGGACACATTATTCAATTGCTGTTAGTCACAGGTCTGTGGAACTTGTTCAGTTTATGTCTCAGTTGTTGAATCTTGTTATGTTCATACAAATATTTACACATGTTAAGTCTGCTGAAAATAAACGCAGTTGACAGTGAGAAGACGTTTCTTTTTTTGCTAAATTTAGGTGTCTGAGGAAAGGTACCACACCCAACCTGCTTCAACAGATAAATCATTGAGAAGTACAGCCTTATTCCCTTGCAGGTAAGGGGCTGATGCAGCAACTGAAGCCCTGTTTATACCTTATGACAAGCGTCCTTTTTCCTGATCTTGTCCACATTTTGACAGGTGTAGACGATTAAAATACATTGATCTGATCTTCATGACCCCTCTCCGGATGTAGTCGGGATGCATTGTGTCTGGATATCTTACAAGCGTAGATGGATCTGGGCCCGGTTTCCCAAAAGCATCTTTGGGCTAAACTCATCGTTCGAACCGTCGTAGGAACATTGTTAAATCTCCGAGCTGTTTCCCAAAACCATCGTTACTAAAGTTTCACTTGTTACTGCCTCAAACCACTCATGGAACAGCTAAGTGCGTCATTAGATGCTTTCTTGCACTTCCGCGTCACTTTCGTCAAGTTTGTATTTGCCCTCTAAAAAGTAAGGTTATGATGCAGATGATATGGCCTATGGTGCCTTTTGAGAGTAAAGGGAATCTGGATTCACAAGGTAGTTTGTTCTCCCTACCAGATGTGTAGCAGCAATGTGTCTGAAAGGTTTGGGAGTCAGTAGTTAATGTAAGCAATTGCACTAGTTTGCCCATCACCTGCTCAGACTAAAGCTCTACTATTACTGACAGTGTATAGTCATCTTTACTTTGTCCCGATAAACTGTTCATTCAGAGCTAATCTCAGTGCCATCATTCCTAAATGCAAGTACACACCCTCTCCTGGCCATGTTCAAAGTTATAGACAGTGTTCTTCAATCAACATAGGAATGCAGTCTATGGGGACAACAGAGTACGCACAAAACAGGACGCCCACTGAAAGGTCTAGAATTTAATATAACTATCAGTTTAAACAAGAAGTAACAATTAAAGAAATATTTACAGGTCTGCATTTTCTTAAAACTCTGACAAGTCCCCTTGGGGGGCCAGTTTCAGTTTGGCCCCACGGTATAAGTCCCTGTGAGGCTGCTTCAGTGCAGTGCCATTTAGAGTAACATTTCACAAGGTTGGGGAGGAGCAGCACTGGCCATGGCCACAGCTTTTCCAATCCTGTGCCAGACCAGCCAACTGATCGATACAGAGTTCTGTGGCGAGAAAGGTCAAGTGAATGTGCTTACACAGGACATGTGTGGGGGATGAGTCATCTATAGTCACAGGTATAAAACCCAAAACACCCCTATTAGCCGGTAGCAACAGTACAATCCAGTAACCAGCTATAAAGAGCCAGCACACTAGTGTGTGTGTGTGTGTTCCTATAGGATGGCTTACAACCATCCTTGCCCCCCCCCGTTCTTTCTTTCTTTCAGTCACACATCTTGTTTTTGGCTATAATGTCAATAGAACACTGGTAGTCCTCTAAAAGTGGGTGTGGGAGTGCTTTAAGACTTCAGTTTAGAAGGCGGACCACCACAGGGCTGGAGTGGTCTCTGGGTAGTCCCAGCTTGCTGCTCCACTGTACAGGCAGTCTCAATGAGAGACTAGAGGACCCTGCTCCACTGTCCCCCTGGGACAGGAGGGCACACATGACTAAAGGTGGGAAGGCTGTCTAGTAAGTGGGCTTTGGGGTAGGAGAATACTGAGGGAGCCATAGGGATAACCAGCATCAGACTGGCAGGTAGCACTGAACCCTGGATGGTTTCGTCTGGCTAGGTAAGAGGGGCTAGGAGGTTAGTGGAGCGAGTGCATGAAGCTGTCCAGGTTGTATTCGGTTTCGTACTGCTGCTGGTCCCACAGGTCCCCCAGGCCGTCCAGCACGTTCTTAATGGAGGCTTTCCCTCCGGAGGATGACGACTCGCCCTTATCATCCTAGACGGAGAGAGACAGGTTGGAGAGATCGAAACATACACACAGTAGAAGTAGAATGGCTAAGAAGACAAAGAAATAATGCACGTGTATAAGTGTGTGTGTGTGTGTGTATCCAAGTGAGTGCTACTGACCTTGTCCAGGGTGAAGAGGTTGAGGAGCTGGTCGGTGCCCATACTCTGCAGACTGGCGTTCTCCTGGCTGATGACCGTGTTGGCGATGCTCATCTTGAACTTCTGCAGGCCCATGATCTTCTCCTCCAGGGTGCCACGCGTGATCAGACGATACACGTTCACCACGCGTTTCTGCAAGAAGAGACACACCATTACAAAATGTGGCACTTCTCACTACGTTGACTGCCAACCGCCAAGCCTGTGCGCGTTTGAGATGAACTACGTTGCAGTTGGATGAGTGATTCTGCACCTCTGCTTACTCAAAACTGATCCACTCAAACATGCTATTGCCTGATTCACACTATAGGGCTGAACCAAACCACACTGGCCTGGATATTTGATTTGACATTGTGTGTCCATGCAGAGGCACTAGAGTACCTGTCCTATCCTGTGGGCGCGGTCCATGGCCTGTAGGTCTCTCATGGGGTTCCAGTCATGTTCCACAAACACCACCGTGTCGGCGCCGGTCAGGTTCAGACCCAGACCACCCACATGGGTGGTGAGCAGCAGCACATCAATGGAGGGGTCGTTGTTGAACCTGAGAGCGAGCGTGACGGAGCACAGTAGAGAGACAGCGACAGAAGGGCAGTGCCATTACATTCAGATGAGATTTGTGAGTGACATTTCAGCAAAGAACGCACTGACTGTGCCGGAGTCTGGTGCCCCTGACTACACATACCCCCTGGTGACATTGGTTCAAGCCTCAGCTCGGCCTACTATCTATGCCCAATACCGGTCCCTCAAACTACTTCCAAGTGGTCCCGTCATAAAAACAAATAACATGGAAGGAGATCGGAGCTCCCGATCTCCTTTAAACAAAACTTTTAAAAAACACAGACTGCTGGTGTCACTACTAATGACAGTATTCCAGGCTTGATTGACACCAACGCCATTTATTTGCATTGTCACACACAGGACCCAAAGACTCCCTCCATGCTCCTCCCTTCTCACCTGGAGACGATGGCGTGGCGCTGGCCCGCCGGGACGCTGCCGTCCAGACGCAGGTAGGCGACGGTGGGCAGCTGGGGCTTGAGGAGGTCGTGCTCCACGATGTCCAGCATGCTCTTCAGCTGACAGAAGATCAGCACTCTGTGCGGGGCCACCACCGCCTCTGTGCCCTCCGCTGAGCCGCCGCTGCCCAGACCGCAGTCCAACAACAACTGGTCGGGGGGGGGGGGGGAAGAAAAAAAGCTCAGTATAACAATTTACTCACTGGTTTTTTTTATCTGTAAGGGTTGAGTAGTATGGAGTTGGCAGTACCTGCCCCTCACTACTATCCCAATAACCGCCACTTCTGAAGCAGAGAAGATTGAGGGATTGTAATAGAATGGTACGTGAAGGCAGAGAGGGGATAGGGGTGGTGCGTGGCTGAGATTGGGTTTAGTGTAAGGAATGGGGAATGAGTGGCACCCAGAGGTGGGGTATAGGGGTAGAGTGGTACCTGTTTGAGAGCTGAGAGTTTGGGCGAGTGCTGGATGTCTCGGAGGCTGGAGTGTTGGGCTGCCAGCTGGTCTGTGATGCGCTTGTACTCTGGGTGCTGTGGCAGCAGTACCAGGCTTGGGTGGTTACACAGCTTCCTCAAGTACTGCAGAGCCTGGAGAGGGAAGAGGATGTAGATAACAAATTCCAAGTATGGTGTATACGCACAAATGTATATTGTGTCCCATTTCACACATGTACGTTATACGCATGTGTGAATTGGAAATGTGTGCCGAGGCGGTGCAGCAGTCTAAGGCAGTGTTTCCCAAACTTGGTCCTTGGGCCCACATAGGCGCATGTTTTGGTTTTTGCCCTAGCACTATACAGTGGATTCAAATAACTAACTCATCATCAAGCTTAGATTATTCCCCCGAGACACCCTCGGAGAGTGGGGTCACGGTCAGAGTCTGCCATTATCAACGGCGACCCTGGAGAAATGATGGTTAAGTTCCTTGCTCAAGTGCACAGACAGATTTTCCCCCTTGTCGGCTCTGGAATTCGAACTAGCAACCTTTCGGTCACTGACCCAACACTAACCGCTAGGCTACCTGCCGCCCTCTAGATATACCATATCAACCGGATCATGCATGACATATTGTTTCGATGCAGGTCACATGTGAGAAAAGTGGCAAAAAAGGCCCCAGAGACAATCCCAAAACTAAAAAGAAAGCAGTTACATACATTGACGTGTGTGTGTGTGTGTGTGTGTGTGTGTGTGTGTACCTGGAACACGTGGCCCGTGGCCTTCAACTTGGGCTTCTCCTCCTCGTGGATGGAGGCTGTAGAGATGGTGTCCTCCACACTGACCTTGGCCCGGGACTTGGCAAAGTCCTCATACAGCTGAACCTGCAGACAGAGAGGGAGAGAGAGAGCGACACGTGTGTTTGAGGGGATCAGTTTGAGCAAGGTAAGGCGCAGAATTGCTCATCTTAAATCATATGAGTAGTTATTATGTGATTTGTAGATCAGTGATTTCTGTCTGCAATGTAGTCAATCGCAAAATCGCACACAGATCAGGCTTTCATTTCATGGATTGTAACATGAACATTTGTTGCAGCAGCCTCAGATTTACTTGATATGGTGACTAGATATTGGAATAAACCCAGGGTAGGCCATCACAAGACATAAGCTAATGCTGTCCTCTTCATATTAAAAGGCCATCTACATGACGTTATATAACAGTGTTTCAGAGGTGGGTCCTCCATGGTGTACCTGTAGAGGGCTGAGGTTGCAGTAGTAGTCCTGGATGATCTTGGGGGGCAGGTCCTGCAGCACGTCCTTCTTCATTCTCCTCAAGAGGAAAGGCAGCACCTGGCGATGCAGCGCCTCCATGGCCAGCACCCCTGGAGTGGAGGAGCGCAACACCGTCAGCCACCAGAAACAAAAACACCGTCAGATTGTTGTATTTATTTTTTTTGCCATGAAAAATCAAGTGTCGCAATATCGTCAGACTGATATTGTCACAACCCTAGTGCCAAATGAACAAGACCCAGCTTCCGTGCACTCATTGTTAGGCCCTCGTGGCTGGTGACTACACCAACATCAGAACAGAGGACAATCCGATCTTACCGGCCTCTTGCTCGCGTGACGAGCTCTTGGCGTCACGGCTGGCCAGGATGGGCTTGCCGTAGCGGGCAGCAAACTGGCGCTCTGTGCCCAGGAAGCCGGGCATGAGGAAGTCAAAGAGCGACCACAGCTCCAGAACATTATTCTGAGGAGAGGTGGTAGAGGGAGAGAAAGAAAGTGAGAGAGTTGTGTTAGACTGAAATAAATGCTGCGACTTGGAAGTAGTCTGACAGCTTGGACTGAACTCATCTATAAAAAGAAGTCTACAGCGGCAGACTGGACAATAGGCATTCACTGAATCTTAAGTACGTCACCATTAATGTCACAGGCTTGGCATAATGTCCTTATTTCATTTCATCCACTAATACACCCATCAATGTAAAGACAATACTGCCAACCGCCCCACAGAGTGGAGGAACGAATCATTAGGCCAGAACAGATAAATGATTAGGCAACATTGATTTGATGCAGTGAGCACAGAACATTAACATGCTCAAGAGGATCATGGTCTTACATTAAAGTTTAGTACAAAAGTGTCAAAACAAAACACACACACTGCAACAGATGCATTTCCACTGCAGATGCTTTTGCTAATTTTTTTACGGACTAAAATGTACAAAGTTTCACTCAGGAAAAAAGGCTCCTTATCGGCTGAAGAAAATGCCCCCACCTGGATGGGCGTTCCTGATAGGATGACTCGGAAGTTGGCTGCCAATTGCTTGATGGCCTTGGAGAGCTTGGTCTTCCCATTCTTGATCACATGGCCCTCGTCAAGGATACAGTAGTTGAATTTTACATTCCTGAAAATTAAATATATTATTTATAAAATGACATCCACTATTCCAAATGAGATGGAGATGGAGAAAACACACATTTCTTTTTTTTTAATAATCACCTAAAAAAGTCAATGTCGTTTCGTACAACATCGTACGAGGCAACTATTAGGTTGTGCTTTTTCACTTGATGCTGTAACCTGCAATAGAAAAAAACAAGAATTCATGTATTATTTTAACCTCATAATAATTTAAACAAATGATGCTGTGTTCTCCTACGCAATCTCTCTGTGGTGGAATAACGTGTATGTTTGGGTGGGTAAGGGTCAGTCTAGGGGTCTTACCGTGCTCGCTCGTTGGGGGGTCCTGTGTAGTGCAGGGGGTTCAGGTATTCTTTGGTGCAGAACTTGCCCACCTCGTCCACCCAGTGGCCCGTCAGGGTGGGGGGGCACACCACCAGAGAGGGCAGGGGGGTGCTGTCTGCTGCCTTGGTCTTGGCATACTCCTGCGCCCTGCACACAATTAATATAACTCCTTAAACAACAGATGTGCTGACGGTGTATAGTTTAAAGTCAAAACAGTGGACACGTTCCAGGACGACTACATTGCAGTTGCCTGCCAGATTTCACAATGCCTGGATAGGTATTTAATCCAATCAAGCTTTATTTATATAGCACATTTCAGGCATGGATGCAACGCGCTTCACAGAAAAACAAAGGGAAAACATAACTATTTACTACATACACCTTTTTTTAATGAAAGACTAAAAACCACCTTAAGGAAAAGCAGCGCTAAAAAGGTGCGTTTTAAGATGCCTTTTAAATATGTCCACAGTTTCTGACCCCCTCAGGTTCTCTGGCAGACTATTCCAAAGGCTAGGGGCATAGTAACTAAAGGCTGCCTCTCCATGCCCTTGGCTTTGGGATAGTTAAAAGGCCAGTGCCAGAGGACCTGAGGGACCTACTGGGTACATAACTAAAAAGCATGTCTGACATGTATTGGGGTTCCACAAATGTGGATTGATTTAAAAACCAATAGAAGAATCTTAATTTATTCTAAAACCTACAGGCAGCCAGTGCAGACACATTAAAACCGGTGTAATGTGTGCTCTCCATCTGGTCTTGGTCAGTACCGGTGCTGCAACTTTCTGTATGTTTTGCAGTTGACCAATGGCTTTCTTGGGTAGACCAGACAGGAGAGCATTATAGTAATAAAGCCTGCTTGTAATAAAAGCATGGATGAGTCTCTCTGTATCAGCCTGAGAGAGAAACGGCCGCAACTTGGCAATGTTCCTCAGGTGGTAAAAAGCTATCTTGGTCACACACGTGTGATTTGAAATAGAGTTCAGAATCTAAAGTTACACCTAGGTTTTTTACCTTTACTGTCCTGAATTAGAATGTGCGGCCAGATTCTCTCTCTATGCTTTGGCTCCAAGAATAAGTGCCTCGGTATTGTCTTGATTTAGCTGGAGGAGGTTGTGAGCCATTTAAAATCACCAATACAGTCTAATAATTTATCTATGGAGCTAAAATCCACAGAAACGTAAATTTGTGTATCGTCTGCGTAGCAGTGGAAAGCAATGCTGTGCTTTCTGATAACGTTGCTAAGGGGTAACATACAGTGCATTCAGAAAGTATTCAGACCTTAACTTTTTCCACATTATCTTACGTTACATTATTCTAAAATGTATTAAATTATTTATTTGTATCAATCTACACACAAGACCCCATAATGACAAAGCGAAAACAGGTTTAGAAATGTTTGCAAGTGTGTGTAATATATATACATACACAAAAAAAACAACAGAAATACCTTATTTACATAAGTATTCAGACCCTTTGCTATGAGACTCGAAATTGAGCTCAGGTGCACCCTGTTTCCATTGATCATCCTTGAGATGTTTCTACAACTTGATTGGAGTCCACCTGTGGTAAATTCAATTGATTGGACATGATTTGGAAAGGCACACACTTGTCTATATAAGGTCCCACAGTTGACAGTGCATGTCAGAGCAAAAACCAAGCCATGAGGTCGAAGGAATTGTCTGTAGAGCTCCGAGACAGGATTGTGTCGAGGCACAGATCTGGGGAACGGTACCAAAAAATGTCTGCAGCATTGAAGGTCCCCAAGAACAGTGGCCTCCATCATTCTTAAATGGAAGACGTTTGGAACCACCAAGACTCTTCCTAGAGCTGGCCGCCCGGCCAAACTGAACAATCGGGGGAGAAGGGCCTTGGTCAGGGAAGTGACCAAGAACCGGATGGCCACTCTGACAGAGCTCCTCTGTGGAGATGGGAGAACCTTCCAGAAGGACAACCATCTCTGCAGCACTCCACCAATCAGGCCTTTATGGTAGAGTGGCCAGACTGAAGCCACTGCCCAGTAAAAAGGCACATGACAGCCCTCTTGGAGTTTGCCAAAAGGCACCTAAAGGACTCTGACCCTGAGAAACAGGATTTTCTGGTCTGATGAAACCAAGATTGAACCCTTTGGCCTGAATGCCAAGTGTCACGTCTGGAGGAAATCTGGAACCATCCCTACGGTGAAGCATGGTGGTGGCAGCATCATGCTGTGGGGATGTTTTTCAGCGGCAGGGAGACTAGTCAGGATCGAGGCAAAGATGAGCGAAGCAAAGTACAGAGAGATCCTTGATGAAAACCTGCTCCAGAGCGCTCAGGACATCAGACTGGGGCGAAGGTCCACCTTCCAACAGGACAATGACCCTAAGCACACAGCAAAGACACTGCAGGAGTGGCTTCGGGACAAGTCTCAATGTCCTTGAGTGGCCCAGCCAGAGCCCGGACCTGAACCCAATCTAACATCTCTGGAGAGACCACAAAATAGCTGTGCAGCGACGCTCCCCATCCAACCTGACAGAGCTTGAGAGGCTCTGCAGAGAAGAATGGGAGAAACTCCCCAAATACAGGTGTGGCAAGCTTGTAGCGTCATACCAAAGACAACTCGAGGCTGTCGTCGCTGCCAAAGGTGCTTCAACAAAGTATTGAGTAAAGGGTCTGAATACTTATGTAAATGTATTTTCATTTGACTTATTTTTACATTTGCAAAAACATTTTAAAAACTGTTTTTGCTTTGTTATTATGGGGTATCGTGTGTAGATTCATGAGGGGAAAAAAACAACTTGATCTATTTTAGAATAAGGCTGTAACGTAACAAAATGTTAAAGAGGTCAAGGGATCTGAATACTTTCCGAATGCACTGTATATCAAAACTCATCAGGTCTTGCTTGACTGATACCCAGCCTAATGTTTGTGATCTTATCTCAAACTCATCACACTTAAGATGTGGAGGAAAGTTCAGAGACTTGCGGGGGTAGGATTTATCAGGCCATCAATGGTAGAGAAGAACACTCAAATTATTCTGATTATTAGTGATCAAGTTAGAAAAATGTACCCGTCTGGCATTTCTAATTGCCTTGGTATATATGCCAAGTTGCACTCTCAGAATATCATAATTGAACAGAAACTTTGACTTTCTCCACTTCCGCTCTGCAATTTCTTATTCATTGATTAGTTTCCTCACTCATCCAATGGGCTCTCTGTTTGGATGTGCCCTTTTTCAACCTTACTGGAGCTATGGCATCAATGGTTGCCCTTCATTTGCTATTAAAGTTAACTAAATCACCACAAGAGGAAAGCAGAATAGGTGATGGTGTATTGTTCATACACACAAAATCTGTAGCAACTTCAGAGGTAAGATAGCGTTTCTTAATAAGGTATTCAGTATTACTGGGCAGTGTAAGGGGCAACAAGGCAGTAAAAAATACACAGTGGTGATCAGATAAAGCAACATCAACAATAGAGGATATGTCAATAGAAAGCCTCTTGGTAATAACCATGTCCAGAGTATGGCCACGGTTATGGGTGGGTCCAGTAGCATGTTGGATAATAATAATAATAAGCCATTTAGCAGACGCTTTTATCCAAAGCGACTTAGTCATATGTGCATACATTTTTACGTATGGGTGGTCCCGGGGATCGAACCCAACTACCCTGGCGTTACAAGCACCATGCTCTACCAATTGAGCTACAGAGGACCACTTCAGAGGATAAAGTCCATAGAGCTCAAAAGATTCATCAATTCAATTGCCTTGGAGTCAGCCTCTGTCAACATGAATATTAAAATCACCCAACAATGATTTGATCATAGTTCAAGGACAATAGACTATAGTTCAAAGAAATCAGTAAATAAAGTGGGGCAGTGCTTTGATGGCCAATGCAGGCTTATAGCCAGCACTGGTGGCTGACATTTAAACAGCAGAGCATGATGCTCAAAATACTTAGTCGCCAAACGACATGTCTTTACAGCTGAGAGCATTAGTAAAAATAGAGGCTGTCACCCCACCCTTTCCCCCTTTTCTGATAGAGTATGAAAAGCTGTAGTCGGGGGGGGGGGGCTTCAGTAAGAGTAGCACTACAATCTGAAGCAGCCATGTTTCAGTGAGAAACATTTACATTTTAGTCATTTAGCAGACGCTCTTATCCTTACAGTTAAGTGAGTGCATACAGTTTTTAAAATATATATTTTTCATACTGGCCCCCCGTGGGAATCGAACGCACAACCCTGGCGTTGCAAGCGCCATGCTCTACCAACTGAGCTACACGGGGCCCAAAAACATGCAATCAACTTTGTGCTCTGTAATGAGGTCATTCACGAGAAAGGTTTTACTAGTGATTGCTCTAACATTTAAAAGAGGCATATTCAATGAGTGTGGGCCTCTCTGCCCCTGGGGCATCAGCCTCGAGGTAACCAATGGAACAACCACCAAATGATTAACGTTACAACCAGGTTTTCTGACAGTCTCCAATTTATCAGAATGGTAGGAGATGACAGTTTGTATAAACTCACTAGAAGGCAGCGTTAGAGGAACATAAATTAGGTTACTCACAATAACCATAGTGCCATTTCTATAGGAGTTGATATGGTTTCCAAGTCCTCTGTTGTTTATTCTGACAGGGAGGACTGGAGTACTACCAGACCCTGTCCGTCAGTCTAAAACAGTTCGCGATATTGCTGGAAATAATCCTATAACCCCTGCGGTTAGGGTGAATCCAGTCTTTTAAAAGTGCTTGTTGCTCCCACAGCAAATCAAAGTTGTCACAAAAGGAGACATTCCTGTCCTTGCAAAGTTTCTTCAGGTACTCATTTAGGGCAACGAGTCGGCTGAAACGCTCCGAACCCCTTCGATAGAACGGGAGGGGGCCAGAATTAATTATTCTCTTCCCTGTGCTAGCGAGGGTGTTACAATTTATTTTGTAGTACTCCCTCAGATAGCCTAAACGAAGGTAATTAAAACCTATGCGAGTGACGATGATGTCGAATAACAGCGTAGTTGGCCAGAACCGTAGGCAGGAGGGAGTTAATGTTATGGAAACAGGCTCCTGGGTGACAATGGTCTTTGGGTTGGTCCACAGACTGTAGGCAGGCCAAAATCTCTCACCGTCGAGCTGCCCACAATGATGATGGTCGTGATGGAATCCGATGGTTAAGGAAGAGGGGGAGTGGGATGGGACTGCCTTAGGCAGGGGGGATGGAGACTTCGAGCCAGGCTAGCCTGATTCTTCGCACCAGCAACAGCGGATTGCGTCGGAAATCCCAGGAATGTGGTGGCTGGCCCGAGACCCTTCTGTCGTCTTGGGTCAGCAACCTGCTGAACTGTGGTGGCCATGTGGGAGGGTGCCACTGGGCGGCCACTGGCTGTTGGTATATTCCCATGATCCGTGCTGACTCCCGGGGCTGGTAGAACTGTCTCAAGCGGGGCAAAGCTGTTTGATAGCTGAATCGGATCTTCTCGGATAGATGAAGGGTGGCCAGACTGCCTCCCCGATCTCCTACGCCTTGCGAGATCCAGTCGCCCATGGGCCGCGGAGTTGAGCTTAACATCTGTCCGTTGGATTGGGACAGATCAACGCTGCCCGACTCAACGACAGCTTTGCTATAGGCATTTAAAACAGATTCGGTTTGCCTGGGCTACAGTAAGGTCGGTGTACTTAGAAAATAGGTCATCCTTTTCTCATAGCCAGAGGATCTCTTCCCTAAGCTGCTTGATGGTGGTGCATTTAGGGCAGACAAATCCCTGTCCATTTTTCAGTTCCACAATCTTGTGATTGTGTGGAAATCATCAAAACACCTAAAGCATTTGTGACCAGCCCTGGGAAAAAACACCAGTGGGCTTGCACTGCTAGCGTTAGCCTGCTCTGTTTTCATGACGGCTAGCAGCTAACTGCTACTTAAGAGGAATCTGGGACGCAAACTTGCAGTCCCAGTCGTAAAGGCTAAACGCATTGCAGAATCCAATAATAAAAAATAACTAGGATAAAGAAATATTTAATGAAAACGATTTGATAAAAAATGAACCGAGTGTAGACTGTAGACCGTTCTGTTGCGTGCTCTGAGGACGTCTGGTAGCCACATATGCTATAGCAATCTGATGCTCGACTGCAGTCGATGACATGGCATGCAACCATTGGATGATGCAAACAGCGCAACTGCAATATAGTCGGCCTGGAACACGACCAGTGTGTGTGGTCATGCAGTTAAGTACCTGAGGTAGTGGTCCCCAGCAAGGATGCAGATGGACTGCAGGGTCTTGCCCAGGCCCATGTCGTCACACAGGATACCATGCAGCTTGTACTTGTTCAGGAAGGACAGCCAGTTCACTCCGTCCTGGAAAGATCAAAGTTATTGAAACGGTCCATCAAATTATTCATTTTAATAACCTTGTCAAACATTTTACATACTAGCTCTGGCAGAGAGGGACAATGATGTGATGCAAATGAGCTGTTGCACTGCATTTTATGCCACACCTTGTGAAGTGATGAGTGAAAGGATTCATACACAAACATTGTCACTGTGCTGATATTTTGCGTATGACTACATCGCAGGCAGAATCACTGATCTACAAATCACTTTTCCATTAGAGAGAGATGGAGGTTGGGGACATAGCCCATCCATTTCACCACTTTAAAATGTGTTCTGTCCTAAAGCCATTTGTCAGCAGCAGCCGCCCTCCCTGCAACATTTAAAGCAAACCCTATTTGTAGAGGCTGGCAGAAGACAATGAGACCGAAGATGAAGTGGAAAGTGCTGAATTGCTTGCAGAGCTCTTTAACTAGTTAGAGACAAGGCCATCCCTCATCCTTTAGTCCTGGAGCATATCTGAGGAGCAGTGGATGTCACACATGCTTTCCAACCCTGTTCCTGGAGAGCTACTGTTCTGTAGATTTTCACTCCAACCCTAATCTACCGCTGCTGAATGCCTCTTGATTAGAGTTTAACCAAGAGGCATTCAGCCATGGCATTGTAAACATTCTTGTTTGGTTAGCTAGCTGCTAGCTAATGTTAGCATAACTAGCTAGCTCCTTCTGTGCAAATGATGTTTTTGCTGTTATCTAAAGAAACGCCCTGGAAATGTGTTTATGGTTGAACTTTATGTACGTTTTCCTTCAAAATTGTTGCTCAAAGCTACACGCATAATGGTTGTTTAAGCACCACAAGAGAGACTGCTCTACACAGCTGCTAGCTGCTGAGACCGAGAGCACACTGCACAGCAGGGTTGTCACTAGTTACCACAGCCACAAAGTCAAAATTGGCTATATAGTAAAAATTCATGAAAACAAAAAATCCCTTTTTGGTCTTAATTTAAGTTTAGGGTTAGGCATAATGTTAGCAGTGTGGTTAAGGTTAGGGTTAAAATCAGATTAAGAAATTATAGAAATAGCCAAAAAATATATATAACTAAACCAAGATATACCACAGCCTGTCGTTTCCAATTGGAACAAATGAGTCATAGTGGGCAGAACAAGCAAGGAGGTTGGCAGAGCCAAGCACGAGCTAGCGAGATCCTATTGGTGCGTTCTAGCATGCATCTGCATATTTCCGTTAGGGAACACCTCCTCCGTGAAGTGCACGTGTACAAATATCGGTGAAATATCGGTCTCATTGTTCTATCTGTGGATAAGCCATAATTATTACTTTGTGCTTGTGGTAACTAGTGACAACCGCACAGCAGAGCTCGTTGTGTGTTGCGCTTAAAAGGGTCTGTGCAGAAACACTGACTTTCTGGTAAAGAAATTGAATTGTTTTAAGATGGTTATACCATGGATCCTTTAGCTATTTGACTTTGAATTTTAATGACCCCTTCAGGTATAAAAAAAATTATATATATTTTAAATAAAATATTGAATTTGGCCTACTACTATAGCCCATAGAAACGCATTGAATAACACATTCCTAAATGGCATAAAATAGTCAAAATAACTCATAAGGAATGCGATTTAAGCGTCTGTTCTATATCTAGGAGATATAAGAGAGCTCAGGAAATATTTTAGTTTTTTGGACACATATTTAACCCCTTATTTTTGTTGGCACAGAACTACTTCCATCCGTTTGTATGGGTTACCTTCAGACGAGTCCTGTGACACTTGTGGGGGTCGTAGAGCAAAACAGAGAACCCCATGATGTTTGTGAGAGTCCCCCCTTTCCATAGAGTCAAACCGTTCGGACACTACAGTTTGTGAGAAGACTAATTTTCGGGATGTCTCATGGTCTGACAAACACTGCTGTAGTTCTGCCACCTTCCATCGCAGATGTGGAAGGCCGACATCCCTAGCTCAAATATATATCTCTAGCTTAAAACTGACGGATTTTGATGGGGATTTTTTTATTATCATGTTAAACAGGTGCGTCAATAGACTTAAGGATTAACCGTTAGTCCCCACAAAATTATCGGTCTATAGGTTCATTTGTATAATTTTGTGGAATTAAATCGTGTCAGAATATAACAAATCTCGTCACTCAAAAAACTGGAACAGTGTTGGATACGACCAGAATTATTATTTTGACTAAAATTGTAATGTACAGTGAGTTTGAGTTAGAAAGTAGCTTGCGTAACGTCAACTAATGCTCAGTCTCTAGTCAGAGCGCGCTGCGAGCAGAAACTTGTTGCTAGGCAACTCAGACAGGCTGAAGCAGCCAGAGCAGGGAGCAATGGAGCAGAGACAGAAAGGAGAAGCAGTCTAGTTGTTGCATATTTAGATTTCCCCTCTTTCTACATTAACAGAGATATTCATCTCTGTCACATGAAACCATCTTTACATGGTCTGCTTCCTTACAGAAGTTGTACGTTCAATAATATGAGACGATCGGCTTCCTATTGTCCATGTTTTTAAAGCTCTTAATTTCCATTCCTTGTACCCATGCTCGGGTGTTAGGTCACGTGACAATCTTGACTGAGAATGCTGCTGTTTCACTCTGGTGCTCACTTTATAAATCATATTTTGATCAACTGTGAATTTAAATAAATGTAAATCTTCCTTAATATGTTATGAATAATGTGTAAATGTCAATTGCTCCATCAGTGGGGCCAGAGCGGTTTTACGCTTCTTCTGACAACCACTTTTCGCGTTCTCCTGAAAATACTGCTTTCACATTCGTCCATTTTGGGAGGTGTTATCTTGTCCAATCATAAACGAGTTAAGTACCAACTCGAAGTATACAAGTTGACTGACGTCGAAGGAGGTTTGTAGAGAAAGCTAAAAAAAAAATGCTTGAGTGAGAAGGAAGCAAGCTTTTATCTACACTGTTTGACCATATAGATCAGATTCTTGGGAACATTTTGCTATGCTGCGGTCAAGATTTCATGCAATCTTACAATATCACCTTTGCTAGAGTAGCTATCAGGAAGGTTAGCCACCGCACACAGTTTTAGAGCAGGTGGGCAGAAGAAAAATAAGACGTTGAGTCAAATTACCGTTTCTGTTACAAGCACACTAAAACCCTAAAGGTATGACCTCTGGTTAGTACTGTAGCATATGTGTGTGACTAATTGCATTAGTAGGTCAAAATAAATAACTTAAGTGGAAAAATACTAATTGGTCAATGATTTATTGCATGCAACATGAAATGTATACATGTGCATACCGTAAAACTTCAATTAATAGCCCAGGCTTTAATTTGCTTCAATCACTGGACACAACAGGCGCTTTCTATAGACAGACTTCTATATTTCCTTAATGTACACAGCTTTTGTTCATTTGCATAGTTAATTGTTTATTTCCAGCATTCACTACCAGCATTTTAATCAATTTCTTCATTTCCTGCACTAATGTGTAATGATTTACACACGGTCACATTTTTTTTTTTGTCTTAGTATGCTTTAAAAAAAAAAAAAAAAAAAGACAGAATAATTATCCTGACTGTGCATTTGTCAGTTCTTACTTTCACCACTAGATGGCGATCAGACGATTTCTTGGGGTCTGTATTCCCGAAGTTGTGTTTTTGTGCTTGCCAGTTAGCTAGCAGCCAAAAGCTAACAGTTACTTACTGCTGATAAAAATGGCTGATTGCCATAACTATTCCAAGTCACTACTGAATTATGTAATGTAACAAATTAAACATTCAACCTTGTAAACAATTAATGGTAACCTAATCAACATTTAATTTAGACAGGGCGTTTATTTAAAACAGGTGTTTATTTGCTGAAATGTGTGCTATTGCCAGGCTACTAAAAAGAAACAGGTGGCTATTTGTGTTTAATTGAAGTTTCCCGGTATGTATACAGTGCATTCGGAAAGTACTCAGACCCATTGACTTTTTCCACATTTTACAGCCTTATTCTAAAATTGATTAAATACTTCCCTCAATCTACACACAATACCCCATAATGACAAAGTGAACTGGTTTTTAGAAATTTTTGCACAAGTATTCAGACCCATTGCTATGAGAAATTGAGCTCAGGTGCATCCTGTTTCCATTGATCATCCTTGAGATGTTTCTACAACTTGATTGGAGTCCACCTGTGGCAAATTCAATTGATTGGACATGATTTGGAAAGGCACACACCTGTCTATATAAAGGTCCCACAGTTGACAGTGCATGTCAGAGCAAAAACCAAGCCATGAGTTCGAAGGAATTGTCCAAAGAGCTCAGAGACAGGATTGTGTCGAGGCACAGATCTGGGGAAGGCTACCAAAAAATGTCTGCAGCATTGAAGGTCCAAGAACACAGTGGCCTCCATTCTTAAATGGAAGAAGTTTGGAAGCACCAAGACTCTTCCTAGAGCTGGCTGCCCGGACAATCTGAGCAATTGGGGGAGAAGGGCCTTGGTCTGGGAGGTGACCAAGAACCCGATGGCTCCAGAGTTTCTCTGTGGAGATGGGAAAATCTTCCAGATGGACAACCATCTCTGCAGCACCACCAATCAAGCCTTCATGGTAGAGTGGCCAGATGGAAGCCACTCCTCAGTAAAAGGCACATGACAGCCCGCTTGCAGTTTGCCAAAAGGCGCCTAAAGGACTCAGACCATGAGAAACAAGATTCTCTGGTCTGATGAAACACATATTTAACTCTTTGGCCTGAATGCCAAGCGTCACATCTGGAGGAAACCTGGCACCATCCCTATGGTGAAGCATGGTGGAGGCAGCATCTGGCTGTGGGGATGTTATTCAGCGGCAGGGACTGGGAGACTAGTCAGGATCGAGGGAAAGATGAACGGAGCAAAGTACAGACAGATCCTTGATGAAAACCTGCTCCAGAGCGCTCAGGACCTCAGACTGGAGCGAAGGACAACGCCCCTAAGCACACAGCCAAGATAACACAGGAGTGGCTTCGGGACAAGTCTCTGAATGTCCTTGAACCCGATCGAACATTTCTGGAGAGACCTGAAAATAGCTGCGCAGCGACGCTCCCCATCCAACCTGACAGAGCTTGAGAGGATCTGCAGAGAAGAATGGGAGAAACTCCCCAAATACAGGTGTGCCAAGCTTGTAGTGTCATACCCAAGAAGACTCGAGGCTGTAATCGCTGCCAAAGGTGCTTCAACAAAGTACTGAGTAAAGGGTCTGAATACTTACGTAAATATGATATTTACGTTTTTCATAAATGTCTAAAAACCTGTTTTTGCTTTGTCATTATGGGGTATTGTGTGTAGGTAATTAGGGAAAAAAACTATTGAATCAATTTTAGAATAAAGTTGTAACGTAACAATGTGGAAATAGTCAAGGGGTCTGAATACTTTCCGAATGCACTGTACATATTTAATTTTAACATGCTCATAATATTTATAACCCCTGAAAATGTCATGTTGATAGGACTTTCCTATCTTGAGATATTTTAGTTTCTGTATGTTAATCTGAATCTACCGGTGTCATTTTGGTGCCATTTTTGGAAAAGGCTTTGCCATTGACCGGTGCATTATCGCCTGCGACCTTTCGACCCAGAATTTGGTTACACAAATTTTAATATCTCAGCAATGGTAATGCCCACAGATATTAAACAAAGTGCACTGTGCTTCTGAGAGTTGTATCATTTGGTATGCTCAGTTCAGCAATGCTATTTTACCCTCCTAACACCCTACCCATGCATAGTACTTTGTTGTTCACCTCATTTTACTGTTTGGAACGAATGTAACCGTTTGTTAACCGATTAATGGAGGATGGTTTGTCGGCTGCAAAATTGACTGATATTTGCATCCCTACTTTAGCTGTAAGCTAGCTAGCAAAGTTAGCTTTATGTGAATGCTGAATGTTATTTTGCTAGCTACTAGCTAGCTAACGGTATCTTTCTTTGTGAAGTGCTCTAGCCTGTATGGACATTGCTTTTCCGAACTGTAAATTAATTTAGAGTTCAACATTTCTGCATTATTGAAGTGTGATAAATTATGTGCAGCATGAGTGGGTAGCAAGATCCAGCCTATAGGTTCCTCGATGAAAGGCTTAGTAGCAATGAGTGAGTTGTGCCGGCTGTAGCTTGCAGCAGTTTGACACAAGAGGCACAGTGCGCTCGCGCTATAAAGGGGATATCGGCTGCACCTATAGCCAAGGACTGTTAGCCGATAAGACTATGAAAGGGCTAATATCGGCCGAAAAATATCGGCCCGACCAATTGTTGGTAGAATTCTAACACCCACAAAATGTAAATGCACAAAGAAAAAAAAAGGCCATGTAAACACACACCTGCTGATACTTGCGGAGCTCAGCCTTGATGGGCACAGGGATCTTGTAGTTCTCCAACTTCCTGCTGTCCAGCAGCTGCTCCATGAAGTGACGCTCTCTGGCCTTCTGGCGAATCAGATCATCCGACATGGTGGGAGGATCCGGGATACCCGCCTGAAAAAATAAAAAGTTCAGACTCAAAACTCCTACCCTTTTCACATCACTAAGCTGAACCAAGCCCAGCTGTACTTTGCTGGCCTGGTTTCACATCCACCATAGTTGCTGGAACCTTGCTGGAAATAATGAGAAAATAAAATATCTGAGCTCAATACAATTGGGGTTTGCATGATAGTGTGAAAAGGGTGTAAGACATCCAAACAAACATTACCAGCTGCAAAAGCCAAGCCTCCTAAATGTTTTATATGGGAGTCAACTGTGCGTGTCTCCGTCTGGGAGGTAATTTGGCTGACATTGAGCCGTCCCGGTTCTGCAATGCGCCGATTTCATTACTCCCACTTAATCTTTCTGATTGAAGTGAACAAATGAACTGACAACACTTAACCGCTGACAGATGTCAATGTCGCCATCAATAAAAAATGCCCAACTTCATTAGAGCACACACACCCTCCAAATGACCATCACATAAAACAGCCCCGCTATTCAGCATAGGAAAACAGTGAGATACTGCCCTCTACTGGGCAAAAGGCAAATAACCATATTGCACAGTAGGCAGTAACACTGCAGATAGCATGTATATGGCAGATATAGCGAGTGTTTGAAATCGACTACACTGCAGTCGGACTGCGCAGAATCACAGATCTACAAATTACCTGGCACCCAAAAAAGACTAAACTACACCCAAATAACTACTTGCTCAAACAAATCTCCTTAAAATATACTGACTGTGCTGTATTGTTGTGTGTGTGTTTACCTCAAGTGGCAGCAGGCGGATGAGGGTGGCGAAGCACTGCGTGGCCATGAAACGGACACTGTCACTGGGGTCACTCATGCGGCCCAGCACCGGCACCACCAGCAGCACAATGTACGGCACGATGTCCACATCCAACTGCTCCATCACACCTGGGGGGGGTCAAGGGGTCAAGGACAACCAACCACACGACACCCACTCCCCTGGTTTCATTATTACACCCATTCTTTCAGTTACATCAGGTCTTGTGGGGTTATGGGTTCGATTCCCGCTGGGGTCACATATACAACAAATTCATTCATGCACTCAATGTACTGTTGGATAAAAGTGTCTACTCCATGGCATGTCATTTTTCTATCTTACATAAAAACATTGGTTGGTAGCCCATACATGGGAACATGTCTGACTGACATCGTATGAAGGATACAGGCCATGGCCTCGATGGCCCCCTCCTGCTTAGTGCCATCCTCGATGCACCCCAGCCAGGGCAGCACGCGCTCCAGGAACAGGTTCATGGTCTCCATGGTAGCGATCTTACTGAGCACGCCAACGCAGCGCGCCGCCATGTGACGCACGGCCGTGTACGGGTGCTGCAGACAGGTGAACAGGTGGGGCAGGTGCTCCAACAACTGAAACACACAGGGGAAGAACTTACTAGACAGACAATACACTCCAAAATCAAAGTGTCTGATGTTTTCATGTCAAAGTCCTCTGTTGAGATAAACACACGTACCAGGCCACATGGAGGTGTTTTGGATTGTGGCAGGTGATGTACATGCCACTATCCAAAACACCGCCACGTAATTTCCAGATACCGGTGCTCATCTTCACCATTAATTTGGGCTTGAGGCATATAGTTGGACCTACACAGCAGATGGTGAGGGATTTGGACTCATCTCGACCGACTACTTTTGAGGTTTGAAAACATGGAGAAAGTTTTGTAATTTCCCTTTAAATGAAAGAGAGCTTTGAGAAGTCAATCTTTTACTGGGGTTTAGTAGATAGGGCGTTGGTGTTTCTACTAGTGAGACTCCTGCATGTTGTCTTACCAGAGGTTTGAGCTCGGGGGCCATGGCCCCAGCCGTGACCTCCAGCACCTGCAGAGAGTTGACCAGCTCCTGGGCCGCAGCATCCCCCCTCTCCAACTGGAGCTTCCCATCTACAACACCACAGAGCAGAAATGCATCAATATCTCTTCATTGTTGACGACACACACAAGCGGTATATGAAGATGCCCATCTAGAAGTGGACAGTGGGTAGCAAATAGCAATACATCTTGGTAATGTTCATTACGCACCAAATGGACTGAAACTGGGAAGGGCTACCTTTCCTTGTCCAATAAGAAACATTGTTTTCAGTTACGGTGATCCCTAATGAACATGACCCATATGATCTAATGAGAAGTGTAGCATACCGATGCCTTGGTTGTCCTCCACCACGGCCCTCAAAGGTCCCACCACAGACTCCCAGAGGTATGGCAGTGACCCCGTCAGCTCCTGGCCAAAGTGCCTGGCAACCGTTATCAGGGAGAACTCGGCCCCTCTTCTCTGGACGAGACATGGCTTTTTATTCTGAAACGGTCAAAAATAAACCATCTTCATCAAGAACAGTCAATACACAGGTAAATGTTCAGGTAAACGTTTGCTCCCTCAGTCACCCACCTCATCAGTGTCTGTGGTGATGGTGCTGCCGGGTGGCAGTTCAGTGGTGGGGGTCTTGGGGGTTTTGGGGGTGGGGCCCCTCTTGCTGGTGATGACGAATGCTGCCCTCTGGTGGCGGTACAGGGTGATGATGCCCTTAGTCTTATTGACCATGTGGTGCATGCATTCTTTCTCCGACATGCCAGCTAGGGGTGAGAGAGAAAGGAACAACAGAGTGAGTGTCAGAGGGTTCTATGTCAAATCTGTTTCTGGCAGCCACAACCTCGTTAGTGTTAATCTGGGTCATGTTCATAAGGCACCAAACGGAACAAATCTGACTGAAACAGGGAGGGACCATAAGATCTTCTCAGTTTTGGTCTACATTTCACTATGGTGTGCCCTAATGAACACGAACCAGGATTAAAACCTTGTTGTGTAACCCATCCCATACCTCTAGCAGTCTCCTGAGAGGGGGGCACGGGGCAGGCCGCGGAGGGCGTGAGCAGGGGGTCCACACAGACCGACGAACACAGGTTCTTGACGATCTTGGAATTGGGACATGGCTGCCTACCAGCACACTGCTGCAGCAGCTTGGCGATGAAGGAGGCGGCGTAGCCCTGAACCAGGGTGTTCTCCTCCCGCTTAGCCGCCTCCATCAGCGGACGCACCACCGGGTTCAGCTTGTCTGGTAGCGCCTGCAGGTTGGGATGTGGGAAAACGAAAATGAGCGTTTGTTTCTTGGACAAGTCCAAATAGTCTGTTTTAGTCTGTTTGGTGCCTAATGAACACAACCCAGATTTAACGCTGTACATTTCAGTTTCCATATGATACCATGTACTTCTCTGGCTAATATTGCTGATATCAATACTAATACTATGCATTTATCCTGAACAAAAATATAAACGCAACAATTTCAAATATTTTACTGAGTTACAGTTCATATAAGGAAATCAGTTCAACTGAAATAAATAAATGAGTCCCTAATCTATGGATTTCACATGACTGGGCAGGGGCGCAACCATGGGTGGACCTGGGAGGGCATAGGCCCACCCACAGCGGGAGCCAGGCCCAGCCAATCAGAATGACTTTTTCCCCCACAAAAGGGCTTTATTACAGATAGAAATACTCCTCAGCACATTTCTGGGATTTTTTATTTCAGCTCTTGAAACATGGGGCCAACACTTTACATGTTGCGTTTATATTTTTGTTCAGTGTAAATGAGGATTAAAAATACATGAATACTGAATAAAACAGCAAATAGAGACAATGACCTAATCTGGAATGCCAAATAGGCCTTCAATTAAGAATATAATGCAAAACAATGCTTTGGCTAAACAGGTGAGCAGAGGGGGAAAAAATACTTACAAAATGGTAAATCTACACTGAGTATTTTTATTTTATCTTTATTTAACTAGGCAAGTCAGTTAAGAACAAATTCTTATTTACAATGACGGCCTACACCGGCCAAACCCGGACGACGCTGGGCCAATTGTGCGCCGCCCTATGGGACTCCCAATCACAGCCGGTTGTGATACAGCCTGGAATCGAACCAGGGGGTCTGTAGTGACGCCTCAAGCACTGAGATGCAGTGCCTTAGAACGCTGTGCCACTCGAGTATACCAAACATTAGGAACACTTTCCTAATATCGAGTTGTGCACCCCCCCTTTTGCCCTCAGAACAGCCTCAATTCGTCAGGGCATGGACTCTACAAGGTGTCGAAAGCGTTCCACAGGGATGCTGGCCCATGTTGACTCCAATGCTGCCCTCAGTTGTGTCAAGTTGGCTGGATGTCCTTTGTGTGGTGGACCAATCTATATTTACATTTTAGTCATTTCGCATGGGAAAAAACCCAGCAGCGTTGCAATTCTTGACATAACCCGGTGCGCCTGGTACCTACTACCATACCCCATTTAAAGGCACTTAAATCTTTGGTCTTGCCCATTCACTCTCTGAATGCCGAACATACACAATGTCTCAAGGCTTAAAAATCCTTCTTTAACTTGTCTCCTCCCCTTAAACTACACTGATTGAAGTGGATTTAAGTGACATCAATAAGGGATCATAGCTTTCACCTGGACTCACCTGGTCAGTCTGTCATGGAAAGAGCAGGTGTTCTTAATATTTTGAACACAGTAATGTTTTAAAGTACAAAATATTTAAAACAATTTGAATAGGTGTCGATATCCAGAAAGCAAAGTATCGATAAAGAAATCAAGTTGCCAGTATCAGTCAGCAGTATTAGATGACGTTGGTGCGGACTACCTGCAGGTTGACCACGGCGCAGGCGGTAAACATGTGGACACGCAGGTGCAGCTGCTGCCACTCTACACCGGTCTCGCCCACCGTGGACTGGGCCTGCTGACGCTTGCTGTCCAGTGGCTGAAACTGTTTGGACTTCATATCCAGACCCACGGTGGACTCTGCGAAGATGGTGGTCACCTATGTATGGAGGGAATAGCAGAAGATGGAGAAGGTGAGTAATAACATTCCTAGGTTTGTCATCGTTCAATACAATGGAGTTTAGCCTCCATTAACCTCAATAGGGTCTATAGTTTAATTCCATTTTGGAGTTTAGGGAAATGGAACAGATAGAGAACGACAGATTCAGGGCAAATGGATCTGTTTACAAAACAATCATTCCATTACCAATGTTCCAACATAACAGATTAAAACCAGAGGTCCCAATAACACAGAATTCAGAGTTTTTCACGCAGATAAGATAAAACAGTAAATAATATATTGCTGTGTTTTTTTAACGCAGGCATTTTGTAAATCTAAAAATGGTTCTCATTGTTATTTCTGCTCGCTTCAGTCCATAAGTTGCACTTTTCCACTCGAATGAAAAATCTTGCTAGTCTTCAAACCAATAAAATTCCTGCATTCACAAATGTGCTCTTGATCAGCAGACAGTGCTCTGACTGACGTTTACTTTTCTCCGGTGGTTTTAGCAAGTTAAAATGCAAGATTAACTTCAAGCAAAACATTAGGAAATGACGCTGATGGTCATGCATCGTCTATGCAAAAGATACCGTGCTCTTTCATTGTTAGCCAATTTACTTATGCGTGGCTGCTAACCAAATAGCGTAGCACTTCTGTTGTCCTCTGAGGAAAACAAAGCTATATTCTCCCGAATGTTTAGTAGCATTAACGTTTAGAAAATGCAGGTTTCTGAAATCTAATGCAATCCCTGGAGAACATTAAATATTGAATCATAAACATGAGTAATGACTTCAGAGAGCTCAAAATGTATTCTGCTAAATGCTGCATTTAAATCTGTGTTGAGAATGTAGGTTATGAATCTATGAAGACTTAACCAACGTGGTAAAAACACGGGACTAATACTCTTAGTATAAGCATCCTAAGCTAGGATAGTTTTTTTCTCCCAGCATAGGAACAGTGACAGTTGAAGAGGACCAGAGAGAGTCAATATTAGTACACTACAAGTCTCAGCACACCCCTATGTTTCCGTGGCAGACGGGCACAGGGCCTTCTTCCCAGACAAGCGAACACACCACAGAGACAGCACAAAGCACTATAGTAATCTAACTTTGCGAAATGAGAGCATAAGGTGCCCCAGTTATGTTCTGTAAAATCAAACATGTCGAATATTATAAGTTATAGTAACTTGATCCCCACTGAGCTTAGACTGAACCAGGGAGATGGAAAGTGGCCAGCAGGTGGCCCAGAGGTTAGCGAGGCGGACCTGTAGCCGGAGGATCGACGAATCGAATCCCGGAACGGGCAATAAAGAAATGCGGTCTGAACTGGCAAGAGCAGAAAAATGACTTCTGACAAATAGACAATTTAAATCCACAATGTAATTGATTTGGCTGCCATTTCATCTCATAGGGATGCTACACAGATACAGTGTCGGTGTCGTCCTCACCAGTTCGTTGGCCTGGTCGATAGTGAACACACTGCAGTTCAGGCGGTCGCGCACGTCGATCTGAGCGTCGGCCAGCAGGGCGATGAGCTGCTTACACTCGTTCTGCATGCGTGTGAAGGGAATGGCGATCTCATCATAGTACAGCTGCTCTGACAGGATGGCTAACAGGCGAGGCTGGACCATGGCAGACACCACCTGACACTCCTGGGGCGAGAGAGGGAGGAGGCAAGGTTTCATTTGACATTGGCCGGGATTCAATGAAACTACAGTTTGCTGATATCATGTTGACTATCTACAGTACACCTTGGACGTCGGCTCAAGCAGAAATTTAAAGTAAAATCGCCCTGCACAGGTAGTTTGTGTTTGTTTGAATCCCGGCCATAAAAGCCGCTCTAAAATAAATCCTGACAGAATTGTGGTGAACAAACAAAACAATCTGACGAACGAAAGACTGGGGCCTTACCTTCTGCACGGCGGCCCACTCACAGAGGACCAGGGCCACAGCGATGCGCTGCAGGGCAGACTTGGAGTTGAGGTGGAAGAGCAACAACTGGCCCAGAGACTCAGCCGGCCGGATGTCCTGGGAGGACGAGTTGAGCTGCGGGTCGCAAATACACCGACACAGGGCCCCCAACAGTCTGAAGTAGAAAAATATTTTACAGGTTCATAATTTATGCAAAATGTTGTAACTGGATTTGTCACAATTCCACCATAGTGTTTATTTTTTCCCTTGCCTTCTTTTGTCAAGAAAACACAAGTTTCATACTGGTTAGTTCAATGAGGAAAACACGCTGGGATGTGTGAAACGTTTATCGCAGCCGCTGCTAAATCATTGCCACCACTCTCCAAAAAATATGATTTAAATTGTCTTTTTGAATAATTTATCATGATAGTAAAACGTTTTCAGTGTACACTTAAATTAATAAAGCCTAATATAAAGTATGTAGAAAAGCTATAAAACATTTTAATAACATCTTTGATAACTAACAATCACCAAAATAAAAACCAGACAATCAGGGAGAACTTGTTATGGCATGGGGCCCCCATTGATTTTGTTATACAGTGGGGAGAACAAGTATTTGATACACTGCCGATTTTGCAGGTTTTCCTACTTACAAAGCATGTAGAGGTCTGTCATTTTTATCATAGGTACACTTCAACTGTGAGAGACGGAATCTAAAACAAAAATCCAGAAAATCACATTGTATGATTTTTAAGTAATTAATTTGCATTTTATTGCATGACATAAGTATTTGATACATCAGAAAAGCAGAACTTAATATTTGGTACAGAAACCTTTGTTTGCAATTACAGAGATCATACGTTTCCTGTAGGTCTTGACCAGGTTTGCACACACTGCAGCAGGGATTTTGGCCCACTCCTCCATACAGACCTTCTCCAGATCCTTCAGGTTTCGGGGCTGTCGCTGGGCAATACAGACTTTCAGCTCCCTCCAAAAATGTTCTATTGGGTTCAGGTCTGGAGACTGGCTAGGCCACTCCAGGACCTTGAGATGCTTCTTACGGAGCCACTCCTTAGTTGCCCTGGCTGTGTGTTTCGGGTCGTTGTCATGCTGGAAGACCCAGCCACGACCCATCTTCAATGCTCTTACTGAGGGAAGGTTGTTGGCCAAGATCTCGCAATACATGGCCCCATCCATCCTCCCCTCAATACGGTGCAGTCGTCCTGTCCCCTTTGCAGAAAAGCATCCCCAAAGAATGATGTTTCCACCTCCATGCTTCACAGTTGGGATGGTGTTCTTGGGGTTGTACTCATCCTTCTTCTTCCTCCAAACACGGCGAGTGGAGTTTAGACCAAAAAGCTATATTTTTGTCTCATCAGACCACATGACCTTCTCCCATTCCTCCTCTGGATCATCCAGATGGACATTGGCAAACTTCAGACGGGCCTGGACATGCGCTGGCTTGAGCAGGGGGACCTTGCGTGCGCTGCAGGATTTTAATCCATGACGGCGTAGTGTGTTACTAATGTTTTTTTTTTTTAGACTGTGGTCCCAGCTCTCTTCAGGTCATTGACCAGGTCCTGCCGTGTAGTTCTGGGCTGATCCCTCACCTTCCTCATGATCATTGATGCCCCACGAGGTGAGATCTTGCTAGGAGCCCCAGACCGAGGATGATTGACCGTCATCTTGAACTTCTTCCATTTTCTAATAATTGCGCCAACAGTTGTTGCCTTCTCACCAAGCTGCTTGCCTATTGTCCTGTAGCCCATCCCAGCCTTGTGCAGGTTTACAATTTTATCCCTGATGTCCTTACACAGCTCTCTGGTCTTGGCCATTGTGGAGAGGTTGGAGTCTGTTTGATTGAGTGTGTGGACAGGTGTCTTTTATACAGGTAACGAGTTCAAACAGGTGCAGTTAATAGAGGTAATGAGTGGAGAACAGGAGGGCTTCTTAAAGAAAAACTAGCAGGTCTGTGAGAGCCAGAATTCTTACTGGTTGGTAGGTGATCAAATACTTATGTCATGCAATAAAATGCAAATGAATTACTTAAAAATCATTCAATGTGATTTTCTGGATTTTTGTTTTAGATTCCGTCTCTCACAGTTGAAGTGTACCTATGATAAAAATTACAGACCTCTACATGCTTTGTAAGTAGGAAAACCTGCAAAATCGGCAGTGTATCAAATAAATATAATAAAAATATAATATGCCATTTAGCAGACGCTTTTATCCAAAGCGACTTACAGTCATGCGTGCATACATTTTTTTTTGTGTATGGGTGGTCCCGGGGATCGAACCCACTACCTTGGCGTTACAAGCGCCGTGCTCTACCAGCTGAGCTACAGAGAACCACAAATACTTGTTCTCCCCACTGTAAATGTTTGAGTCACTCAGATAGCATAAGGCCACGCAGGAAATTAGCTTTAGGAACAGTGTTGTTCAATAAAATCCCAGGGAAAACACTATCAATCAACATACAGTGCATTCGGGAAGTATACAGACTCTTTGACTTTTTCCACACTCTTACGTTAAAGCCTTATTCGAAAATAGGGATTAAGTTGTCCCCCCCCCCAAATCTACACACAATAACCCATAATGACAAAGCAAAAACAGGTTATTTGAAATTTTAGCAAATTTATTTAAAATGTAAAACTGAAATATCACATTTACATAAGTATTCAGACCTTTTACTCAGTACTTTATTGAAATCACCTTTGGCAGCGATTACAGCCTCAAGTCTTCTTGGGTATGACGCTACAAGCTTGGCACACATGTATTTGGGGAGTTTCTCCCATTCTTCTCTGCAGATTCTCTCACTCTCTCAGGTTGGATGGGGAGCGTTGCTGCACAGCTATTTTCAGGTCTCTCTAGAGATGTTCAATTGGGTTCAAGTCCGGGCTCTGGCTGGGCCACTCAAGGACATTTCAGAGACTTGTCCCGAAGCTACTCCTGCGTTGTATTGTGTGCTTAGGGTCATTGTCCTGTTGGAAGGTGAACCATCGCCCCAGTCTGAGGTCCTGAGCGCTCTGGAGCAGGTTTTCATCAAGGATCTTTCTGTACTTTGCTCCATTAATGTTTCCTCTCGATCCTGACTAGTCTGCCAGTCCCTGCTGCTGAAAAACATCCCCACAACATGATGCTGCCACCACCATGCTTCACCGTAGGGATGGTGCCAGGTTTCCTCCAGGCGTGACACTTGGCATTCAGGCCAAAGAGTTCAATCTTGGTTTCATCAGACCAGAGAATGTGGTTTCTCATGGTCTGAGTCCTTTAGGTGCCTTTTGGCAAACTCTAAGCGAGCTGTCATGTGCCTTTTACTAAAGGCGTGGCTTCTGTCTGGCCACTCTACCATAAAAAGGCCTGATTGGTGGAGTGCTGCAGAGATGGATGTCCTTCTGGAAGGTTCTCCCATCTCAAGAGGAACTCTGGAGCTCTGTCAGTGACCATTGGGTTCTTGGTCACCTCCCTGATCAAGGCCCTTCTCCCCTGATTGCTCAGTTTGGCTGGGCGGCCAGCTCTAGCCTCTAAAATGTAATGGCAAAATGTAGATTTCTGCCTAAATAGACATACCCAAAAGTGACTGCTATTCATGTGTAATACATGATTCTGACATGCAAAAACTTGGTATATTTGGAAAGAAGACATCTGGGAGATGCTGAGGAAATGATCAGAAGATAGATAGGATACATAGTTCAGAATACACAAGATCAAGCACACACAAAATAACCGTTTTTTATTTTGAAAGTCATCTTTCATTGACAAGTTAAATTCAGCAAAAAAAGAAACCTCCCTTTTTCAGGACCCTGTCTTCCAAAAGATAATTCGTAATAATCCAAATAACTTCACAGATCTCCATTGTAAAGGGTTTAAACACTGTTTCCCATGTGACACTGTTTCCTCAATGAACCATAAAACAATTAATGAACATGCACCTGTGGAACGGTCGTTAAGACACTAACAGCTTATAGACTGTAGGCAATTAAGGTCACAGTTATGAAAACTTAAGACACTAAAAGAGGCCTTTCTACAGACTCTGAAAAACACCAAAAGAAATATGCCCAGGGTCCCTGCTCATCTGCGAGAACGTGCCTTAGGCATGCTGCAAGGAGGCATGAGGACAGCAGATGTGGCCAGGGCAATAAATTGCAATGTTCGTACTGTGAGATGCCTAAGACAGCGCTACAAGGATACAGGACTGGCAGACCACGTGTAACAACACCTGCACAGGATCGGTACATCCGAACATCACACCTGCGGGACAGGTACAGGATGGCAACAACAACTGCCCGAGTTACACCAGGAATGCACAATCCCTCCATCAGTGCTCAGACTGTCCACAATAGGCTGAGAGAGGCTGGACTGAGGGCTTGTAGGCCTGTTGTAAGGCAGGTCCTCACCAGACATCACCGGCAACAACGTCACCTATGGGCACAAACCCACCGTCGCTGGACCAGACATGACTGGCAAAAAGTGCTCTTCACTGACGAGTCGCGGTTTTGTCTCACCCAGGGGTGATGGTCGGATTCAAGTTTATCGTCAAAGGAATGAGGGTTACACCGAGGCCTGTACTCTGGAGCGGGATTGATTTGGATGTGGAGGGTCCGTCATGGTCTGGGGCAGTGTGTCACAGCATCATCGGACTGAGCTTGTTGTCATTGCAGGCAATCTCAACGCTGTGTGTTACAGAGAAGACATCCTCCTCCCTCATGTGGTACCCTTCCTGCAGACTCATCTTGACATGACCCTCCAGCATGACAATGCCACCAGCCATACTGCTCATTCTGTGCGTGACTTCCTGCAAGACAGGAATGTCAGTGTTCTGCCATGGCCAGCGAAGAGCCCGGATCTCAATCCCATTGAGCACATCTGGGACCTGTTGGATTAGAGGGTGAGGGCTAGGGCCTTTGCCCCCAGAAATGTCTGGGAACTTGCAGGTGCCTAGGTGGAAGAGTGGGGTAACATCTCACAGCAAGAACCGGCAAATCTGGTGCAGTCCATGAGGAGATGCAATGCAGTACTTAATGCAGCTGGTGGCCACCAGAGATACTGACTGTTTCTTTTGATAGAAATAAGCTGAACTATTTACAAATGGCATTAGTCTTCGTTTACATCACAGGTGTAGATGATTAGATTTCACTTTCACCATAGCTTGTGCATGTCGTGATAGTCTTTGAAGCAGTTCCTCTCTGCCAGGTAAACAAAAAGCGAACTGGTATTTCGGACAGAAGAACTGGCTTTTCACCCTCCCCCCCCGGGTTTTGGGCAATGCTTGCGGTTCTTCCTTTTGTCTTTTGGCATGTGTGTTGGATAGTGGCGCTCAACTTGAGTGGGGGGTCTTGTGATGGTTGTGAGGTTGCTTTGGTCCCCCAATTCAGCCATTTCCAACGCCAGCTGCTCTCGGAAGGCCAACTGGGCGAGAGGGGTTTGACCTTTTGCTTTGGCCATCTGCTTATGGAGAATGAAAGCATTTACTGTAGCAATGTCCACAAAGTGGTAAAACAAAGTCTTATACCACTTCCTGGTCTTGTGGAGGACCTGGTAGTAGCCTATCAGAGCATCAGATAGGGCAACACCCCACCCATGCTGGCATTGTAGTCCTTCACAGAAACTGGGACATTCTTCCTCACCCCCATTGGCATTTTTCACCCTCCTTGAGACATGGTTGTTATTGAATGCCTTATGCTGTGTTGTGAGCATGATTACTTCCCTAGTGTCCTTCCATTTCACAAAAAGCAGCTTGTTAGTCCTGATCCAACGTATGGTCCCCCTCTCTGCGGTCTTTGTCATGTGGTTTACCTTGGTCTTGGGGAAACCCATTCTGTTAGGACGAATTGTGCCAAAAGCCCCCATTGTCTTTTTCAAGAGGTCTATGAAAAGCATTGGACTAGTATACACATTGTCCACAAAGAGCTTGTAATCACTGCCAAGTAAGGGGAAGTCCATCAACTGCATGACAGAGTTATAACTAAGGCCCTTCCCAGTGGGTGTGATCGCCTTGCCTTCATAGATGAACAAGTTCCACGTGTAGGCAGAGGCTGAAACGACTAGCACAAAGAGCTTGTAGCCCCATTTGGTCAGCTTATTTTTCATATATTGCTTCAAGCCAATTCAAGCATGAGGCAACCATGCGCTCATCTACAGATAGACTTTGAGCAGGCTGGAAGTAAGTTTTGCATGCCTCTGCCATGTCATGATAAAAGGGGCTTGACTCTTGCAAGACGATCACACCCTGCAGTCCCCTTCTTCTGGTCATTCTCCTGATCCTTTTGTGGGTCACTCGTGAAGAGTACGGTTGACAGCCAAGAATCGGTTTTCACTCATGATGGAGGTGGGGAACTTGAACCGATAGAGTGGGGACTTGCTCCAGTTGTCAACTAGTCTTGATACCTTTACCAGTCCCATGTAAATCACCAAGGAAATGTAGTTGAGCATGTCACCCATGGTGATAGGTTTCCAGGACATCTTCCTTCCCCCCTGCTGCTTCTTGTCCCCATACTTGTTGGTATGACTAATTAGTGTTCCCAGTACAGAGGTGGTAAAGTAGAGCTGAAACAGCTGTAAGAGGGTGTATGTTTCATAATATAATTTAGCAGACGCTTTTGTCCAAAGCGACTTAGTCATGTGTGCATACATTTTTTTTTAAACGTATGGGTGGTCCTGGGGATCGAACCCACTACCCTGGCGTTACAAGCGCCATGCTCTACCAATTGAGCTACAGAGGACCGACTGGTCGTTTTGGTTTAAACCTAAATTGTTCTGGCTCCACATCATCTTCAAGGACCGTATGCCACCTGTCCTCAGTTTCATCTCCCTCTGTGGTGCTGCTTCCACTGCCTCTGCCTCTCCCTCTCCTCTGTAGAGGCCTAGATCTCCTCCCTGCCCCTGCACCTCCAGATGAACTGGCAGAGAGGGGAGTGTTGCCAGGGCCTGCAGTGGGGGTGGTTGAAGAGGAGTGGGTTGTTTGCGGAGTAGTGGATGTAGAACCATCAGACGGGGTGATTGACATAGCAGTGGGGGGTGAAGACCAGCGGGGCGAAATTGCTGGGGAGGGGTGGCTCCCAAACGTCATCATCCAAATCCTCCACTCTGTGGTGAATAAAATAAAGGGATATATTGTTGTAAGACACACAGAATTACAGTTGACTAAATTTACAAAACATTACTGTAAAGTAAAAACACCAAGCCTAAACTTTACCTGTACAGTGACTCACATCGGTGAAGCACACACACGATGCAAACTAACACTTTGCAGAGGTGAGAACCACAAAAACAATGGCCATGAGAGTTTAGTGGCCTCTCCAAAGTTACAAGGATGAAACTTAGAACAGCAAACTAATATGAAACACATATAATTCCAAAGTAGTTATTTTCTAACATTGAAATTACTTGTTACATAGGCATATGTAAACTAAATCCAAAGCAACAAAAGCAGACAACTTATAAAATGAAATACATATAGTAAATTAGCTATATAAAGTGAATTAAAATAAATTTACTTACAGATCTAAAAGTGGATCCAATCCTTCCAGAAACCAATCTTTGTCGGCCGAGTCGAAATCATCGTCGTCCAAATTGCTCCCCGATCCGACTCCAGTATTTTATTCAAAGCTTCTATGTCGGTATACTTATTCATGGCTGCTTTCTTTTTAGGTTCCTGTTCAATATTCATAGTTTTTCCCTTTACATTTTTTTATTGAGAAGCCATCTTTTATACTAAAGCGATTAAATTAAAGCGATGAAATCTGTTTACAATGTAATGTAGCGTGCTCAGTGAGTCTCGTCTGAGCCAGGTAGCAATAGTTCGCATTACGCATAAAAAAGGTTCTAGGCCTTGCTTTGTCCCACCCAGGTCAACTGCATATCCCTGGAAAGCTTCTCATTGGCTACAAGACTGTCAAGGTGCCATAGTAGTCAATCCCCTGTGTAATGGATGCCTACAGCACGTAAGCAGGCAACATATTTTTGATGCACAAAGACAGTCACTCGGTGGACATTCAATGTTTTACATCGAAGTCATACATCATCAGATAACATTAGCAATAGGTTAGATTTGTTCCTACCAACCTAAGGATTAATTTGATCCCCCCCCCCCCTTTTAGTCTCTCAGGATCCAACCGCTGCCTTTTGTCCCAATTCTACCATTTAGTTATTTTTCTAAAATATCTCTAGGGATTAAAATTAGATGGAGAAATAGAAACAGGGAGACTAACTTGGCGGCCATGAGTCGAGCCCGTGTCACCACATAGTCCCGCGTCATTGGGTCCTCGGTCACGGTTTCTGTGCCGGCGATGTACTCCTGAACAGTCTCCTTCACCTGAACCAAGGCTCCCTGGCGAGGCTTCCCACCAGCCTTCTCCTGTCAAACGATATTAGAGAACATCTGCATCAGAAACCTGGGTTAGGTTCAGTGATTTTTTTTGTTGTTGCCCAAAACGGACTGGTACCATCAGAGGTTGTCCAATAAGAACAGTCACTTTTGTTTTCCATTGCAGAAAGTCTACAGTGTGCCCTAATGAACAGCGCCCTAGACTATTTCACATCATCATACCAGACAATATGAGTAACCATCCTCTCACCTTGCAGCGAGACTTGACTTCCAGCAGCATGTTGATGTCTATGGGGATGTGAGAGGCTTGCATCATCAGACAGAGCCAGGCACCCATCCAGGGACAGCTGGCTGCCACCACGTACTGCTGAGGGGCCTGGCGCAGCAGCTCTGTCCACACCTACAAGGCAAACTCATTAAAAACAGCAGCCAGGATTTACGGTTGCAAAATCCCAGGAACTTTCAATAAATTCCCTGGTTTATTAAAAAATGTTGTGACGTCATTACGTCCCGCTGTTTTTATCGACACGATCGTTAAATGGAAATGCACCCAAGCAGGCAATAGTCGCATCAGTTTTCTATACGTCTACAAAAATAAAATAAAAATAAATAAAAAGATCACTGGACAAGTTAATGGAAACATGGCTAATGTCATATTACTAAATACTAAAATCCTGTCGAGACAATTGGAACCTGGGGATGATTAGGTGGCCATGATGGTATGAGGGCCAGATTGGGAATTTAGCCAGGACACTGGGGTTAACACCCCTACTCTTCCGATAAGTGCCATGGGATTTTTAGTGACCACAGAGAGTCAGGACACGTGTTTAACATCCCATCCTAAAGACGGCACCTTACACAGGGCAATGTCCCCAATCACTGCCCTGGGGCATTGGGATATAGATAGATATGAACCCTGTCTTTCAAAGATAATTAGTAAAAATCCAAATAACTTCACAGATCTTCATTGTAAAGGGTTTAAACACTGTTTCCCATGCTTGTTCAATGAACCATAAACAATTAATGAACATGCATCTGTGGAACGGTCGTTAAGACACGAACAGCTTGCAGACGGTAGGCAATTAAGGTCACAGATATGAAAACTTAAGACACTAAAAGAGGCCTTTCTACTGACTCTGAAAAACACCAAAAGAAAGATGCCCAGGGTCCCTGCTCATCTGCGTGAACGTGCCTTAGGCATGCTGCAAGGAGGCATGAGGACTGCAGATGTGGCCAGGGCAATAAATTGCAATGTCCGTACTGTGAGACGCCTAAGACAGTGCTACAGGGAGACAGGATTGACAGCTGATCGTCCTCGCAGTGGCAGACCACATGTAACAACACCTGCACAGGATCGGTACATCCGAACATCACACCTTCGAGAGAGGTACAGGATGGCAACAACAACTGCCCGAGTTACACCAAGAATGCACAATCCCTCCATCAGTGCTCAGACTGTCCACAATAGGCTGAGAGAGGCTGGACTGAGGGCTTGTAGGCCTGTTGTAAGGCAAGTCCTCACCAGACATCACCTGCAACAACGTCGCCTATGGGCACAAACCCACCGTCGCTGGACCAGACAGGACTGGCAAAAAAATGCTCTTCACTGACGAGTAGCGGTTTTGTCTCACCCAGGGGTGATGGTCGGATTCGCGTTTATCGTCGAAGGAATGAGGGTTACACCGAGGCCTGTACTCTGGAGCGGGATTGATTTGGATGTGGAGGGTCCATCATGGTCTGATGCAGTGTGTCACAGCATCATCGGACTGAGCTTGTTGTCATTGCAGGCAATCGCAACGCTGTACGTTACAGGGAAGACATCCTCCTCCCTCATGTGGTACCCTTCCTGCAGTCTCATCCTGACATGACCCTCCAGCATGACAATGCCACCAGCCATACTGCTCGTTCTGTGCGTGATTTCCTGCAAGACAGGAATGTCAGTGTTCTGCCATGGCCAGCGAAGAGCCCGGATCTCAATCCCATTGATCACGTCTGGGACCTGTTTGATCGGAGGGTGAGGGCTAGGGCCATTTCCCCCAGAAATGAACTGGCAAATCTGGTGCAGTACATGAGGAGGAGATGCACTGCAGTCCTTAATGCAGCTGGTGATCCCCCCCCCCTCTGTTCAGGGACACATTATTCCATTTCTGTTAGTCACATGTCTGTGGAACTTGTTCAGTTTATGTCTCAGTTGTTGAATCTTGTTATGTTCATACAAATATTTACACATGTTAAGTTTGCTGAAAATAAACGCAGTTGACAGTGAGTGGACGTTTCTTTTTTTGCTAAAATTAAATTTATTTTAGGGGGACCAGAGGAAAGAGTGCCTCCTACTGGCCCTCCAACACCACATCCAGCAGCATCTGGTCTCCCTTCCAGGGACCAACCCTGTTTAGCTTCAGAGGCAAGACAGCAGTGGGATGCATGGTGGTATACTGCTGGCAAATAGGATTCCATCCAACCAGAAAAGAAAGGCAAAGCAATTCAGGCATTCTTGAAAGTCAGGACAATCCTTGTCCTGCAAAGAAACATTTTTATAGCTGAAAAAATTGATTTTGCAAGCAGCAGGCATTTAGAATTAAATTATTTGGCAATCATGTATTCTAAAAAGTATCCATCATTTGTCGCAATAAAGAGAGACAAAAGAAAACTCCACCACCTGTCGAAAGGATAAAATGTTTATTGATCTTTAGAAAACGTCTACTACATCTGCCGTTTCTATTACACATCAATTTTCTTTGCAAAATTGCTTTTGTCTAATAAACCTGGGTCAATGGAAACCTGTCTAGTGTGGTGTGTGTCTCAAACCTTTTGGATGAGGTCCAGGATCTCCTGATTGCTCTCCAAGATGCAGGACTGGAAGATGTGTCGGAGCATGTCTTGCAGGACCTGGTTGAGCCATAATGCACAGCTCTGGAACAACAGACTTCAGTTATGAAAACGAAGAGTTGTACTCATACATAAGCATTCCAAAAATTGGCCCAATCTCAAAATCGACTCCAAGACCCTAACGCCCCACGTGTGTTGTTGACCTGAGAGGATTCGATTGGTATAAGCAATATGGTTAAACCTCCACCTAGCCCATCAAGGGGCAAGGCAGAGCTATTACCTTAATGCCAGATCTACACTAGTGCATAGGGGTCTATTTAGGATTGGGCCATTGACATAGTTTTCTTTTAAAACCCACCTGGTCAGCTTTGGATAGTAGGGTGAAAAGGGTCTCTAGTGCGGCCCGTCTGACTGATGATATGGTGTGTCTAAGGAATGGCCAGACCCGAGGGACGAGGACCGTTAGGGACTGCTGCATGCTGGAGGGACAAAAGAGAGCATTGTTAGGCCTGTCAACCCTTGCAAAAGTTGTCCTCAGTACATGCAAAGCACACTAGACATTTCATTGACAAAGGGAACTAAAAACAACAATTCTACACCTTGTTGTACTTAAAACAAAAATAACCACAACAAAAAAAACGTACTTGTTTGAACGTTTCTCAGCCATATAAAACACCATTGACTTTACAAGACATCTGCTCTTTACCACAACAATTGTAGATCTTCATCGGAATGTTCCTTCAAGTACAAGATGTTCATGATTTCCATGATGAAGTGGGAGAGGTTATCTATCTGTACAGACAGGAGAGGAGTCACTCACCTGCACTGTCGGACTTGGGGGTAAGTGAGCAGAGAGGACAGTAGGGTCATGATGCTGTTGGTGGAGGCAGTCAGGTCATCCAGCTCCAGGAGAGCGTCCCACAGGGAGTTCACTATGAACGGGACCTGAACAATAAAGAGAAAAAAAACTGTTTTATGTAGATCATGACTGCAGAGACAACTGCTATGGTTCGCACAGCACTGAATAAAACAGAGCAAATAAACTCAACCTGGGAAAACAAAAATGAGTATTTCTTATTGCATACAGTGCCTTGCAAAAGTATTCACCCCCCTTGGCGTTTTGTCTATTTTGTTGCATTACAACCTGTAATTTAAATGGATTTTTATTTGGATTTCATGTAACGGACATACACAAAATAGTCCAAATTCGTGAAGTGCAACGAAAAAATTTATAACGGAAAAGTGGTGCGTACATATGTATTCACCCCCTTTGCTACGAAGCCACTAAATAAGATCTGGTGCAACCAATTACCTTCAGAAGTCACATAATTAGTTCAAGTCCACCTGATCTCAGTATACACACAGTTTTTCAACCACTCCACAAATTTCTTTTTAACAAACTATAGTTTTGTCAAGTCGGTTAGGACATCTAATTTGTGCATGACAAGTAATTTTTCCAACAATTGTATCACAATTACAGTGGGTCAGAAGTTGACTGTGCCTTTAAACAGCTTGGAAAATTCCAGAAAATGTCATGGCTTTAGAAGCTTCTGATACGCTAATTGACATCATTTGAGTCAATTGGAGGTGTACCTGTGGATGTATTTCAAGACCTACCTTCAAACTCAGTGCCTCTTTGCTTGACATCATGGGAAAATCAAAAGAAATCAGCCAAGACCTCAGAAAAAGAATTGTAGACCTCCACAAGTCTGGTTCATCCTTGGGAGCAATTTCCAAATGTCTGAAGGTACCACGTTCATCTGTACAAACAATAGTACGCAAGTATAAACACCATGGGACCACGCAGCCGTCATACCGCTCAGGAAGGAGACGCGTTCTGTCTCCTAGAGATTAATGTACTTTGGTGCGAAAAGTGCAAATCAATCCCAGAACAACAGCAAAGGACCTTGTGAAGATGCTGGAGGAAACGGGTACAAAAGTATCTATTTCCACAGTAAAATAAGACCTATATCGACATAACCTGAAAGGCCGCTCAGCAAGGAAGAAGCCACTGCTCCAAAAACGCCATTAAAAAAGCCAGACTACGGTTTGCAAAGGCACATGGGGACAAAGATCGTACTTTTTGGAGAAACGTCCTCTGGTCTGATGAAACAAAATAGAACTGCTTGGCCATAATGAACTTCGTTATGTTTGGAGGGAAAAGGGGAAGGCTTGCCAGCTGAAGAACACCATCCCAACCTTGAAGCACGGGGGTGGCAGCATCATGCTGTGGGGGTGCTTTGCTGCAGGAGGGACTGGTGCACTTCACAAAATAGATGGCATCATGAGGAAGGAAAATGATGTGGATATATTGAAGCAACTTCTCAAGACAGTCAGGAAGTTAAAGCTTGGTTGCAAATGGGTCTTCCAAATGGACAATGACCCCAAGCATACTTCCAAACTTGTGGCAAAATGGATTAAGGACAACAAAGTCAAGGTATTGGAGTGGTCATCACAAAGCCCTGACCTCAATCCTATAGAAAATGTGTGGGCAGAACTGAAAAAGCAATGCTACCAAATACTAATTGAGTGTACAGTGAGGGAAAAAAGTATTTGATCCCCTGCTGATTTTGTACGTTTGCCCATTGACAAAGAAATGATCAGTCTATAATTTTAATGGTAGGTTTATTTGAACAGTGAGAGACAGAATTACAAAAAAATCCAGACAAACGCATGTCAAAAATATTATAAATTGACTTGCATTTTAAATGAGGGAAATAAGTGTTTGACCCCTCTGCAAAACATGACTTAGTACTTGGTGGCAAAACCCTTGTTGGCAATCACAGAGGACAGACGTTTCTTGTAGTTGGCCACCAGGTTTGCACACATCTCAGGAGGGATTTTGTCCCACTCCTCTTTGCAGATCTTCTCCAAGTCATTAAGGTTTCGAGGGTGACGTTTGGCAACTCGAACCTTTAGCTCCCTCCACAGATTTTCTATGGGATTAAGGTCTGGAGACTGGCTAGGCCACTCCAGGACCTTGTGCTTCTTCTTGAGCCACTCCTTTGTTGCCTTGGCCGTATGTTTTGGGTCATTGTCATGCTGGAATACCCATCCACGACCCATTTTCAATGCCCTGGCTGAGGGAAGGAGGTTCTCACCCAAGATTTGACGGTACATGGCCCCATCCATCGTCCCTTTGATGCAGTGAAGTTGTCCTGTCCCCCCCAAGAATTGAACCCTGTGGCACCCCCATAGACTGCCATAGGTCCAGACAACAGGCCCTCCGATTTGACACATTGAACTCTATCTGAGAAGTAGTTGGTGAACCAGGCGAGGCAGTCATTTGAGAAACCAAGGCTATTTAGTCTGCCAATAAGAATGCGGTGGTTGACAGAGTCGAAAGCCTTGGCCAGGTCGATGAAGACGGCTGCACAGTACTGTCTATTATCGATCGCGGTTATGATATTGTTTAGGACCTTGAGCGTGGCTGAGGTGCACCCATGACCAGCTTGGAAACCGGATTGCATAGCGGAGAAGGTACGGTGTGATTCGAAATGGTCGGTGATCTGTTTGTTAACTTGGCTTTCAAATACTTTCGAAAGGCAGGGCAGGATGGATATAGGTCTGTAACAGTTGGATCTAGAGTGTCACCCCCTTTGAAGAGGGGGATGACCGCGGCAGCATTCCAATCTCTGGGGATCTCAGACGTTATGAAAGAGAGGTTGAACAGGCTAGTAATAGGGGTTGCGACAATTTCGGCGGCTATTTTTAGAAAGGGTCCAGATTGTCTAGCCCAGATGATTTGTAGGGGTCCAGATTTTGCAGCCCTTTCAGAACATCAGCTGTCTGAATTTGTGTGAAGGACAAGCGGGGGGGGGGGGGGCATGGGCAAGTTGCAGCGGAGGGTGCAGAGCTGGTGGCTGGGGTAGTGGTAGCCAGGTGGAAAGCATGGCCAGCCGTAGCAAAATGCTTGTTGAAATTCGATTATTGTAGATTTATCAGTGGTGATAGTGTTTCCTAGCCTCAGTGCAGTGGGCAGCTGGGAGGAATTGCTCTTATTCTCCATGGACTTTACAGCATCCCAAAACCTTTTGGAGTTAGTGCTACAGGATGCAAATTTCTGTTTGAAAAAGCTAGCCTTTGCTTTCCTAACTGCTTGTGTATATTGGTTCCTAACTTCCCTGAAAAGTTGCATATTGCGGGGGCTATTCGATGCTAATGCAGTACGCCACAGAATGTTTTTGTGCTGGTCAAGGGCAGTCAAGTCTGAGGAGAACCAGTGGCTATATCTGTTCTTAGTTCTGAATTTTTTGAATGGGGCATGCTTATTTAAGATTGAGAGGAAAGCACTTTTAAAGAACAACCAGGCATCCTCTACTGACGGAATGAGATCGATATCCATCCAGGTCAATTAGGAAGGCCTGCTCGCTAAAGTGTTTTAGGGAGCGTTTGACAGTGATGAGGGGTGGTCGTTTGACCGCGGACCTGTTACGGACGCAGGCAATAAGGCAGTGATTGCTGAGATCCTGGTTGAAGACAGCGGAGGTATATTTAGAGGGTAAGTTAGTCAGGATGATATCTATAAGGGTGCCCATGTTTACGGATTTAAAGGTTGTACCTGGTAGGTTCCTTGATAATTTGTGAGAGATTGAGGGCATCTAGTTTGGATTGTAGGATGGCCGGGGTGTTAAGCATATCCCAGTTTAGGTCACCAAGCAGTACGAACTCTGAGGATAGATGGGGGGCAATCAATTCACATATGGTGTCCAGGGCACAGCTGGGGACTGAGGGGGGTCTGTAGCAAGCGGCAACAGTGAGAGACTTATTTCTGGAAAGGTGGATTTTTAGAAGTAGGAGCTCAATCTGTTTGGGCACAGACCTGGATAGTATGATAGCCTGCAGAGCTCTATCTTTACAGTAGATTGCAACTCCACCCCCTTTGGCAGTTCTATCTAGACAGAAAATGTTGTAGTTGGGGATGGACATTTCTGAATTTTTGGTGGCCTTCCTAAGCCAGGATTCAGACACTGCTAGAACATCAGGGTTGGTAGAGTGTGCTAACGCAGTGAATAACTCAAACTTAGGAAGGAGGCTTCTGATGTTAACATGCAAAAAAAACAATGCTTTTACGGTTACAGAAGTCAACAAATGATAGCTCCTGGGGAGTAGGAGTGATACTGGGGGCTGCAGGGCCTGGGTTAACCTCTACATCACCAGAGGAACAGAGGAGGACTAGAATAAGGATACGGCTATAGGCTTTAAGAACTGGTCTTCTAGTGCGTTGGGTACAGAGAGTAAAGAGGGCAGATTTCCGGGCGTTGTAGAATAGATTCAGGGCATTATGTACAGACAAGGATATGAGTACAGTGGAGGTAAACCTAAGCGTTGGGTAACAATGAAAGAGATAGCGTCACTGGACAGCAATATGTGAGTCAGAGAGCAGTTCGAATTGCTGCTACAGCACAGGCTAGCAGGAAGCATGGCTGTTGTTTGCGTGTGCTAGCGGGCCGGGGTTAGCAGATGGATCATCGTGGTCGTCGCAACGGGAAGCCTGTTGAAACCACAGACGATTACGTCGGCAGACCAGTCGTGATGGATCGGCGGGGCTCCGTGTCGACTCTAGGAGGTCCCGTCCGGTTGACAGAAGGGTAGATAGCCGGGAGATGGGCCTGACACGAGGCTAGCTCAAGGCTGATTAGCCAACAACAACATCCATTTGGTTGCAGCTAGCTAGTTGCGATGATCCGGAGTTAAAGGTCCAGTGATTCCGGCAGAAAAACCGATATGTTCTGGGTCGATAACACGCTGTGCAGACAGTGCAGACTGGCCGATAATAGTCCAGGCTAGAGCTGGCTGGTAGGTAGTGCAGGCCACAAACAATGGTGAAAAACTAGTTAGCTGCCTACTCCCGTCCGGTAGACAGAGAGGTAGATAGCCGGGATATGGGCCTGGCTCGAGGCTAGCTCAAGGCTAACTGGTGCTTGCTTCGGGGGCAGTGGTGATTAGCCAACAGCAACATCCATTCGGTTGCGGCTAGCTAGTTGCGATCCGGTGTTAATGTCCAGTGATTCAGTTATTCCGGCAGAAAATCCGATGTTCTGGGTGAAAACTGCTAACGGTGGCTAATAGCTAGTTAGCTGGCTAGCTAGTTTCAACTGGAGATTCTAGATAAAAGGTAAGTCAATAATAGAATCCATTCCACATTGAGTGAGGCGGGTTGCAGGAAAGTATATTTAGTAGAAGGATGAAAAGTGAGATAGGGAAATATGTACGAAAAATACAAAAAACAGGCTATTTACACGGACACACACGACCGCACTGCTACGCCATCTTGGATGCAAAGTAGCTAGTAGTCTAGCTTACTGTTGGCGTTTTGGAATAGGAAACAACTGAACTAGGCCTATATGAGCTTGTTTCAGATCTGCATCCCTAAACTAATCCATCAAGTTAAGTCTGACTACTAGGCTACCATTTATTCAACATGCCTCGTTGACATTGGTGAACTGACTATTATTATGTCATTAGCAGCCTACTGTTGACATACAGCTATATCAAGAGGTCAGATCAAGAACTGATTAATTAACATAGACTTAAAAGATTAGTAGGCCTAACATAACTGTTTGTTTCCATCCACGCAGTAGCACACACTGAACTACGATTAGTGCTATCCGGGATCAGAGAGCTAGAGATGCGTCAAAAACCAATGTGCCAACTAGAAGCCTATTTTTGCGTATTTTAGGGTAGTTTTTCGTACCAGCGTACTTCTACCTCAAATTGCGTGCATGGTGGGCAAAATGTGTGCAGGTTGGCAGGTCTGAAGAAGTATACAATGACAGCAAAGGCAAAGCCATGGGAGAGGCATGACTATGTGAGAGGTGAGGTTTGAGAGAGGCTAAAGGGCAGTTACGGTGACCAGATGGAAAGAGTGACTGTGGTGAGGTGCTCCTGTCTGACCTTGTTGGGGAGTAGCTGCACTAAGCCATCCACCACAGGGATGAGGGCCGAGGCCGCCACCGCTCTGACATCATCATCCAGGTCCTGTAGCCCCTCCGTGATGGCAGGGAGCACCCGTGGAAGCAGAGCGGATATCAGGTCCTGAGAGGAAAGGGGGGGGGGGGGGGGGGGGGGGAGAAAGCAATGGAGCGAGAAAGAAGGTTATAGAAAGACAATGAGTGTAGTCCAGGGATTCAGCCACAGGCCGATTTTTTTCTGGAGTGGCTGGTCGGGGCCCGGAACATAATTACTAATAATTTGTAGATTGCAAATTGACCATAAGAAGCCCAAACAGATAATATTTGACTAAACCATCATAATTTAAAACATGAATGTAAATACTTTGGATTAGATTTCCAAAATTAAAATCACTTGGAGCCGATTTGCTGGTGTTTCTAGTCTTTACTGTCCCCCAATAAAACAAATCTAATATATATTATTATTTTTTGCTTAGAAAACTTGGGGGACCAAATAAATGAACCCGCGGGCCAAATTCGGCCAGTTGGGGAACCCTGGTCTAGTCTATACATGTATAAAACTGGATAACACACATCATGCATGGTGGGCAACAGAGGCAAGCAGACAGGACAGGAGGTTATTGGTACCTGTCGGACTGCCAGGCCATACTTGATGCCCAGAAGACCCCCGTGCCGGACCTCCCACTGGTCCTCCGTCAGCAGCTTCAGCAGGATGTCTACTGTCATGGCAACGGCGCAGTCAGTCATGTGGCGCAAGGCCACGCCCAGTGTCTGGGCACAGGTCTCTCTAACCGGAGCCACCACCTGACCAGAGAGTAGAGACAGCATGTTAGACATACAGCAAAGCCTGACTCGTAAGTGCCGTGAATAGGGTTGAACAATTCTGTAAACTCTTGCATTTTTTAAAACATTTATGCAATATTGTTACCTTACCCTAGAGCAGTGGTCACCAACCTTTGAGTTAAAAAAAAAATCTCATTAAAAAGATTGACATGACTTAACATAAGCCTATTCAACATTAACCAATTAAAAACAGTTCTGTAGCAATGAGGTTTGTGCAGTAGGCTATTGGCCCAATACATCACTGCATATTGGCCATGCTTGAATTGCTTTTCTCAGACCATTTTGAAATTATATATATTTTTTAAATTAGGTATATGATCACACTTTTTTATTTTTGTGGACTGATGGCCTACATCTGATGGTCAAGTCTGAGGGGAGGGAGGAAGCAGCAGTGAGGCTGCCTCTCACCAGACTCAAAGTCCCTCCGTCCTCCCTCCCTCCGCTGAGGAAAGGGGACAGTCTTCTAGCTCATGGCGAAACTCAAGTCGCACTGCATTATTTCTGCCTCATGCACAAATTCATGTTGTTACTCCTATGACCAGAGAAAGTGAAATATTCCTCGATATTAAAAAAGACAAGCCACTAATGATAACAATGCAAGCTTATCGGAACACTTTGCTATACACATTCGTTGCAGCTGCAGTGCTGGTTTTAGCGTGTGGAATTAGGGAGAACGCACATTACGGCTTATAAAGGTGTTGAACAAAGCGTTGAAATTGCGGAATAACTTACAAATAAAAACAGAAGCTCTTTGCTGTATTCATTGAGTCGCTCTCTAGTCATTTTAAAAGTTCCGAAATCTCAGTATCAACTGCATTCAAGGCTTCTTTTTCCAGTCTACGGCTCGAGGAAACTGTGCAGACGCCGTGATCTGAGCCATCGGATTGGCCAGCGGTAGACCTATAGGTGCACTTGATTTTCTCTCTGGGCCTGCCGGGTAGGCGAAGTTCCACCTTCAGACACACAAAATGGTTCAAAATGGGAACACTTTGCCTTCCCAGCGCTACGGCTGCTGAATCAAGTGCACCTACAACCAACAGCGCGAAACAAATACAAAAAATAGGAACGCAAAGCTTTTTCTTTTTACATTTGTTTAGTGATCGACTAGGAATTCCTTGGAGATCGACCGGTTGGTGACCACTGCCCCAGAGGGAGTAAATAATGAAGTCTTATTGAATTAAATTCAACCACCCCACTCAATAGCACGGTAGGGTGGTATGCTACAAGACACACCTCATCAGAGACAAAATCTCCAAAACGGTCCAGAGCAAAGACACAGAGCAGCCGGATGACCACGTCCTCCAGCCACTCCTGGTGGTGCCGCGCCATCTGGAAAAGGTCAGACATCTATTGTGGTCAGATATATTATAGGTAAACTGAAATATTAATGTTTGGTTTGTATGGAGGTTGCATAGAGAGAAGAGTCAGATACAGTACCTGTTCTGCAGTGCATCCCACCAGCTTCCCTCCTCCAGCACCTTGAGACTTGAGGATCTCCCTGAGGCCTGTGCCTGCTCCGTGTCGAATCTGGACACACAGACAGAGCACTAGTAGCTGCACAGCTCATTTTAGTGTCAGTCTAAATGCTGCCCCTTACGTGTTTATACATTGGATCCTTATAGAACAATTACACTGAACAAAAATACAAAACGCAACATGTAAAGTGTTGGTCCCATGTTTCATGAGCTGCAATAAAAGATCCCAGAAATGTTCCATATGCACAAAAAGCTTTTCTCTCAAATGTTGTTTACTTCCCTGTTAGTGAGCATTTCTCCTTTGCCAAGATAATCCATCCACCTGACAGGTGTGGCATATCAAGAAGCTGATTAAACAGTATGATCTTTACACAGGTGATCCTTGTGCTGGGGAAAATAAAAGGCCATTCAAATGTGCAGTTGTTACAACACAAAGCCACAGATGTCAAGTTGAGGGAGCATGCAATTGGCATGCTGACCGCAGGAATGTCCAAGAGAGCTGTTGACAGAGAATTTATTGTGACATTTCTTTGCCATAAGCCTACGTTGTTTTAGAGAATTTGGCAGTACGTCCAACCGGCCTCACAACCGCAGACCACGTGTAACCACGCCAGCCCAGGACCGCCACATCAAGCTTCTTCACCTGCGGGATTGTCTGAGACCAGCCACCCGGACATCTAATGAAATTGTGGGTTTGCACAACCGAAGAATTTCTGCAGAAACTGTCCGTCTCAGGGAAGCTCATCTGCGTGCTTCTCGTCCTCACATGTGTCTTGACCTGACTGCAGTTCAGCGTCGTAACCGACTTCAGTGGGCAAATGCTCACCTTTGATGGCCACTGGCGAAGTGTGCTCCCAGTTTCAACTGTGCCGGTCAGATGGCAGACAGCGTGTATTGCATTGTGTGGGCGAGCGGTTTGCTGATGTCAACATTGTGAACAGAGTGCCACATGGTGGCGGTGGGGTTATGGTATGGGCAGGCATAAGCTACGGACAACGAACACAATTGCATTTTATCGATGGCAATTTGAATGCACAGAGATACCGTGATGAGATCCTGAGGCCCCTTGTCGTGCCATTCATCCGCCGCCATCCCCTCTTGTTTCAGCATGATAATGCAAGGGCCCATGTCGCGAGGATCTGTACACAATTCATGGAAGCTGCATACTCAGACATGTCACCCATTGAGCATGTTTGGGATGCTCTGGATCGACAGTATTCCAGTTCACGCCAATATCCAGCAACTTCGCACAGCCATTGAAGAGGAGTGGGACAACATTCCACAGGCCACAATCAACAGCCTGATCAAATCTATGCGAAGGAGATGTGTCGCGCTGCATGAGGAAAATGGTGGTCCACCAGATACTGACTAGTTTTCTGATCCACGCCCCTACATTTAAAAAAAGATATCTGTGATCAAAAGATGCATATCTGTATTCCCAGTTAAGTGAACCCAATAGATTAGGGCCTAATGAACTCATTTCAATTTACTGATTTCCTTATATGAACTGTAAATCAGTAAAATCTTTGAAATTGTTGTGTTGTATGTAATGGCGACTGAGGGGATGGCTGCCGTTTTACAGGCTCCTAACAAACTGTGCTATTTTTTGTGTTTTTTTCACATGGTTTGTAACTTATTTTGTACATAATGTTGCTGCTACGTCTCTTATGACCGAAAAGAGCTTCTGGATATCAGAACAGCGATTACTCACCTCGAACTGGACAAAGATTTTTTCTTTAATGAGTCCGACGCGAAGGATATAGTGCTTCCGAGACCAGGCCCAAATCCCTGTCATTCGTGCGAAGAAAAGACGGAAATACAGGGGGCGGAGATCGGGGTGCATTGTTAGAATTTGTCGGCGAGTGGGTAACCCGCCTCTACCATCCGTTCTACTGCCCAACGTGCAATCACTGGAAAATAAACTGGATTATCTCCATTTGAGACTATCCTACCAACGGGACATTAAAAACTAATATCTTATGTTTCACAAGTCGTGGCTGAATGACGAAACTGATAATATACATTTGGCTGGGTTTTCTGTGCATCGGCAGGACAGAACAGCTACGTCCGGTAAGACGAGGGTTGGGGGTGTGTGTCTATTTGTCAATAACAGATGGTGTACGATGTCTAATATAAAGGAAGTCTCGAGGTATTACTCGCCTGAGGTAGAGTACCTCATGATAAACTGTAGACCACACTATCTACCAAGAGAGTTAATGTATATTTTTCGTAGCCATCCATTTACCACCACAAACCGATGCTGGCACTAAGATCGCACTCAACGAGCTGTATAAGGCCATAAGCAAACAAGAAAATGCTCATCCAGAAGCAGTGCTCCTAGTGGACAGGGACTTTAATGCAGGCAAACTTACATCCGTTTTACCTCATTTCTACCAGCGAAAATAAATCTGACCATAATTCTATCCTCCTGATAAGCAAAAACTAAAGCAGGAAGTTGTCAGATGACGCAGATACTACACTGCAGGACTGTTTTGCCAGCACAGACTGGAATATGTTCCGGGACTCATCCAATGGCATTGAGGAGTATACATTTTTGACATTATTTTTTTAAAAACATTTTAGTCATTTAGCAGACGCTCTTATCCAGAGCGACTTACAGTTAGTGAGTGCATACATTATTACATTTTTTTTTTTTTTTCATACTGGCCCCCCGTGGGAATTGAACCCACAACCCTGGCGTTGCAAACGCCATGCTCTACCAACTGAGCTACATCCCTGCCGGCCATTCCCTCCCCTACCCTGGACGACGCTGGGCCAATTGTGCGCCGCCCCATGGGTCTCCCGGTCGCGGCCGGCTACGACAGAGCCTGGATTCGAACCAGGATCTCTAGTGGCACAGCTAGCACTGCGATGCAGTGCCTTAGACCACTGCGCCACTCGGGAGGTGTATACCACCTCAGTCCACCTCAGGTGTATACCACCTCAGTCACCGGCTTCATCAATAAGGGCATCGACGACGTCGTCCCCACAGCGACAGTACGTACATACCCCAACCAGAAGCCATGGATTACAGGCAACATCCACACCGAGCTAAAGGCTAGAGCTGCCGCTTTCAAGGAGCGGGACACTAATCCAGACGCTTATAAGAAATCCCACTATGCCCTCAGACGAACCGTCAAACAGACGAACCGTCAAACAGGCAAAGCGTCAATACAGGACTAAGATTGAATCCTACTACACCGGCTCGTCGGATGTGGCAGAGCTTGCAAACTATTACGGACTACAAAAGGTAAACCCAGCAGCGAGCTGCCCAGTGACGCGAGCCTACCAGACGAGATAAATGCCTTTTATTCTCTCTTCAAGGCAAGCAAAACTGAAGCATGCATGAGAGCACCAGCTGTTCCGGACGACTGTGTGATCACGCTCTCCGTAGATGATGTGAGCAAGACCTTTAAACAGGTCAACATTCGCAAGGCCGCGGGGCAAAACAGATTACCAGGACGTGTACTCAGAGCATGCGCGGACCAACTGGCAAGTGTCTTCACTGACATTTTCAACCTCTCCCTGACCAAGTCTGTAATACCGACATGTTTCAAGCAGACCACCATAGTCCCTGTGCCCAAGAAAAAGAAGGTAACCTGCCTAAATGACTACCGCCCCGTAGCACTCACGTCGGTAGCCATGGAGTGCTTTGAAAGGCTGGTCATGGCTCACATCAACACCATCATCCCAGAAACCCTAGACCCACTCCAATTCGCATACCACCCGAACAGATCCACAGATGACGCAACCTCAATCGCCCTCCACACTGCCCTTTCCCACCTGGACAAAAGGAACACGAGAGAATGCTGTTCATTGACTACAGCTCAGCGTTCAACACCATAGTACCCACAAAGCTCATCACTAAGCTAAGGATCCTGGGACTAAACACCTCCCTCTGCAACTGGATCCTGGACTTCCTGACTGGCTGTCTACCCCAGGTGGTAAGGGTAGGCAACAACACGGGGGCCCCTCAGGGGTCCGTGCTTAGTCCCCTCCTGTACTCCCTGTTCACCCATGACTGCGTGGCCAAGCACGACTCCAACACCATCATTAAGTTTGCTGACGACACAAGTGGTATGCCTGATCACCGACAACGATGAGACAGCCTATAGGGAGGAGGTCAGAGACCTGGCAGTGTGGTGCCAGGATAACAATCTCTCCCTCAACGTGATCAAGACAAAGGAAATGATCGTGGACTACAGGAAAAGAAGGGACGAACGCCCCCATTCACATCGACGGGGCTGTAGTGGTGTCCACATCACCAACAAACTATCATGGTCCAAACACACCAAGACAGTTGTGAAGAGGGCACGACAACACCTTTTCCCCCTCAGGAGACTGAAAAGATTTGGCATGGGTCCCCAGATCCTCAAAAAGTTCTACAGCTGCACCATCGAGAGCATCCTGAACAGTTGCATCACCGCCTAGTATGACAACTGCTCAGCATCCAACCATAAGGCGCTACAGAGGGTAATGCGTATGGCCCAGTACATCTCTGGGGCCAAGCTTCCTGCCATCCAGGACCTATATTCTAGGCGGTGTCAGAGGAAGGCCCAAAGATTGTCAAAGACTCCAGTCACGAGTCAGAGACTGCTCTCTCTGCTACCGCATGGCCACTTGGACTATTTACATTGACCCCCCCCCCCCCTTTGTTTTTACACTGCTGCTACTTGCTGTTTATCATATATGCATAGTCACTTTACCCCTAACTACATGTACAAATTACCTCGACTAACCTGTACCCCCGTACATTGACTCGGTACCGGTACCCCCTGTATATAGCCTCTTTATTGTGTTACTTTTTATTTAATTTTTTACTTTCGTTTATTTAGTAAATATTTTCTTAACTCCATTTCTTGAACTGCATTGTTGGTTAAAGGCTCTTAATTAAGCATTTCACAGTAAGGTCTACACCTGTTGTATTCGGCGCATGTGACAAATCAAATTTGATGTTGCGTTTATATTTTTGTTCAGTGTACATAAAGAGTTGTAGGATTACAGATGACTTGAACAGGTCTGCTAAGACTAGGAAGGTCATTACCTCCCATGAGGGGTTGAAGAGGTCGTTACAGAGTTCATCACAGAAGCTCTCCAGGGGCCACTCCTGGGTCTGGAAACAAAGCACAAGATGAATCAGAACTTCTCTTCAATGTTTGGACAAAGACACTGATTTTATAACTATCCAGTCTGTTTTTCAAACGCCTAGTACATTGATTCTCAAGTTCTGTGTTAAATAGTTTACTTTGACCGTATTCTTTAAAGGAGCTTTATCCTTGCTGACCAATCTTACCTCTTCCAAGAGACTGGAGTTGTCTGGAACGTTATCAATTAAGACTTTATGCTCCGTTGCCGGTTGATCAATGACTACGTTAGTAGTTTTCCTGCGCTTCTCCTCAGGCTCCCCCTCAAAACTGTCATTACTGCAGGAAGAAAAATATTGATCTGTGATTTGATTTCCCAACGCAGTCTTCAAATGAAGAAAGACCTGCATTATACAATTCAAATGGAAACCAAAGAGCGAAACACCTGGGTCTTGTTCATTAGGGCAAACGTAAAATTGTGCATTTCTTATTGGACAAGCCTTCACCTTCCACTCAGTTACAGAACCTTTTGGTGCCTAATGAACACAAAGTTTTGGAAGAAATAGGTCATACCTTCTCTCGTTGGGATCCAGGTCTCTGGATCGTTGCTTTGCCACTAGCTTGGCCATCCTCTTAGCCTTGTTCTTCTGTCGGTTGCTCATGCCCGGTCGAAACTCTGAGTCTATTATCTCTGCTGCCTGCATGGGCTGAAAAAAGATAAATTACAATTGAAAATGAGTCTCTATTGATAGAACAACAAAACAATGTAAACTTACTTTCAGACAAAGTAATAAGCTACAAACATCTTAAGATGGGAGTCATTAATTTATCTGACCAAAGAGAGATTGTTCCTCAGACAGGGAGCATAACATTGTGTTTTCTTCTAACAGTGACAAATATTTATTAACAAAATGTGCACAGATGACATCCCTAAGTGAAGGCTCTGTCGTAGCCGGCCGTGACCGGGAGACCCATGCGCCGGCGCACAATTGGCCCAGCGTCGTCCAGGGTAGGGGAGGGAATGGCCGGCAGGGATGTAGCTCAGTTGGAAGAGCATGGCGTTTGCAATGCCAGGGTTGTGGGTTCGTTTCCCATGGGGGGCCAGTATGAAAAAATAAAATAATGTATGCACTCACTAACTGTAAGTCGCACTGGATAAGAGCGTCTGCTAAATGACTAAAATGTGAAAGACCGCACATAATGACTCGAACCCTTGCACGTTGAAAGGTGCAGGCCAGATAAGACATTGGGTGGATCAGGAACTCTGCCGTCTCTATCTACACTAATGAGATGAAGATTCCAAGGAAACAGTGTGAGCCTTTTCAAGTATGCGGATGACATGGCGGAGAGCAGCTTTGTGGAGAGCATCCTCACGTTCACTATGACAGTCTGGTATGGCAATCTGAATGTGAGGAGCAAAAGCAAACTGACCAAAATAGTAAAACACAGCCAGGAAAGTAATTGGTCGACCACAGGCACAGTTGAGCAGTGTGCTCCACAACGCAACCAAAAGGAAGGCACTGGCTGTCGTTGGCGACCCCTCCCACACTCTGCACCTTCAGTTCGAGAGGCTTACCTCTGGCCGGCGCTTCAGAATGCTCAAGGCAAAGAAGAACGTGTTCAAACATTCATTCGTTCCTTGTGCGGTTGGACTACTAAAGGCAACGTAAATTGTATCGGTATACAGTGCATTCGGAAAGTATTCAGACCCCTTGACTTTTTCCACATTTTGTTAAGTTACAGCCTTATTCTAAAATTGATTAAATTGTTATTTTTCCCCCCTCGTCAATCCTTTGTGGTAGCACCTTTGGCAGCGATTACAGCTTCGAGTCTTCTTGGCTACAAGCTTGGCACACCTGTATTTGGGAAGTTTCTCCCATTCTTCTCTGCAGATCCTCTCAAGCTCTGTCAGGTTGGATGGGGAGCGTCGCTGTACAGCTATTTGCAGGTCTCTCCAGAGATGTTAGATCGGGTTCAAGTCCGGGCTCTGGCTGGGCCACTCAAGGACATTCATAGACTTGTCCCGAAGCCACTCCTGCGTTGTCTTGGCTGTGTGCTTAGGGTTGTTGTCCTGTTGGAAGGTGAACCGTCACCCCAGTCTGAGGTCCTGAGTGCTCTGGAGCAGGTTTTCATCAAGGATCTCTCTGTATTTTGCTCCATTCATCTTTCCCTCGATTCTGACTAGTCTCCCTTTCCCTGCCGCAGAAAAACCTCCACACAGCATGACGCTGCCACCCCCATGCTTCACCGTAGGGATGGTGCCAGGTTTCCTCCAGACGTGATGCTTGGCATTCAGGCCAAAGAGTTCAATCTTGGTTTCATCAGACCAGAGAATCTGAGAGTCCTTTAGGTGCCTTTTGGCAAACTCCAAGCGGGCTGTCATGTGCCTTACTGAGGAGTGGCTTGCATCTAGCAACTACCATAAAGACCTGGTTGGTGGGGTGCTGCAGCTATTTTTGTCCTTCTGGAAGGTTGTCCCATCTCCACAGAGGAACCAATCACATTTTATTTATAAACACTTTTTACATCAGCAGATGTCACACAGTGCTCTACAGAAACTCAGCCTAAAACCCCAAACAGCAAGCAATGCAGATGTAGAAGCACGGTGGCTAGGAAAAACTCCCTAGATGAGCTCCATCAGAGTGACCATCGAGTTCTTGGTCACCTCCCTGACCAAGGCCCTTCTCCCCCGATTGCTCAGGTTTTCCAAACTTCTTCCATTTAAGAATGATGGATGCCACGGTGTTCTTGGACCTTCTACGCTGCAGACATTTTTCCCCAGATCTGTGCCTCGACACAATCCTGTCTAGGAGCTCTACGGACAATGTTGAGTCGCATTATAAAGGGTCTGAATATTTATGTAAATAAGGTACAGTGGGGGAAAAAAGTATTTAGTCAGCCACCAATTGTGCAAGTTCTCCCACTTAAAAAGATGAGGCCTGTAATTTATCATAATAGGTACACGTCAACTATGACAGACAAATTGAGAAAAAAAAATTCCAGAAAATCACATTGTAGGATTTTTAATGAATTTATTTGCAAATTATGGTGGAAAATAAGTATTTGGTCACCTACAAACAAGCAAGATTTCTGGCTCTCACAGACCTGTAACTTCTTCTTTAAGAGGCTCCTCTGTCCTTCACTCGTTACCTGTATTAATGGCACCTGTTTGAACTTGTTATCAGTATAAAAGACACCTGTCCACAACCTCAAAAAGTCACACTCCAAACTCCACTATGGCCAAGACCAAAGAGCTGTCAAAGGACACCAGAAACAAAATTGTAGACCTGCACCAGGCTGGGGAGACTGAATCTGCAATAGGTAAGCAGCTTGGTTTGAAGAAATCAACTGTGGGAGCAATTATTAGGAAATGGAAGACATACAAGACCACTGATAATCTCCCTCGATCTGGGGCTCCACGCAAGATCTCACCCCGTGGGGTCAAAATGATCACAAGAACGGTGAGCAAAAATCCCAGAACCACACGGGGGGACCTAGTGAATGACCTGCAGAGAGCTGGGACCAAAGTAACAAAGCCTACCATCAGTAACACACTACGCCGCCAGGGACTCAAATCCTGCAGTGCCAGACGTGTCCCCCTGCTTAAGCCAGTACATGTCCAGGCCCATCTGAAGTTTGCTAGAGTGCATTTGGATGATCCAGAAGAGGATTGGGAGAATGTCATATGGTCAGATGAAACCAGAATATAACTTTTTGGTAAAAACTCAACTCGTCGTGTTTGGAGGACAAAGAATGCCGAGTTGCATCCAAAGAACACCATACCTACTGTGAAGCATGGGGGTGGAAACATCATGCTTTGGGGCTGTTTTTCTGCAAAGGGACCAGGACGACTGATCCGTGTAAAGGAAAGAATGAATGGGGCCATGTATCGTGAGATTTTGAGTGAAAACCTCCTTCCATCAGCAAGGGCATTGAAGATGAAACGTGGCTGGGTCTTTCAGCATGACAATGATCCCAAACACACCGCCCGGGCAACGAAGGAGTGGCTTCGTAAGAAGCATTTCAAGGTCCTGGAGTGGCCTAGCCAGTCTCCAGATCTCAACCCCATAGAAAATCTTTGGAGGGAGTTGAAAGTCCGTGTTGCCCAGCGACAGCCCCAAAACATCACTGCTCTAGAGGAGATCTGCATGGAGGAATGGGCCAAAATACCAGCAACAGTGTGTGAAAACCTTGTGAAGACTTACAGAAAACGTTTGACCTGTGTCATTGCCAACAAAGGGTATATAACAAAGTATTGAGAAACTTTTGTTATTGACCAAATACTTATTTTCCACCATAATTTGCAAATAAATTCATTAAAAATCCTACAATGTGATTTTCTGGATTTTCTTTTCTCATTTTGTCTGTCATAGTTGACGTGTACCTATGATGAAAATTACAGGCCTCTCTCATCTTTAAGTGGGAGAACTTGCACAATTGGTGGCTGACTAAATACTTTTTTTCCCCCACTGTATATCTACATATATTTTTGTATAATTATTTTAGCAACATTTTCTAAAAACCTGTTTTTGCTTTGTCATTATGGGGATTTGTGTGTAGATTGATTAAAATAAACAAATAAAAATCTCATCAATTTTAGAATAAGGCTGTAACGTAACAAAATGTGGAAAAGGAGAAGGGGTTTGAATACTTTCCGAATGCACTGTATATGCATCTCCTCATAAGAAACAAGTCTCCCATAAGGACCTATAAGCTCTGCCCATTAGATTTTCCACAAATGATACTTTTTGTAAAACACTACTATTCTTCCTTTCTATATGATTTGATTACATTTCATAGACGCCTGGTCTTTCGTCATGAAACTTTGCACAATGATGTCACTTCGATTGACCACATGTTATTTTCGAAATGACGCATAATATTGTATACTACCCTCAAAGTACATTCTGGGTTCAAAACAAGAAGTCCTACAAACACAAGCTTAGTACTGATAGAAAAGTAAGAGCTGTGGGATTATGATAAAGGTGTCAGAAACAATGTCACCACTACAGAGCCCTACATTACAAGATGGTGCCGACAGACAGTCACCCGGTTTCTAGATCCTTGCAAAGACGGTTTTGATCACGTGGACTGGGAAATATTCTGGGTTGCCTCAGAATAGTATCGATGTATACACCGACTCAGTGACTGGGTTCATCAGGAAGTGCATTGAGGATGTTTTCCTACTCTGACGATTAGAATTTAACAAAACCAAAAACCGTGGCTAGATGGCAGCATTTGTGCAAAACTGAAAGCGCGAACCACCGCATTTAACCACGGAAAGGTGACTGGAAATATGGACGTGTACAAAGAGACCAGCAATGACCTCCGTAAGGCAATCAGAGGCAAAACGACAGTACAGGGACAACGTGGAGTCGCAATTCAACGGCTCATTCGTGGAATTTCTTTCCTTCTTAATGCATTTGAGCCAATCAGTTGTGTTGTGACAAGGTAGGGGGGTATACAGAAGATAGCCCTATTTGGTAAAATACCAAGTCCATATTATGGCAAGAACAGCTCAAATAAGCAAAGAGAAATGACAGTCCATCATTACTTTAAGACATGAAGGTCAGTCAATTCGGAAAATGTCAAGAACTTTTAACGTTTCTTCAAGTGCAGTCGCAAACCAAGCGCTATGATGAAACCGGCTCTCATGAGGACCGCCACAGGAAAGGAAGACCCCGAGTTACCTCTGCTGCAGAGAGAGGTAGAGTTCATTAGAGTTAACTGCACCTCAGATTGCAGCCCAAATAAATGCTTCAGAGTTCAAGTAACAGACATCTCAACATCAACTGTTCAGACGAGACTGCGTGAAATCAGGCCTTCATGGTCAAATTGCTGCAAAGAAACCACTACTAAAGGACACCAATAAGAAGAAGAGACTTGCTTGAGCCAAGAAACAAGAACAAATGGACATTAGACTGGTGGAAATCTGTCCTTTGGTCTGATGAGTCCAAATTTGAGATTTTTGGTTCCAACAGCAATGTCTTTGTGAGACGCAGAGTAGGTGAACGGATGATCTCCGCATGTATGGTTCCCACCATGAAGCATGGAGGAGGTGGTGTGATTTGCTGGTGACCCCGTCTGTGATTTATTTAGAATTCAAGGCACACTTAAGCAGCATGGCTACCACAGCATTCTGCAGCGATATGCCATCCCATCTGGTTTGTGCCTAGTGGGACTATCATTTGTTTTTCAACAGGACAATAACCCAACACACCTCCAGGCTGTGTAAGGCCTATTTCATGGAGTGCTGCATCAGATGACCTCAACCCAATTGAGATGGTTTGGGATGAGTTGGACCGCAGAGTGAAGGAAAAGCAGCCAACAAGTGCTCAGCATATGTGGGAACTCCTTTAAGACCGTTGGAAAAAGCATTCCTCATGAAGCTGGTTGAAAGAACGCCAAGAGTGTGCAAAGCTGTCATCAAGGCAAAGGGTGGCTAGTTTGAAGAATCTCAAATATGTTGTTTTCATTGGTTTAACACTTTTTTGGTTACTACATGATTCCATGTATTATTTCATAGTTTTAATGTCTTCACTATTATTCTACAATGTAGAAAATAGAAATAAAAGAAAAGCCCTTGAATGAGTAGGTGTGTCCAAACTTTTTACTGGTACTGTATATTTTTTTATACCTAATGGTAGCGCTCTAAACATTCGTAAATTCCCATAGGAACACAGACATTAAGAAGTGCAGGCCATGCTTTAATTTTTCATTTTTACATACATATGAGAATGTTGAAGTCTACCTATCCATTGATGTAAATACATCCCCTGTCGGATTCCCAGTTCGTCAACTAGATCGCAGTAGGTGATCACATGACGTCTCTTGGCCACTTAAATCCAGTTGCGTCTGGTTTGGGTAGTTAGTCACTAGCTAGGTTTCCATCCAATTGGCGACCGAGTTTCATGTGAATATTCTAAAATCAGCATAAAAACAATATGCACATTTCCCACCAGACATGAGTTTTCATCCAGTTTACTTGTTGCGGATAAAAGGCTGTGCGTGATGATGTAGTGCACATAAAAATAACTTTTATGGTTAAATTCCAGGGAAATTTGTATTAATGTACTGAAAGTTAAAATGGGATTATCCTATTTTCAACTCTACTGATGGTTTTCAAATCAAATTTTATTGGCCACATGCACCAAATACAACAGGTGTAGACATTACAGTGAAATGCTTACTTACAGCACTTAACCAACAATGCATTTATTTTTTAATAAAAAAGTAAAATAAAACAAAAAAAAGTGTTGAGAAAAAAAGAGCAGAAGTAAAATAAAATAACAGTAGGGAGGCTATATACAGGGGGGGTACCGGTGCAGAGTCAATGTGCGGGGCACCGGCTAGTTGAGGTAATATGTACATGTGAGTAGAGTTAAAGTGACTATGCATAAATCATTAACAGAGTAGCAGCAGCGTAAAAAGATAGCAGAAAGAACAGTCTATGACTAGGGTGGCTGGAGTCTTTGACAATTTTGAGGGCCTTCCTCTGACACCGCCTGGTATAGAGGTCCTGGATGGCAGGGAGCTTGGCCCCAGTGATGTACTGGGCCGTACGCACTACCCTCTGTCACTAAAAATGTTTTATATAGCAATGTTGCACGACATACCAAAACTTCTGTACTTTTCCGATACTAGAACATGAAAAACAGTTATGTACTAGAATGTTACATCTGTCAAATGTGTCTCATGGATCAACTCTGTCCATCAGTGCAGCCGACGTCCCCCTTATAGTGCGAAAAGCACAGTGCCTGCTCCTCTTAGCCTGCAATGTGAGTCTGGGCTGCATCATGTTAGCTCCCCACTCATGCTGCACGGAAGTTAACATACTTGAATAATGCGACATGGCATGTAGACATTTTGAAACTGTTAATTACTGTTATTACGGTACATTGCAAAATAATGTCCATACAGGCTAGAACACTTTAAAATGCAAGAAGATACCGGTAGCTTCCAGTTTTGTAGGCTAACTTTTCTTGCTAGCTTACAGCTGACGCTATCATCAATTCACTATCCTGGTAATTTGTGTGTGATATATGCAAACCATAATATGCTGATTTCAAAGCTGATGGCCACCAAAACCAAATGTTTTTTTATTTTTTTAAGTCGCTCTCTTACGTCTCTCCCAAAGATGATCTATTGCGTCAGCGAACTGACTCTGGGCCGTCCCCCTCTTGCCTCGTAAATTACATCATTACTGGTTCAAGAGACAGCGTGCACTTATCAAATAAGCTAATTCTATGCAAATGTATGTCCCAAATGGAAGGGAAACAGATTGTCATCTGTATCCTCATGAAAATCAGCCAAAACAATCTCAATAACTCAATGCATGCACACACTCCTATTGAATATGCATTCACCTGTATTGTGGAAAGGCCTAGGCTACATCTTGATTTACCCAGTTCATCAATAGAGATTTACCATTCAAATAAATGATCACCATTATGTAGTTAGATTGTTTTTACCAAAGTAAATTTGATTGTATGATTGATTCATTAATGCATACATGGCTATCTCTGAAAAATGTTGACGTAAATAATGTCAAATGTATTTATATTGAACTCAAAAGATGCCCAACGATTGAACAGAGCAGTAGCTGAGTTTCTGCCTGGATCAAGTGCCTGTGATCTGTGACTTTGGTTAATATGCCTTCTTTTTTTGCAGCGGTATCGTTTTGGTATTGAGTATCGTGATGGTATCAAGAATTGTGAAACTAGACCTGGTATCGAAGTAAAAATTCTGGTTTGTCTTCTTTGCCTTTCTCCCATAATGCAGCTCATCTATTACGACTGATTACGTAACTACGTACCGACCATTATATTTAGACCATTATGTTCCTATCAGTATAGTCTAGCGAGACTATCAGTATAACTGTCCGTTCTCGGAGCTCGTTCTGACAGCCCGTCCATTGTGAGCTATCAAGTTGATTTCCTGCGAGAAAAAAAAAATACTTAATTGTTTCTCTCTCCCCCCCCCCCCCTCTCATTAATCCATGCAACATAAATGTGAATAATTGTCACTCATCAGCCCAAGGGGGTCCTTGTTTCCTCAATGCCTCTCAAAGCTCATTGGAGGAGGTGGCCACAGGGAGGGACCTTGGATCCTATCCTCCAGTGAGCTTTGAGAGGCATTGAGAAAATAGGGACGGAGGAAGCAAGGATTTGACGGCCAGTAACGTTTTCATACAGTCTATGAGCCAAAGCATGTTATGTAAGGACCTCCTCCAATGTCTTCCTACTGGACAACCCAGTCATAGTTGGACAAGTTACAGCATGCCCCCTCTGGCCTCTGTCCAAGTTTGGTTATACATAGCCAGGTAATGCCTGAAGGGTCAAAAATATACCTGGCAATGCTGTTTGGTGCTGAAAGAAGCACCAAGCTTCTAAGCCCAGCTTCAAACACTGAGTACGATTACATGCACACAATAATGCGATTGTGGATAGTCATAATATAACAGTTTGATTAAAACATTTACATGATTTGCGAGAACAACGATTTCCCTAATAATCCGGTTTATATGGACACTTCTGAAATCAGGCTACCTGATGGCACTCTGATAAATGCAGATAATCGCCAATCAAGATAAACGTTCTACCACTGCGACCATGGTATTTTTGGGAAGCATATTGGATTCAGAGGTCGGACATATAAAGTTTGTATGTGAAAACTACTTCTAAGACTCATACATTCATTCAGTCGTCCCGAACTCACTCCACTCGTGCTAAAGAGGGAGGCTCGCTCAGCTGGTGCTAGCACATGTGCAGATCAAATAAACAGCTGGAACGACGATTAAAAGGTGTTTACCGGTCCTAATAATTCAAAAAATTACTCAGAAAACCAGTTGTCCAAAATCAGCGTATGTTTCCTTCGATTTTGACCTTACGCCGATTATGATGAGCAGAGTGAGGTGTTTACATGACTATTGCCATAATCAGTTTAATATTGAATTATTACTGTGCATGTAAACGTACTCACAGTCTGCCACTGTCGTGACCAGGATGAACCTATACTTAGAAAGCTAAGTTAAGGGCCTCCCGAGTGGCGCAGCAGTCTAAGGCACTGCATCGTAGTGCTTGAGGCGTCACTACAGATCCGGGTTCGATCCCAGGCTGTGTCGCAGCCGGCCGTGACCGGGAGACCCATGAGGCGACGCACAATTGGCCCAGCGTCGTCCAGGTTAGGGGAGGGTTTGGCCGGTCGGGATGTCCTTGTCCCATCGCGCTCTAGCTACTCCTGTGGTGGGACGGGCGCATGCACACTGACAGGGTCACCAGTTGTACGGTGTTTCTTCCGACACATTGGTGCAGCTGGCTTCCGGGTTAAGCGAGCAGTGCATCAAGAAGCAGTGAGGCTTGGCACGGTCGTGTTTTGGAGGACGCATGGCTCTCGACCTTCACCTCTCCCGAGTCCGTACAGGAGTTGCAGGGATGGGACAAGACTGTCACTACCAATTGGATATAACGAAATTGGGGAGAAGGGGTAAAAAAAAATTACAATAATAGAAAGCTAAGTTACTGGGAAAGGATAGTAGCCTGCACTTGATGTTACCCAGGATGAGTTCAGTAGTGAGAAAATGCTTTGCATCAGGGAGGGATTACTTGGATTTATCCAATAAGAATTTTCATTTTCCGTTGCAAAATGTTCTACAATATTTTTTGTTGTTTGGCCTAATGAACACAACCCTGGAGTCAAGCTTCATAGGATGCTGTTCAAAGTTGAAAGGAATTACTGACTCCATAACTTGGAGCTCAACATACAGCAGCAGCGTAAAGGAGGAGAGTTGGAAATGGTGGTAGTGTGACCTACTCACCACGTGGTTGCCGGTGCTGGAGCAGGGTTCAGAGCCCTTCCCTCCCTGTCCCTGGGCCTTAGGGCCACTCAGCGTGCAGGTGTACTGGGTGTCCAGGTCCTCATCGTTGAACAGCTCCATCGTGTCCATGCCGATGGCGGCACCCATGTCTAGTCCAAGCTTCCTCTGCAGCAGCTTCCTCTGGCGGGCCAGACGCTCCTTAGGGTCCACCTCACCTGGCAGGGGAGAGCATAGAGAGGGTACGGTGCTTGTAGAAAATACCAACTCTGGAGAAACTCCCATTTATGTAGAGAACACACGGACACTTACGGCTGGCTTCCTGGAAACAGATTAAGCCCCTAAAAATCTCCATTGAATGCGTTTTAGACCAGGACTAATGTGTGTCCCCGAAAACCAGCCTTTAAGGTATAAATGAAGGCTTCATTCTGCATGTTCCTGTATTTAGGGGACGTAAGTAGGGAGGTAGACTGACAGGAAGGCAAGTGAACTAGAGATCAGAGTATTGATTAACAGCAGAGGTCAGGTAAACTGTACTTTCACAGGCTGCAACCACAATATATCAGAGGCACAAAAGTCACTCTGGACTAGTGTAGCAAAGCACACAAACACGAACTGTCACAGGACCTTGAACATATGAAAGAGTAGTGAATACTGGGAGGACTACAGGAGGCTGGGGGAACAAAAAATAAATAAAAATGATTATGAAGTTGATAGAGAACAAAGATTGGAGCCGTTTGAATTCAAACTCGTCACTTGGATCATCACATCGTCATGGAAAAGCAAACGAGAGCATACAGATCCAAATGGTCTAAAGGAAAAATCATATGGGCCCTGGTCCAAAAAGAATGCTATATATAGGATTATGGTGCCATTTGGGAGAGATTCAGAATGCAACATTGAAACTAAATCCTGACACCCTACAGTGTCAAATAATTGTTTGGAGTCAGGCACAAGTTACACAACGAATGTCAATACAGCGGCTGACTCAATCCAAGCATCTGGCTACTTGTTCAACAGAAGCACAACCAGACTATCCATGTGGTCACATATCTGATTCTCCCATAACATTCCTTCTAATTGGATAATAACAGACACAAACCAACCTATTAGGAGCCTCACTGAGCACAGGTGTTCGTAGGAGGAGTTAAGAGTTAAAAAGCAGATGTTTACCATTCTGGCGGTTGGGGGGTGAGAGAGACGTTGGCTGGGTGGGGTTGGGGGAATGGGATGGGAGGGTGGGGGTGGAGGCCTACTGTTTTAATGTTTTATTTTCCTGTTTATACTGAATGCATTACTTAAACTTTAAAATATGATCAAAATTATCAATACTTTGTAGTTATGTACCTTTTGTAATGTTTTCATGTTTTCCTCTTCTGAGTGGCAGCCCACATGTACAATATATGAACTAATATGGAATATGACATGATAATATTGATAAGAAAAAATGCATACCAGACTTGTCATCTTGGACCTCAAACTCAGCACCGGCAGAACCCAGCAGAGAAGCACCATGTTTGAGCAGGCGGGAGATGTCGAAGCGGTAGAAACTCAACCGGTCAGAGGAGGAGTCTTCTGGGGAGAAGTCTGCACACGACTCTGGAAGAGAGAGACACGAATTCCATTTTAATCATTTAGCAGATGTTTTTATGCAGAGCGACTTACAGTTTGTGCATTCAAGACAGCTAGGTGGGACAACCATATACCACAGGCATAGAAAGAAAATTCTTCCTCAACGTAGCTATCAATAGAGTCAGAGCTAGAATGGGGGGGGGGTCAAGAAAAGGAAAAACTTGCACTTTACTTGCCAGTATCACTTGTTTATTTCAGCTTACATATCAGTCCCTCAGCCTTCGTCAGGGCTTTTTTAAAGTACAAAATGAGGAAACATGCACCTTGAGTGCTTGATTGCTGATGAAATGTCAAGGGTTTCATTTCGATGCGTGACATGAGCCCGAACCGCTTTAAAATGTGCCTGCCCACGCCTACACACTCAAGTGTCTCGTCACCTCCTGTCAATGGTTACTTAAGAGCAGTAGAGATGCAGCGCTAACATCCCAGTTACATAACAACACCCATCATTACACCCATTCCTGATGGCTAAAACAAAGCTATAGAGGCCTTTACAAAGGTAATTTAAATGCTAATCCTTTGTGTAATGGCACGTTAAGGCTTTACTTGTTACCTGCTGTCAGGATTAACAAAATACAGGCAGTTGGCTGTGACTAACGTGGCAGGTTGAGGTTGGTTCACCTTCTTTGGGCTTGGGTGACGGGTTCCACTCTGGGATATTCTTCACAATGGCCTCCACTGCCTGACCCGCAGCGATACGCGTGTCCCAGTTTGGACTTCTCAGGTACGTCAACACCTGTAGGTTATGGGTAAGCGAGAAAACATAAGACTCATAGGATGTAACACATCTCAATCAAATAGGTATCAGGTCCCGTGTGGCTCAGTTGGTAGAGCATGGCGCTTGCAACGCCAGGGTTGTGGGTTTGATTCCTACGGGGAACCAATACGAAAGATTTATGAAAATGTATGAACTCACTACTGTAAGTCGCTCTGGATAAGAGCGTCTGCTAAATGACTAAAATGTAAAAATGTAAATCAGATGGTGGGAACTTATGCGCTATTCCAGGTCAAACAGTCCACTTCTTTAATAATCACTTCAACATTCCCTGAGGCAACAAAGACAATGGGCTCTGCAACAGTCTATGACCTTTACGGGCCACCAGTTAGATTTTTCCAGACAAGGTAAAGGGGGGGGTGGGGGTTTGCAAATCTGTATGGGTTTTTAAAGTATGGATGCCCTTTTGGCAGCACTGCAGGCAGATGGGTGGGGAGCTGACAACAATGTGGAATCCCTGGATCGTATTCATTATTGCACATCGTAGCAAAATGAAAAAAACATTTCTTAAGTTCAAGTAGTCTCTCCCTGTTTCAGTCTTCTTCCTTTTGGTGCCTAATAAATACAACCTTGATGTAGATAGGGACCTGACTGTGGGCACTGATGAGGACAAGCCCAGCACCCACCTTCGACAAAAGGTTGTTGAGCTCATGCGGGTGGAGTTTGACCACATCTCCTAGCTGTATGGCTGCAGCCTTCCTCGTCACCGGAGTAGTCCCAGTGTCAAGCAGGATGAATAGACGATCAAGCCTGGAGGACGAGAAAGAGTGGGAGAGAGAAAAACAAGTAGACCATAAAATAAGCTTATGCATGCATTGGTCTACATTGCATATGAGAAGAGACTTGTGAGAAGTTGCATTCATTTTTTTGCATTTCCAAATTTAACAAAAGGATATCAACTCCACGGAGCGGGAACTTGAACTTCTGCTTTGTGAAATAAGGTGTATATACACACTTCAGTTTTGCAGATTGCATTGTTCATGGCACTAGGGAGGGCACTTCAAATCCAAACCATTAAATGAGTTATGACATCAATCCATCGAACCTAGAGTATACTGTGCATATTACTACAGTTTGATACGAGTATTGAACACATCTCTGCTAAAAATAAAACCGTGGGCCATTAAAAATGGCAATGCTGTGCAGTGTGGCAAAATGCCCATCCCACTCAAAGTAAAACAAATCCAACATAATCTCTAGGCTACAGATTAATACAATTGTGGTTAAGCGATGTATACATCTTTTTGGGATTAGGAATAGTTTAGGCATGGAGAGAAAAAGTATTTTTCCCCTTTGAGCATTCAATGCAAATGATCAGGGTGGAGCATTTAGGATTTGTTATTCATTGTTATTGTACTACCAACTAGGTAATTTCATATCAAAAGGAGGATGTTCAGCAGATGTAATATACAATGTGCATATCATTAGAATTATAGTTTCATAAATTGTCTGGAGGGTAACTGTCAATGGATCATTGCATCCAGGTAGCATTCAGTCACCTCTGGTAGAGATATATATATATATATATATATATAATGCATTAGCTGAAGGCTTCAAATAGGCATCCTCTTGCGAGCCTTACTAGACAAACTCAGACACACGATTGCCCATTATTTATTTAGCCAACTAACTTACACATCAAATATGACACGAGGGAAACAAGCCACCGTACAATAACCATACATGTGGGAGACTAATCTCATCAAAATAATCTCTGGATGAAACACAAGAGCGATAATCTAATTTGCAAGATGACAGACTGGCACATTTGCAAGCAGATTGCACTTCAATTAACGGTTAGCTAAAAGTAACTTGTCTCGTTGAACATATTAGCAAGATCAATTGTATGCTATACAGGTCTGCTAGTAGCTAGCTAAAAATACATAACGTTAGCTAATTGGCAATAGCTGCTGTTTTGTAGATGCTAGCTAGCTCAGTAAAACTGGCTGGCTAAATAAAATAGCTAAAAAGCTAGCTACCGTTAATTTAGTTAGAGCTAACGTTAGCTAGTTATTACCACCATGCATTTTCATACTAGTTGGCTAGCTAGGGAATCTCACCTTGACACGGCCATGACGATTAATTGAATGCGTAAATGTGCTCTTTTGTGATCCGCATTTAACAGAAGCGATCATTTATTTAAAGTTATCCTCTTTACTTGACGCTAATCCAATGCGATAGCTAGCTAGCCTAGGCAAAGGAGGCCCTGGTGCGTCTCTCTTTAGTCACACAGCTCACCACCCGAAACCAGTCGAAATGAGTTCATCAAATCATGGCTTCAAAGTAGGTCCCTCTTGTCTCTTCAATAACTTCTTCCTAAGTTAATTGCCATTTATTAAACTTATATCACCTTAAACCTTGTATTAACCTTCAGCACTACTCCCAGATAAGTACTTTAATCTAATACGATTTAAAGAATAGTTTTGCTGTCCGCTAAAGGGAACCCAGGAGGCTGATTTTATATGAGGAGCCATCTTGCATTTATTCCTTCCTCCATAGCAGACGCCGGCTGATTGGTTAGAAGCCATTTCAGCGACCAATCAAAAAGAACATTAAAGAGGAAGGTAGGAAGATAAAAAAAAAATGCTGGCATGAAATATTTTTTTTCCCTTTTGAATTGACAAAAGCCCGCCCACGCACCTTTCATTCACCAGACAACCTTTACAATCAGGTCTGTACAATGCATTTACTCAATGGTGCAACTCAAACCATGGTGATAGCTTTGATAAAACTAATTTATTAACATAACTGTACATCAAAGCTCCATCACCAAGTATTTTAAACTTTCTTCAGAGTCACAAAGTTTAATATTTCAAGCTGCTAATTAAGCAAAACATTTTGAAAGTGTCTAGCTACATTTTATACATTCTTGAAGTGTCCAGCTTGCTACATTTGTAAATAAAAATAAAAATAAAAAATTCAGCAAGCAGCCAAATCTGGCGGTCGTAGCTGAGTTTCAGAACCAGGAGCTGACCAGTGCTGAAACTGCCAGCTCGTGCAAAGACGAGAAAGTTGATTTAGCCGTGTGGCCACAGCTAGCTAACACAGTGGAGCAGTGAAATTATGGCGAAGAAATCTCATACTTTTGTTGGGTACAGTAGCTATGTTGCATAAAAATAATAGCTAGTAGATAGATTTATGGTCAATCAGCTGCTATCTAGCTACAGTGAGGGAGCTGTCTAAAGCAAAGCCAATCAAGTTCTAGCTAGCTAACTTTGGCTGGCTAGCTATGCATTTGGCAGGAACCTAGCTAGCTAGCAAACTAGCTAACGTTACTAGTAGCTAGCTAGCTATGCTGAGGGAAAATATTATAATAACTAGCTAACCCCTTTCATCTGTGCTGAGAGTAACTAGCTAGTACTTATCAATTGGTTGTTATTTTCCTACACTTTCACTGATGGTATTATTAGTATTTTCTCAGAGTTTGTTTGTTTGATCTAGTTTGTTTGTTTATTCTAGTTTAGCTAAAGTATTTTGTTTATTTGATCTCATGTTTATTTGATCCCAGGGCTACCATGGACCATGCCATGGCATGGTGACCTGGCAGCCAGGTCTCACTAGACCGTAAACATCATCATGATTATGACGAATCTCCTCCAGCTGTAGCCTAACATGTGGTTCTAGGATATTCAACTGAATTTAATAAATGTATATCAAATTTTTGCTCAACTTCAAGGTGACGCTTGAGGAAATATGAGGCTTGTGGCTATAACTTGGCAATAGTGAAACAGTTCTGTATGACATATCCATTTGTTTGTGAGGATGACAGAGGAGAATAAGGAAAAGCTTCAGCTTCAAGATGGAGTACACATCCAAGAAAGGGGTATTGGCATACTGCTTTAAAAAAATCATTTTCAGTAGAGAATTGTGCATTTGATTGTTGTTGTGTTGTGTTTACTGACTCCGCTTGGTTTTGACAGTGATACAACATCCCCCTCATATCAGGCTCAGCAGAAGTCAAGAAAGAGGTAGACTCATGCTCCAGGAATACAAGGTGAGATAGTTTTTATTTCCACTAAAGCTATATCCACGATATGTGAAAAGGTTGATCTTGTCATTCTTATGTTCCCTCATCTAGTTAAAAACCCTTCAAAGTAAAATCAATGTTGCAAGAGAAGTGAGAATAAAAGAACCTCAGAAGATTGCTGATAAGCAGGTAGGGAAAATACAGGTCTTGTCATTTGTGCATTATAGGCTAGAAGTCTGACCAGGGTATTGTGCCTGGCTTTCATCGTTTGGTTGTACTATTGATTTGATACATACTTACTTAAATGAGAGAGTGCATTTCTCTTATAATCTGGCCTGTCTTTGTACAATTTTCTTTTAAGTCATGCTCAGAGGAAGAAGCCTATCGATTCTTCTGCCATGAATTTGATGAGTTGGAGAGGAATGGACCTACCACTGGAACACTCTCACAACAGGTAGCCCAACCATAGTGAAGAATATACATTTGGTGGAAAATGTACAAAGATAGCTGTGATCATAAATGTATTAAAGGCCCAGTGCAGTCAAAAACATGATTTTCCTGTGTTTCATATACACTGAGTACAGGGATGCTGGCCCATGTTGACTCCAATGCTTCCCACAGTTGTGTCAAGTTGGCTGGTTGTCCTTTGGGTGTTGGACCATTCTTGATATACACAGGAAACTGTTGAGCGTGAAAATAGTTAATAGACCAATAAGAAAGAGAGTTTCAAACATCTCTGCCAATAACAGCACATTTTCCCCTCCCCACTCAGACCACTCCCTGACAGTCCTAGCAAAATTCTTGCTTGAGAAATTGCTCTTTGCTAAGAAGCTATTTTTGTTTCTTTTTGACCATTTTAATTGAAAACAATCACAGTAGCTAGGTTTCCATACAATTGGTGACAGGTGTTCATGCAAATATTCAAAAATCAGCATAAAAACAATACGTGCATTTTCCCACCAGGATGGTGATGACGTAGTGCACATAAAATACCTTTAGCGGTTAAATTCCCATGTACCGAATAAAAAATCCAAGTTAAATGGGGTTTTATCGTATTTTCAACTCTACTGATGGTTTTCTCACTAAAAAGATGGTGTTATATAGCGTGTGCCCACTCTGTTATTGGCACATGCTCTCTAGCCAACAGCTCTCAGATACAGTACAGGTAGGCCTATAGCCTACATTATGAGATTATTATGGACAAAAAAAATGCATTTGTCAAACGGCAGCCAGGCATCGATGATCATGTCACCAGAATTAGACCCTCGATATTTATTGGAAGGCTCATCACCTTGCACTTTCACCATCCTGTGAAGTTCATCATAATTTAGGGAGGACCACACAACATGTCATCACGTAAACTCCAAGTTTACTTTGATATGATGGTTATTATATAAATATTTGCGCATAAAATTGTTTCCACCGACATTTCTCGCATTATACATTTTACCGACAAAAAGATCCCACCTTGGTTCGGGTATTTTGGAAAGTTTACCGACACATTTTCTGTTTCCATCAGGCCTGTCATTACATTTTTTTGCCGACATGTACTTTACTCGCATAAAAAGTTTGGATGGAAACCTAGTTAGTAAGGTACTTAATTGTTCCCCAGAAATTATTTGATATTGAGATACAAACGGCTGCATTGGACCTGTAAAACATTTTGTCATTCACCTATGTAACTGTGTTATGAAGTTGCCGCCACAATATTAATGTGCAGCCATTATTGAAACATGTTTATTTTGTTTCCATAATAGAGTAGGATAGATACTGTCATCGATATTGAGAATGTGGATGAGGGTCATAATCCTCTTGTTCCTGGAGATATTGAGACCCTTGATGTAAATCCAGACCTTTTATTTGTGCCCAGTGATTTACCAGGTGATGTAGGCCTACAGCCTTTATATTATCATTTAGAAATGTAAAGGATATACCTAGTGTTGATGTTTAGTACCTAATTGTTGCTTTTGTTGTTATTATAACTGAATGTGAAGGAAATATAATCTTAAAGTGAGAATAATTAGATTAATCTGATGACAGTAAACCAAATGAGGATTATACCAAGGTATTTGAAGCCCCGTTTTCTGGAGGATGAAGGATTTTATGTCGGTGAGAGACCCCAAGTGCCGAGGAAGATGATGAACAAAATGGACAACCGGCTGATTGAAGAAGAAAAGGTATTGATTCATGTTAGATCGATAATAAGTACATTCCGTTACGTAATCACAATATTTTCCATTTTGTATTTCAGTATGTTTAGGGAGTAAAGGTTGACTTATATTGAGTGGTTACATAATACATATTTGTAATAATTTAATCGCATCATATGAGCAGCCTTTTCACGGCTCTCTTTAGAATTATGGTTATGAAACATGTGTTACGCAATATCTAAAATGAGCACAGGAATGAGGAGTATTCATGTTCACATTCAGATTTCAACAAATGGTGCCTTTTACCATTCAGGAAATATATGGAATCGGATCTAATGAAACATTTTATGCAATGCTTAGCTAAATGACTAAAATGTAAAATTGCTGATATAAAGGCACATAACATTTGATCTGGTTTTATCTACAGCAAAGTACCACGCTGACCTTTTTCTTGTGTAAGCAAAAGTGATCAGAGATGCTGTCCATTTGTTGTTGTTCAGGGACAGTCCTGGTTTGGAGAGAATGGTTGCGTGATTGCTATTCCGGACCCAATCCAGAAGTATTGGCATTGTAAAGTAGATTTCCCATTCTCAAGCCAGTCTCCTTGTCTGGCCACAGTGCACATAAGGGTGAGTCTGTCCTTGAGTGTACTATGTGTGATGTAAAATGTGTAATGTTGTACTGTCTTATGAGTGGAATGGCTTGTTACATATAAAGTCCCTCTTTTCAAAGACACTTGACCTAATTCCACCTGTCATTAATACCATGCTTGAAGCACCTACAGCAGTCAGTAACACCATGTCCCCTTACAGCCTCATAAACTGCGAAGTGCAGGATCTGTTGTCTCTAATGCAGAGGCCAGTGCAGGGCTGTGGCAGCTTGACCTGAACCTAGCCAGGCTGAATTTCACCCACCATCCCCTGTTCTGTACAGAGCATGTGTTGGCTCAGAGACTGTATGAGCTCTATGAGCGTTATGAAACCCGTGAGATGAAGGGTGCAACTACCTTTCTGCGGGAAAAGGTACAACACTATCATTAGATTTACGATTTAAATCATTTGGGGAAAGTAATGCAGTCATACAGTAGTATATTGTTAATCTGAAGAAAAAATAATTGTACCTCACACTGGTAGCTAAGGGGACTGAGGAAGTCAGAAACAGCCTTGACCACCACTGATGAAACTGCTCCTGGCTCCAAGTTACGGGATCTGAGACAGGAAATACGGTGAGAGGGATTTCTGTTCTAAGAAATACGATTATTTACTGTACCTATATGTTTGTAAAGGTATTGCTGTAATGAATCTGCTCACTGCAGAAAGACCCATGTAGCACTGAAGAATGAGAGGCAGGCAGACATCTCTCTGGTGAGGAACATTGTTGCTGCTTGGAAGCGCATCAAAACCCTCAGGGCCAAGAACGGCTATGTGAGCACCACTGTGAAACTACAGCTGCATAAGTAAGCATCATTTGTATTGTTTTGACATACACTACCAGTCAAAAGTTTGAACACACCTACTCATTCAAGGGTTTTTCTTTATTTTTACTATTTTCTACATTGTAGAATAATAGTGAAGACATCAAAACTATGAAATAACACTTATGGAATCATGTAGTAACCAAAAAAGTGTTAAACAAATCAAAATATATTTCAAATAGCCACCCTTTGCCTTGATGACAGCTTTGCACACTCTTGGCATTCTCTCTCAACCAGCTTCATGAGGAATGCATTTCAATTAACAGGTGTGCCTTCTTAAAAGTTAATTTGTTTGAGCAAATCAGTTGTGTTGTGACAAAGTAGGGGGGGGTATATAGAAGATAGCCCTATTTGGTAAAAGACCAAGTCCATATTATGGCAAGAACAGCTCAAATAAGCAAAGAGAAACGACAGTCCATCATTACTTTAAGACATGAAAGTCAGTCAATTCGGAAAATGTCAAGAACTTTGAGGTTTCTTCAAGTGCAGTCGCAAAAACCATCAAGCGCTATGATGAAACTGGCTCGCATGAGGACCGCCACAGGAATGGAAGACCCAGAGTTGCCTCTGCTGCAGAGGATAAGTTCATAAGAGTTACCAGCCTCAGAAATTGCAGCCCAAATAAATGCTTCACAGAGTTCAAGTAACAGACACATCTCAACATCAACTGTTCAGAGGAGAACGTGTGAATCAGGCCTTCATGGTCAAATTGCTGCAAAGAAGCCACTACTAAAGGACACCAATAAGAAGAAGAGACTTGCTTGGGCCAAGAAACACGAGCAATGGACATTAGACCGGTGGAAATCTGTCCTTTGGCTTGGAGTCCAAATTGGAACCGCTGTGTCTTTGTGAGAAGTGGTGTGGGTGAACGGATGATCTCCGCATGTGTATTTCCCACCGTAAAGCATGGAGGAGGAGGTGTTATGGTGTGGGGGTGCTTTACTGGTGACACTGTCTGTGATTTATTTAGAATTCAAGGCACACTTAACCAGCATGGCTACCACAGCATTCTGCAGCGATACACCATCACATCTGGTTTGGGCTTAGTGGGACTACCATTTGTTTTTCAACAGGACAATGACCCAACACACCTGCAGGCTGTGTAAGGGCTATTTTACCAAGAAGGAGAGTGATGGAGTGCTGCATCAAATGACCTGGCCTCCGCAATCCCCCGACCTCAACCAAATTGAGATGGTTTGGGATGAGTCGGACAGCAGAGTGAAGGAAAAGCAGCCAACAAGTGCTCAGCATATGTGGGAACTCCTTCAAGACTGTTGGAAAAGCATTCCAGGTGAAGCTGTTTGAGAGAATGCCAAGAGTGTGCAAAGCTGTCAACAAGGCAAAGGGTGGCTATTTGAAGAATTTCTAATATAATATATATTCTGATTTGTTTAACACTTTTTTAGTTACTACATGATTATATATGTGTTATTTCATAGTTTTGATGTCATCACTATTATTCTACAATGTATAAAATAGTAAAAAATAAAGAAAAACACTTGAATGAGTAGGTGTGTCCAAACGTTTGACTGGTACTGTAGGATAGGCCTATATATACTGTACATGCAAATTCTGGCCATAAACGTTCATGTAAGTCTTCGGTCATATCACATGAACAACACACATCGAGCCTCGTTATTGTTATTTTATTGTGTTACTATGTCCTTTTTTTAAAATTTAGGAAATATTTTTCTTAATTTTGTTACTCTGCATTGTTGGGAATGGGCTCGTAAATCTACATCTGTTGTATTCCGTGGATGTAACCAATCAAATTTAATTTAGATTTGATTCATATTACTTCACCCTCACATTGACTTTTAAAGTCATTGCAAAGCATACAGGGTTTATCATCTTAAAGTAGGCTATTCATGTGTTCAGCATTTAGGATAGGGCAGTTGTTACTATAGAGATACTAGAGAACACATCTCCTGTCTTTACAATGGCTGCTTCTGTGGCAGAGCCATTTAAGGCTACATCCGTTTGAAAGTGTTCCATTTCTTTTACTTCTATGAGTGTTATGACAGTTCGTAATGAAACTGAAAAGGTGCATACTATCACTTAGTGTGTTGTAGTGGGTATAGTCTGAACAGGTATAAAGCCAATGTTGGTGATTTACTGCCACTTGCAGTTATGGAATGTTTGCTCAGGAGTATAATCTATTGGCTGATCCCTCCTGCTGACCTGGATGGAATTCTGTGAACCTTGCTTAACCCATAGCAAGTTCCATCCATTTGACGAATGGCCCTCAGTGGCACTGCCAATGATACCAAAAAATATTTGGGTCAAGTGTGCCCTCTATCCAACTCTATGGTTGTAACCGGGAAGTATTTAGAAAGCAGTGCAATTTATATTTTTCATTGAAACTAATCTCATTCACAGAGTGAAGGCCAGGATCACCGACAGCGCGACAAACAGAACTGGGACAGATGAGCACATGAAAGCAAGCGTCTACTCTCTTGACAATCTCTTAACATAACTGTTATTAATAAACTATAGCAGTACTGTTTGTAATAACCTTTGTTGCATTGTTTTTCGCGTAAACATCATATTGCAGGCAAGGCTCTACACAGATGGAGACGTAACGATCAAGCAGCACTACCTGTGCAGGGAGCTGAAGGAGCATAAAGAAGAGGAGATATACATCCCTCCAGTTCCAGGACAAGAAGAGGAGACGTTTACTGATTCTGTCAACCAGAAGGCAGATCAGTTAGATCTAGTTCCTGTTCTTACTATGTGTGGCGTGGTCACTCCAACCTCAAGCTGTGCTCCGTAAGATTCTCTTCAGAAACATTTAAGCTAGTTGTTTATTCATTCACTGGAAATGTTTGTTTTTAAGACTACCCAGTTGAGAGTGGACATGGCACTTACTTTGGCACTGACTGATATATGATCATGTATTTTGATGTTATCGATGTATTCAATTTGTTCATATTTTATTTATTTTACAGTGATGAGAAGGTTAGAAGATATGAACTGGCCAACCACAAAGTATCAGTGAACATATTCTATAATGGAAAGCATGTGTCTACGTCCGAGCCGTCCACGTTCGACAGTGACTTCAGAGTTCAAATTCAACAGATGTTCAACATGCAGATAATACACAGCCCAGAGAACATTATGCTTGAGGTATGTTTCTCTTGCTGTCAATAATATTGTTAATTTGTTTTTTGCTTTTGAGAGATGCTATATTCTTACATTTTTCCAGTAACACTTAATGTGAAGGTACACTTTATAAAGAATGTGTTTCAATGGGCTTATAAGTAGTTTATAAACTGTTAATAATTTTGTTTTGTAAATTCACAATTGCAGATTTGTGAGACGGTGAAACACAAGAGCACTGTTGTGGCCAAAATATATGTGCCCATACCAGACAGGAACATGCTCTCTAGCAACGCTACAATGGAGAGGTCAGAGTTCAGCAGTGACAGAACCATCAAGGCCTACTACGCTGGTGTTGGGAGCAGTGAGTAACGTTGTAGCTATGGTTTGTGATTATTTGGAAGATGTGATATTTAGCATAGGTGAAATTGCCACGGGAAGGGGGGACATGTAACACTTGATATTTAGTGATGAGCTATCCTGTGAAAGTCTATTAAAAAAGTGATGGTAATGTAGCTCACTATGTGTTTTTCTATTGTTGTATGAGGATAATGTCAACCCAGGTCTTTAGTGACAAAGCAATGGTCTTTTTAGATGTCCCATTCAAACTAGAGAAGGAGGATACTGAGGTGTGCCTCATAACCTCTGGGAGACTGCTGTATGTCCTCTCCTGGGCTGTGGATGAGAGTGGCTTTCCCATGGCGCCCACTGCCCCACCACACAGACCCAGCTTCACCAGGTGAGTCTGAACAACACCTGACTGACTTCCACAAGGTTGGCCTTCTTCGCACGCACACACACACATACATGCTCACACGCACGCAGGCTCGCACATACACACACACCTCTGTTTGTCTGTTACCTTATGAATTGAAGGCTTTTCTTAAGGCTGTCTTGCAATAGAAACCCTAACCATGTTACATTGCCTGTAGACCAATGGTCAGCGGTCCCAATGCGAGTAGGCTTGAATGGATCAGGGACCTTCAGTGTGACCCCAACCACCCTTCTAACACAGAACTCACAGAACTCCTTAGGGTGAGTGTTAACACTAGACTCAGAACCTCCACTTGTATTCTATCAAAATAAACCCAATGTTGTGTGGTTGATACAAAACATTCAGTGGTTGCCATGGATTCGAATCAGGAAACAGCTGGAGTGCTGAAACATGAAAGCTTGCCCGGAGCACTTGGTTTGAAGTGGACGTTTGAAGTAGCATCTCATATTGTTTGACCAATAGGAGGCCTGTGAGCAGAGAGACAGAGCCACGGGTCACTTCCGCCTACATGCCCTGGAGGAGGAGTTTGACTTCACCACCGAGGAGCAGCTGGAGAAGTCCAGACGCTTTGGTCTCCTGCAGCTGCGGAGCTCTCATGCTGTGGACGTCAGCCTCTCCAAACCCATCCCTCTCCACGACAGAGACATTACTGAAGCCATGTTCGCTGTAATGCCCTTTTCATTATTAGCCTGGTTCCAGATTAGTTTGTGCTGTCTTGCCAATTCCTACAGCATGGTCATTGTCATGCCAATTTTTGGCTATACACAGCATGAACAGATCTGAGACCAGAGTAGACTACTTCCTCATCCCTATATTCTGCAATGTTTTGGCTTGGTTTCATAAATAGTTTCATACAGGTACATACTCTTCATGCAATAACTTTGTGAGACTTTTGTTGCTTTGTTGTTTCTCAGGATTATGATGCATCCCCAAGTCTGTTCCTTATGGATGAAGACCCTATCACAATGCAGAGAGCACGCTCTATCCACTACATCCAAAAGGTACTCTTCTTCCTTCTCTAGATTCTTTCATCTGTAATTAGCATTTGATCATGTAGGTCTGTGTTCACAGCTTACTCATATGATATGTTTGATATATGAACACGGGCTAACGAGTAGCAATTAAGACATGTCATTTTCGATTGTCATGTGAGCTGTAATTGTTTTTTTAGGCGTTGAATTTGGCACGAATGAAACTGTTGAACATCAAGAGGAAATACAAGTTCTCTGATATAGTCACTGAGTACCAAGAGGCAGATACAGTGACGTGAGTGTCTCTTTTTCTCCTTCACACCTCTCCGCATACAAATGGTGTTGCTGTACAGCCCACAAACCACGTCATAAAGACATCTAAAAGTATCTTTAGCTCTTGAGGCTTCTGCGAAATGGCAGACATAATAATAATTGAGTAGGTGCTTCTATTTGTCCTATTTCAATGTGTTTTTTTGCATATCCCATTCTCCCTGAGACACCGTCGGAGAGCGGGGTTGTCACAGCCAGGGTCTGCCATTCAACAGCCACCCTTGAGCAATTAGGGTTAAATACCTTACTCAAAGGCACATCGACAGATTTTTCACCTTGTCAGCTCTGGGATTTGAACTAGCAACCTTTCGGTTACTGGCACAACGCTCTAATTGCTAGGCTACCTGCCACCAGGCTACATGATGATACATGTCTCTATGTTTTGCTCGGACACTTCTAGAATCCTAGCCTGGAATCCAAACTGATATGCTTTGTTTCACCATTGAAATGGAGCATATCCATTTGGATTGCAGGCTAACACTCTCCACCCCATCAGGGAGTTCGACTGGGACATGTTCAGACTGAAGCGACCTCTCCGGCCTCAGCGTGTGAAGACGAAGATCATTCCTACCTGCTCCCTCTCAGACGGGGACCTGAGGATCCGTGTTGCCATCAACAATGCCCAGGCCCTGCCTGTTCGCCAGGAGGCTTTCCTCAAGTATTGATCCAAGTTCTACCCATCCTACTACTTTTACAACTACAGCTTCTAACGTCAAACCTATGCTATTACTATAACAAATACCTCTACGTCTACTATCATCACTTTACAGTACACCCAACCCAATACTACTTATACTATTAGCTGAACATATTCTCTATATCTACAAAATAGTTGGCAACAACCCCACAATGGCAGATACTTCAGCTTCTCATGCCTGCAGCTATCCTTATCCTAATATAATTCTCACTGTACAATGCGTGATGCAACGGTCCTCTTATCCAATTCTAGCAAAGATAATTTTTTTAAAACTGAATTTCCTCCCCACTTGACAACCATGCTCATAGAGAACATAGTCAAAAATAGACACTACTTTATATTTCCTTGACAACGCAGGTCCATCTGTGTGGAAGCAGATCTAAGGAGTTGTGTTTTGTGTACCTTTAGGGAGATTCACGCAAGAGGCTCCTGCTGTGCTCTGACTAGCAGCAGCAGACACAACATGACAAGCAGCTCAGAAAAGGCTGTTCTACAGGTAAAATTGGTAGAGGTAGCACATATTTGGTGATAAAATATCACAGACAGAGGTGATCAGTGTCAACAGCATACTGTATATTGAAACAGAATTCAAATTGCATTGACAGTCAGATACTACATTCACTTATTTTCCTGATAGCTTTTTTTGTCATATAGGCCACTGACATGACATGCTGTATATATGGCAATATGCTTATGTAGGTTCATAACAGTAGGTTGAGTTTGTCCCATGGTTGTGCCAGGCTCAGGTTCAGCCCTTCGTTGAGGTTAGGTTTCAGGAGACAACGTATGAGAGCAGCATAGAACAGGGACCCAACCCATGCTGGAGGGAAGAGTTCACCCTGGAGTTTAAGTATGACACCCGCTACTGTCCTAATTCACTTTTAATTCCATCTCCAACTGGTTCAACAAGTGAATACTGTACATCCTTACACATAAACCAGTACTGTTCATGCTAATAAAAGAAAGTTTCAGAAATGTAAAATGTAATGTTCTCTCAGATCCTTAGGGGGTGATTATAGCCACGCAGCCCTTTCCAAAGTACAAGACAACATTGTCATAAACGTGTTTGATGAGATGTCCTTTCAAGTCATTGAGGTACTGTAAGCCTCAACTATGAAAGTACAATCACTGTTCAAAGGCCACTTCAAATCACAGAGTGAACCGGAAATCAACATTCTGTCTGTCCGTCTCCGTCTCCATCTCTCCCTTACTCTCTTTTTTCTGTCATCTTTCATCTCACCTGTGTGAAACCCAGAGCAGTTCTCTGAGAGGCTGTGGCACCCAGGTGTTCTCTGGCAGACAGTGGCTGGGCTCAGTCACCTTACCCTTCAGATCTCTGCTGCAGCAATCCAAGGTACTGTTCCGCACACACACCTTCAGGTTCTGCACCAGCCTGATAAAAGGATTGAAAGTCTGTCAGCTTTGTCCAACTTGGCCTAGTAATGTTGATAAGCTGCTGTGGTTGCTTACTGTGTGTAATAGAAACAAAGAAGGCACAGTGATGCCGAATCGTTGGTTGTTTACCCAATCAATTACTGGGAGTTTATACATATACTCTCTTTGTTTTCATAGCTTCCAGTTTATTCACCGTTAGTCAGCACCTCTATACTAAATAATGTTCTCTGGGTGGGCGCCAGCTCATGCTTTTTGTCTTCTCTGCAATCTTAGAAAAAAGGTGCTATGTAGAACCATATAGGGTTCTTTGGCTTGTCTCCATATGGGAACCCTTTTTGGTGGTAGGTAGAATCCTCTGCAGAGGGTTCTACCCAGAACCCTCTATGAAGGGTTCTTCATAGAACCCTTTGTAAATGGTTCTACTTAGAACCCTCTATGAAGGGTTCTTCCTAGAACCCTCTATAAATGGTTCTACCAATAACCCTTTTATCATCTAAAGGTTCTTCCTAGAACCCTCTATGAAGGGTTCTACCGAGAACACTTTTATCTTTGAAGGGTTCTTACTAATTTTAGAACCTTGTATGAACGGTTCCACCAGCTTTACTATTACATTCTTTATGACAATACATTACATATCATAAGTCCTTTCTTCGAGGGCCTAGTTATACCCTAACCCAGTTGTGATAGGAAACTCCTGGTTTTAAAGACCACATCAGGACTGCAAGTCACATTATGCTGGCTTGCAAAGTGATGTGTAATTCCTATTGGAATCCCGCAACCTGCATTGAGATTGACTGCCAGGATAGGGAAGATTGGTTAATGAGACTACCTAAACCATCTAAACTGGAACAGCCATCTCAGTAACGGGTGCAAAAAGTCCAACTACTAACAGATTGGATTAGTTTAGAAAAATGTATGTTATTTGTCTTTGTGTAGCACAACATGAATCAACCAATCAATGTGCATGCAAAAACACAGATATTGAAACAAACAGTTCTGAAAATCAACCTGCAATAGAGCATGTTGAGAAATATTCTACACAGAGTAAAAATGACACAATCACACTAAACTCTGGTTATTAACACCAACACTGCGGTTATTTTACACCACTTAGTGTTAAGTTAATTTAACTCCTGAATCAACACTATGTACACTGAAAAACAACACTAGGTAAAACTGGTCAATTTGCTGTGTACCATACAATACATTGCTGGTTCACTCATAGTCCCTTCTGTTGTCCTACTCTCTCCTCAATAAATCACAGAAAATACTCATTTGAAAGACAGAAAATCATGGCAAAGATATCAACTATATCAGGACTGTATATGTAAAATGATTAAGGTACAAGATACATGCACAAATATTCCCATATAGGTATAGTTTAAAACAGTCTACTAAAAGTTTAAACACTGAGTTAAACAGTAATGCTCAGGCACTATTTAAAAGAAAGGGTTCTTCAGATGAAAACGGTTCTTGGTAGAAACCTATCCCTCTGCAAAGAATCCTTTTGGAACCCTTTTATCTAAGAGTGGCATATCAGCAGTCAATTTGCCCATATCTTATATTTTGATAGGTGTATGAGAAACTGACCATCTGTACCCCACCGACCCTATTGGGCTACACATGGACAGGGGAAGATATGGTCAATGACCAGGGCATAGAGATACCCGCGAGAAGAAATACCAGTTTCATTAATGTCTTCATCACATTGGATCCAGCCATCTCTCTGAGTGATGACCAGATGGCAAAGGCAAATTATTTTAATGTTTAATACTGTTTAATATTAAAGAGGTACTATGTTTTAAAACCTATTTGCCTTCAACTAAAAACACTTAATTGTTATTTGATTTAGACTTTTGCAGTGGAAGATATTGATCGATAAGATTTGGAATATAATTATTTTAAATCAGCATCCATTATCTTGATGTGCTTATGTTTAATGTCATGGCTACTGTGATTGATAAGCAATTGTACAACTGTATAAGAACACACATCCATGGAAATGTACTATTTGCCCTATTCACATTTAGGATGGTGACCAGAAGCCCCTTTGGCTGGTGAGTATCAGTCCAATTTGTATTGCTTATCCTAACTGATGAGTCATCCTTTTCCATGCACTGCTGTGGCTCCTACTGAATTCTGTGTTTGTATCTGTCTCCACATAGTTTTCCACAGACGAGGATGAGGACTTGCTGGACTTGACCTATGAGTATGAGAAGCAGTGTAAGGTGGCAGCAGGCCGGGTGAAGAAGCGAGTCATAACCACAGTGATAAACAGTGAGGGGAAGTTTGTCCTGGCACACCGGTTCTTCAAGCCACTTCCTCCTCCACAGGAAGTTGTACTGGACACCCCCGACAATAGCATGTCTGTTCTAGTAAGGCTCCAACATAACTAGATCTGGGTTCAAATACTATTTGAAATCTTTCAAATACTGAGCGTTTGCTTTAGTCTGCCTGGAGTGCCAGATGGGTGGGGTTTTCCGTTTTTTAAACTTTTATAGACAAGCTCAATCAAGCCTAGCGAAAGTATTTCAAATTATTTAAAATAGTATTTGAACACAGGTCTGACTATAACATGACTATCATTAGAATGATTAAACCCATAACGTTCATGTCTAAAATATATTTGGTGTAGTTTACAGGCCCAAAAGTGAGTCATTAGCACATTAGTCAAAACATTTAGTTGAATCATTACACAAAATTGGTTTGGATGTACTAACATTTTCCAGCTAAAGACATAAACAACATGGAATCGTATGAAAGCACAGTTGTATTCATGCTTTGGAAGTTGTACTTATTTGGAGTTGTTTGGATGGAACTCAGTTAATTTGTTTATATGCATTATATTAAAGGGCAATTCCGCCACTTTTCAACCTCATATTCATCATCTCCAGCGCCAAACCAGTGTCAAAATATGTGAAAACAGCATGTTGCTATGATCTGTGGTTAAAAAGATAAGGGCCTAAAAAAATGCTTCTCTGTGACATCAAAGGGTAGGATAGATTAAAAGTAACAAATAGTGATTTTCAAAACCTGCAATGAGTTTCTAGCCCAAGGGAGGGTATTATGTTGCTCCCCATGTCACCGCGAATCTCATAGTGTTTGAAAATCTGTTTTTAAAATGTTTTAACGTTTGATGATGTCAACTTTTTAAATGTATATTTATTTCCTAAGAAAAATAGAATTGTGCCGTTTTCACATACAGTGGGGAGAACAAGTATTTGATACACTGCCGATTTTGCAGGTTTTCCTACTTACAAAGCATGTAGAGGTCTGTAATTTTTATCATAGGTACACTTCAACTGTGAGAGACGGAATCTAAAACAAACATCCAGAAAATCACATTGTATGATTTTTAAGTAATTCATTTGCATTTTATTGCATGACATAAGTATTTGATCACCTACCAACCAGAAAGAATTCTGGCTCTCACAGACCTGTTAGTTTTTCTTTAAGAAGCCCTTCTGTTCTCCACTCATTACCTGTATTAACTGCACCTGTTTGAACTCGTTACCTGTATAAAAGACACCTGTCCACACACTCAATCAAACAGACTCCAACCTCTCCACAAGGGCCAAGACCAGAGAGCTGTGTAAGGACATCAGGGATAAAATTGTAGACCTGCACAAGGCTGGGATGGGCTACAGGACAATAGGCAAGCAGCTTGGTGAGAAGGCAACAACTGTTGGCGCAATTATTAGAAAATGGAAGATGTTCAAGATGACGGTCAATCACCCTCGATCTGGGGCTCCATGCAAGATCTCAACTCGTGGGGCACCAATGATCATGAGGAAGGTGAGGGATCAGCCCAGAACTACACGGCAGGACCTGGTCAATGACCTGAAGAGAGCTGGGACTACAGTCTCAAAGAAAACCATTAGTAACACACTACGCCGTCATGGATTAAAATCCTGCAGCGCACGCAAGGTCCCCCTGCTCAAGCCAGCGCATGTCCAGGCCCGTCTGAAGTTTGCCAATGACCATCTGGATGATCCAGAGGAGGAATGGGAGAAGGTCATGTGGTCTGATGAGACAAAAATTTAGCTTTTTGGTCTAAACTCCACTCACCGTGTTTGGAGGAAGAAGAATGGATGAGTACAACCCCAAGAACACCATCCCAACTGTGAAGCATGGAGGTGAAAACATCATTCTTTGGGGATGCTTTTCTGCAAAGGGGACAGGACGACTGCACAGTATTGAGGGGAGGATGGATGGGGCCATGTATCGCGAGATCTTGGCCAACAACCTCCTTCCCTCAGTAAGAGCATTGAAGATGGGTCGTGGCTGGGTCTTCCAGCATGACAACGACCCGAAACACACAGCCAGGGCAACTAAGGAGTGCCTCCGTAAGAAGCATCTCAAGGTCCTGGAGTGGCCTAGCCAGTCTCCAGACCTGAACCCAATAGAAAATCTTTGGAGGGAGCTGAAAGTCCGTATTGCCCAGCGACAGCCCCGAAACCTGAAGGATCTGGAGAAGGTCTGTATGGAGGAGTGGGCCAAAATTCCTGCTGCAGTGTGTGCAAACCTGGTCAAGACCTACAGGAAACGTATGATCTCTGTAATTGCAAACAAAGGTTTCTGTACCAAATATTAAGTTCTGCTTTTCTGATGTATCAAATACTTATGTCATGCAATAAAATGCAAATGAATTACTTAAAAATCATACAATGTGATTTTCTGGATGTTTGTTTTAGATTCCGTCTCTCACAGTTGAAGTGTACCTATGATAAAAATTACAGACCTCTACATGCTTTGTAAGTAGGAAAACCTGCAAAATCGGCAGTGTATCAAATACTTGTTCTCCCCACTGTATGTTGACACAGGTATTGTGCTGGAGATAATGAAAATGCGGTTGGAAAGTAGTGGAGTTGCCCTTTAATTGATTTAAATAGGCATTATGTTGTGCTCTTAATTTTTTTAAAACTCTGTATAACCCAGGAGAGGGTGGCAGCCTTTGTGTCCCTGATTCCCACCTTGTCCTTCCCATCTGACGTTGGTGACAGTGGGGACATGTGGCTCACCTCAGAGGTAAACAAACAGACCATGTTGTAGAATTAACATTTTGTTTCACAGAGCCAAGAATTAAAACATCACTTATGTTCAGCAGATATTAAATACCAAGAAAAATACTAGGAATTATCAACATAGTTTGATCAGCTTGTTGTTAACCCAGTGGTGCTTTTTCATTCCTTATTGTACACCTTTGCTATACACAATAGCAATGCTTGGAGCTGGCTATGGGAAACGATGTCAGTTTGGCAGTTCTGCTGTGCAACTTCTTTCATGACCTGAAGTTGAATGGGTGGCTTCTCGTGGGAACATCTGTCATAGAGGTAACAATTGAAATGTCCTGTTTAATGTCCATTGCCTTCAAAAAGTATTCACACCCCTTGACTTTGTCCACATTTTGTTGTGTTACAAGGTGGGATTAAAATGGATTTGTCATTATTTGTCAATGATCTACACAAATTCTAACATTTGAAAAAAAAAAACACTAATATATCTTGATTACATAAGTATTCAATCCCCTGAGTCAATACATGTTAGAATCACCTTTGGCAGCGATTAAAGCGGTTAGTCTTTCTGGGTAAATCTCTAAGAGCTTTGCACACCTGGATTGTACAATATTTGCACATTATTATTTTTAATGTCAAGTTGGTTTTTGATCATTGCTAGACAGCCATTTTCAAGTCTTGCCATTGATTTTCAAGCCGATTTAAGTCAAAACTGTAACTAGGCCACTCAGGAACATTCCATGTTGTCTTGGTAAGCAACTCCAGAGTATATTTGGCCTTGTGTTTTAGGTTATTGTCCTGCTGAAAGGTGAATTTGTCTCCCAGTGTCTGTTGGAAAGCAGACTGAACCAGGTTTTCCTCTAGGATTTTGCCTGTGCTTAGCTCTATTCTGTTTATTTTTATCCTAAAAAACTACCTAGTCCTTGCCGACGACAAGCATACCCAGAACATGATGCAACCACCACCATGCTTGAAAATATGAAGAATGGTACTCAGGGATGTGTTGTGTTGGATTTGCCCCAAACCTAACGCTTTGTATTCAGGACATAAAGTTAATTTCTTTACCAAACAGGATGCATGTTTTGGAATATTTTTATTCTGTACAGGCTTCCTTCTTTTCACTCTGTCATTTAGGTTAGTATTGTGGAGTAACTACAATGTTCTTGATCCATCCTCAGTTTTCTCCTATCACAGCCACAAACTATTTTAACGTCACCATTCGCCTAATGGTAAAATCCCTGAGTGGTGTCCTTCCTCTCGGGCAACTGAGTTAGGAAGGACACCTGTATCTTTGTTGTGACTGGGTGTATTGATACACCATCCGAAGTGTAATTAATAACTTCACCATGGTCAAAGGGATATTCAATGTCTGCTTTTTAAAATGTCTACCCATCTACCAATAGGTGCCCTTCTTTGCGAAGCATTGGAAAACCTCCCTTCTCTTTGTGGTTGAATCTGCGTTTGAAATTCACTGCTCGACTGAGGGACCTTACAGATAACTGTATGTGTGGGGTACAGAGATGAGGTAGTCATTCAAAAATAATGTTAAACACACAGTGAGTCCATGCAACTTATGTGCATTGTTTAAGATGTTTTCTGTTATGTGCCCTAATGAACACGACCCTGCTCTCGTACAATGGGGAGGTTGTGATAATTTATCAAAATTAAAACTAAAAACATAATTTCACTTTGACATTATGGGGTATTGTGTGTAGGCCAGTGACACAACATCTCAACTTAATCCATTTAAAATTCAGGCTGTAATCCAACAAAATATGGAAAAAGTCAAGTGGTGTGAATACTTTCTGAAGGCACTGTATACATAAAACAACACAATGCACTCCCATCCAAATCAATGTATTTGCAAGTCAGCTGAGAAAATAGACTACACCTTTAGTGCAATGTATTTAATTGTATTCATTGAGGGCAACACAGTAGCATTCATGTTTTGTTTTTTCAGGGAGAGACCACGTATGTCCTTACTCAGGAGAACACTTGGTTTGTGTTGTGGAACCCCAGAGATGGGAAGCACTACCAGTCATACGACTCCTTCTGTCCTCTAAAGACTGTCGACTGTCTGGTCAATGGTGAAAATGTAAGCGTGGAGTCCATAGACATGGATACCCTCCGTTTAATTTGATGTATTATGTCATCCACTCAGATGTTGTGTATTTGAGTTTAGTCAAAGCAGAGGTGGTCAAATCAATAACTCCCTGTCCCAAAGTCCACTTCCCAACTGCTGTTCCTTGTCCCGGCACATGCTGTTTGTTATGCTATTGTTTACTATGCTACTGCGTTGTACCAGTTATTCAATGTTACATTTATGTAACAGTGTCATGAGACTGTGTTGTGACCTACAATCACTGTCAGTGATTGATACTGCTACATCATTATATGACCAACACGTGCATTCTATGCAAGTCTTGTTCACCAGGCGTGTGGTGCGCTAAAACTGTTGAAAATGATTATTGTCTTCAGCCGCTATCTTGACTGTCTTAAAGTTTTTAGGTGACATGTCCATTGACCATAAATGTCATGTGCTTGATCTGACTGATGTCTCTCAGGTGTGGTTCCATCTCCAACCAACAAGAAAGATGCCCATCACTTTTGACGTATCAAATAATGCCACATGGAAACCCTTATTCCCCAAAGGATTCAACTCTGACAAATCCTCAATGGTATCTTGAACTTAGTGTTTTGCTACTGTAGTGTTTTTGACAAAACATAAAATGTAAGATACGGTTCCAAACATAAGAGCCGTAGGTTTTCCTCATTGAGAATTAGTGACATCTAGTGAATAGAAGTGAAATATTTGAAAGTAGGTCATATTTGAAGAACATAACTTATTACTTATATTGAGTCAACTACGCACAGGAAATAAAACTGCCCAAGGCTAACTGTAAAATATTTCAGCCAACAGAAATTAAATACCATCCCTCTCAAATAGATCTGGTCAATCTCCTTCAAAGAAGGTATGTTAATACGATTCGATATTTAATTAAGGCTATGCATTGCTTTTATCTTAAATGAAATAATTGTCCTGTATTTCACGCTATGGTCTTATCGGTCCCATCCATTAATTAATGAATTCCATTCTTCAACACAGGATGGAGATGAAACTGAAGAGTTGTGTGATGGACTGGAGAAGCCCCCACCCTACGCGCTGGAGCCCCCGCTGTGCAGTCATGCTCTCTGAGGTCATGCAGAAGCTTGAGAGGAACCCAGCCCCTGACACACTAGAGCTAGAGATAGACAGGGTCCTGGACACCATGAAGGATTACAAGGTGAAATAGGCCCACCCGTAACGCTCTTTAATATGAAAGGGGAATCAGAGTGGATAGTGTTCATTAGGGACCAAATGGACTGAAACAGGAAGGGACTACCTGGACGTTTTCTGTTGTGTGTCCTGATGAACAACCCTGCTCTCGTACAATGGGGAGGGTGTGATGTTTGGGATTGTCCTTACATTTGATAGAAAACATGCAGGCCTTGAGATAATCAAATAGGTGGATACTGTTGTAAGACTTGCTACATGACTGATGACAGTGACCATTATTGGGTATACAATCAGAAAAAAAATATTGAAAAAGGAAGATTAACATAAAGTGTTTCCCCTACAATTTGTTTCAGCAGCAGTGGCAAAGGTAGTGGGGGAAGGTCACTTCTAGTGACATTAAAAAGGACAGTCTACTCCAAAATGAATGAAAATTGACACCATCTGAAATATAGTTTTCCCTTTAAAAGCATTATAACCTGTAGCCCAACTGATGCAGCATAGCGGCTTTAAATAAATAAGCTGAAAAAGCATGGGCTGCCCATCTGCATTTACATAATTGAAAAACTCCAATAGACTCAATGCATAAAACGCTACTTACTACAAATATTAGTTGTAATTTGACTCTGATCTTGAAAGCGCATCTTGGCAGAAATATAAAAATAAACTATGTAAAGGGAAACACTGATTAACTGTTTTTTAGGTGACTGGCTTTCCCATTCATATGGCCTACCAAGACATGAGCACAGTGATCGAGGCGGTCTACAACACCAGAATCCACAGCACTGAGATCCCTGGGACAGAGTTTGCTCTCTCCACATACATCCACCCATACCCCAACCACATCCTGTCAGTGTGGATATTCCTGGCAACACTGGTCAAACACCAGCATGGAGTGTTCTATGTTCCTTCAGTACACGAGCACTGAGACAACCTGGTTGTGTTCTTAGGCACCAAATGGAAGAAAACTGACTGAAACAGGGAGGGACTACCTGGAACCCTTTTTGGTTCGTTTTTTTGCATGCCCTAATGAACAAAACCTCTGCCTTTCAGGGTCAGCGTTTCTTAGTAGCTACTACTGTGGGAAAGGAATGCAGAATGAGTCAGACCAAGAGATAATCCACAAACCTGTACATAGTAAATTAATGGAAATACTGTACAATAAAGTTGTCCATAGATATGCCAGCAACAAAAACCTATATTTGTTAAACCCTTGATTAGCACATAATCTGGTATTCTTTCAAGTTCACAATGTGGTTTGTGAAATGTTTTAGGTAATATTTGTAGGTGTTTTGTGTTGATGGTATGCATAAAGGCTTGTAGGCCAATTGATATACATACTGCATACTTTACTGGCATAAACAGTATGCCAACAATATGATGTGTTATTAAAAATAAACCAGAAGAAAAGTACAACTGACATGCATTTTATTTAAAAGTACCATCTTAGACGTGCACAGCACTCACTGCCATTCCGCATACATAGGAAGGCGTTAACATGACACATTCCCTCCAAATTAGTGCTCGAAATACAAAACAAGAATGCAAAATATACTTACTGAATATTGCGGAGAACACTGTACAAGAGCAAAGGTGCGGGTAGCCAACATTAACATTTGAGGTAGTTTATGGCAGAGTGATGCGTGGTCCTCTATCAAACTACCATATCTTACTACAAGCTGAAAGTAATCCCTCAAGTTCAATACTGATACAAGATTCCCATTATTACTCATGGTGGAAGGGAACAGAAAGATAATATACATTCAATGCTTCTGAGGTAGCTTAGCTTAAATAAATGCAGCACAGTCTCTTGTCTATAGTGCAATTAAATTATAACTAAATGCAGAGTGTTGGGAAACCAACCCTTTGCACATGACAAACATGCTTGGTGATAACTCAATCATATTGGTTTAAAAAAAACAAAAACAAAAAAACACCTTTGGCAGGTTAGCAATTATATTGCACATTTGTGGAATCATATATTGCACATCTTACCATAGAAGAAAGTGCTTAATATCATCATAACTTCTCAATTAAAACATGCCTGGTCCTGCTAATTAGTCTAATCCAAAGAGACATCCTACCTATCCAGTCGCTCGCACTTTTACTCCTCATACTGCTCTACCTTGGAGATTCATCCATCACCTATCAAAACAAGGAGCAGCACAGGTATAGTGCATATTGACCTGGTAGGCTCTGCTTGGAATGTTAGCCTTGCCATCCAGAGCAGCAGAGATGGTCTGGGGGTGGCTGTGTGGTGGGGCACCAGGGCCCTGCAGGGTGGCAGATATGTAGGAGGCCGGGCCGTGGCCTGGGGCTAGGGAAGGCTGGAGGGCCTGCTGAGGGTACTGGATGCTGGACTGGTGCAGGTACTGAGGAGGCATGGTGGTGGTTGTCTGGCAAGGGGTATGGTACCCAGTCTGGCCCGGCTGCTGCCCGGGTGGCTGGCACGTCTGCTTGTTGGCCTCCTTCACGTCGCTGTCATGAGCACTGCCAAAGAAAGACCAAAAGTGACCTTCAAAACGACTAACCCATCAAGCCTGCAGCACATTTCTACAACCACGTTACTAAGATTATGGCAAGAGTTGACTATTCTCTCAGGTTGCATCAAGGTCATTACGCACCAAACAGACTTAAAAGAGGGGGACTCCCTGGACTTGGCTGGCCAATTTTTAAAACATAATTTTCCGTTGCGAAACGTTTTTGATAAGGTGTGCCCTAATAAAACACGGTCCCTGGTGTTAAGCAGGCAAGAGAGCCCAGCTGAGGACAGACACTCACATTAGCATTTTCTCTACACAGGGGACAAGGTGATCCCAGCTGTATGCGGTGAGGCGCTGAAGCTGAGGAGGCCAGGAAGGGGACAGGTGCAGGATGATGCGAGAAGCTGCCACACAGGCAGCTGCCACCAGTGAGGGGGCGAACCTCAGAAACGCATGATCTGGAATAATAGCAAGTCATTACTCATCACCATGTATTGCACCAGAATATTGTGCAACAAGCCTAGCTGAGTCTTTCAACTGCAGGCTTTAAGTGCAAAAGGTGACGTTATGCTCTCTTAAAATCATATTTTCAGAAGGCAAACACTGGTTCGAAAAACCTTGAAATACCAGTTATATGATTTACGAAAAAAATATGTGGATCCCCATTAGCTGTTGAAACATAGATATAAAACATGACATTAATGGACAAGCACAGCAACACAAATTAAAACTAAGTACACATCAACTAAAGAACACCACGAGAAAATAAAGAAACATTTAGAAATTAGCAACACTAAATCTCAAATGCTTTGGTATGTAGACACTTGTCTGTTGTAGCTAAATAATACAGTTACAGAATACAGTGTGGGTGTATAGATCAGGGCTCTCCAATCCTGTTCCTGGACAGCTCCTGTACAGTCGGGGTCAAACGTTTTGAGAATGACACAAATATTAATTTTCACAAAGTCAGCTGCCTCATGATGGCAATTTCCATATACTCCAGAATGTTATGAAGAGTGATCAGATGAATTGCAAAGTCCCTCTTTGCCATGTTAAATGAACTTAATCCCAAAAAAATACATTTCCACTGCATTTCAGCCCTGCCACAAAAGGACCAGCTGACATCATGTCAGTGATACTCTCGTTAACACAGGTGAGAGTGTTGACGAGGACAAGGCTGGAGATCACTCTGTCATGCTGATTGAGTTAGAATACCAGTCTGTAAGCTTTAAAAGGAGGGTGGTGCTTGAAATCATTGTTCTTCCTCTGTTAACCATGGTTACCTGCAAGGAAACACGTGCCGTCATCATTGCTTTGCACAAAAAGGGCTTCACAGGCAAGGATATTGCTGCGAGTAAGATTGCACCTAAATCAACCATTTATTGGATCATCAAGAACTTCAAGGAGAGAGGTTCAATTGTTGTGAAGAAGGCGTCAGGGCGGCGCCCAAGAAAGTCCAGCAAGAACCAGGACCATCTCCTAAAGTTGATTCAGCTGCGGGATCGGGGCACCACCAGTGCAGAGCTTGCTCTGTAATTGCAGCAGGCAGGTGTGAGTGCATCTGCATACACAGTGATGCAAATACTTTTGGAGGATGGCCTTGTGTCAAGAAGGGCAGCAAAGTAGCCACTTCTCTCCAGGAAAAACATCAGGGACAGACTGATATTCTGCAAAAGGTACAGGGATTGGACTGCTGAGGACTGGGGTAAAGTCATTTTCTCTGATGAATCCCCTTTCTGATTGTTTGGGGCATCCGGAAAACACCTTGTCCGGAGAAGACAAGGTGAGCGCTACCATCAGTCCTGTGTCATGCCAACAGTAAAGCATCCTGAGACCATTCATGTGTGGGATTGCTTCTCAGCCAAGGGAGTGGGCTCACTCACAATTTTGCCTAAGAACACAGCCATGAATAAAGAATGGTACCAACACATCCTCCGCGAGCAACTTCTTCCAACCATCCAAGAACAGTTTGGTGACGAACAATGCCTTTTCCAGCATGATGGAGCACCTTGCCATAAGGCAAAAGTGATAACTAAGTGGCTCAGGGAACAAAACATCAACATTTTGGATCCATGGCCAGGAAACTCCCCAGACCTTAATCCCATTGAGAACTTGTGGTCGATCCTCAAGAGGCAAGTGGACAAACAAAAACCCACAAATTCTGACAAACTCCAAGCATTGATTATGCAAGAATGGGCTGCCATCAGTCAGGATGTGGCCCAGAAGTTAATTGAAAGCATGCCAGGGCGGATTGCAGAGGTCTTGAAAAAGAAGGGTCAACACTGCAAATATTGCATAAACTTAATGTAATTGTCAATAAAAGCCTTTGACACTTATGGAATGCTTGTAATTATACTTCAGTATACCATAGTAACATCTGACAAAAATATCTCATAACACTGAAGCAGCGAACTTTGTGAAGACCAATACTTGTCATTCTCAAAACATTTGACCACGACTGTAGAGAGATCCTGGATGAAAACCTACTCCAGAGCACTCAGGACCTCAGAGACTAGGGTGAAAGTTAACCTTCCAACAGGACAATGACCCTAAGCACACATCCAAGACAATGCAGGAGTGGCTTCTGGACAAGTCTCTGAATGTCCTTGAGTGGCCCAGCCAGAGCCTGGACTTCAACATCTCTGGAGAGACCTGAAAATAGTTGCGCAGCAATGATCCCTATCCAACCTGACAGCACTTGAGAGGATCTGCAGAGAAAAATGGGAAGAAACTCCCCAAATACAGGTGTGCCAAGCTTGTAGTCATACCGAAGAAGACTCGAGGCTGTAATCACTGCCAAAGGTGCTTCAACAAAGTACTGAGTAAAGGGTCTGAATACCTATGTAAATGCGATATTTTGTTTTTTATTTGTAATACATTTGCTAAAATGTTTGCTTTGTCATATGGGGTATTGTGTGTAGATTGATGAGGGGAAAACATTATTTATTTAATTTTAGAATAAGGCTCTAACAAAATGTGGAAAAAGTCAAGGTGTCTGAATACTTTCCGAATGCACTGTATAAGCCTACATTTGCGCGCAGGCCAGGTAGCCTAGGCCTACTTCTGTGTAATCAGGTGTGCATCCTTACTCAAAATTGACAGGAGCCCTTCAAACAAAACACAATTAATAAATTGACAACTTGTAAATGGAATGAAATAAACAAAAACTTGTTTCTCACAATTGTTGCCTAGGTTGTGCGCACTGCAATGAGAACTGTAAAATACTAATAATATATTGAATGCATTAACAGAAATTACAGTAACCAAATAAACTTTGCAGATTAGACATGGGAATTAACGGTAACTGTATTTCTGGCCATCCCTGTGGCCTCCGCAATGGATTAGTCCACTGAGACAGGCATCAATCAAGACATGTGCCATGAAACATATTTATTTTTTATAGCAACTGCTCTACAAAAAAAAAAATGCGTCAACCAACAGCCTATCGACCAAACAATCGACTAAATGGGGTCCGCAATCATTTCCCCACCTCTCCCACACTAACTTTTGAAAATTACAATGCTTTTCTTTCATTATTAGGTATTTTATGCATGAATATGATGGCTCAGTTTGTTGGCATTTATTTCATGCCTAATTTTGCCAATGAAATCGCTAAATAATTAAATGTTAAAATAATTGCCAATGTCTAAAGGATTTGTGATGAATAAGCCATCTGATTCAATGAAAGATGGAGTTGAATTTGTCTTTCTGCCCATAATTTCATTTAAAGTACTCCAAAGGTTTTTTCAATCATACATCCATCATTTAATGTATCTTGGTTTCTTAAATACAATTTATTATTGTTGTTGAGTTTAGTCACAATTTCTCAATTTACAATGTCTGCCAATCAGATGTGGAGACATCCTTACTTGGCTCTACTTTGCATAATTTCTCTCAACAATACAGCTTTTAAATTCCTCAACAATCCAGGGGGGTTTAACAGTTTTAGCATTCCGTTTCTTAATAGGTGCATGCTTATTGATAACTGGAAGAAACTATTTCATAACTGCATCAACTGCAGCATCTGGATGCTCCTCATTACACACATCAAACCAACAAATCTTCAACATAGGAATCACTAGAACATCTTCTGTATGATCTCTTACACACTATTTTAGGCCCAGCCTTTGGAACCTTGGCTTTTCTGGATATAGCCACTACATCCAATGGGTGTGGATACAGCTTTAGAACAAAGTGCTGCTTGATGAAAACCAGTAATCAGGTCACCCAGAAAATAGACCTCTATTAGCATCACACATTATCAAGCATGTCACACATACAGTTGAAGTCGGAAGTTTACACACACTTAGGTTGGAGTCATTAAAACTAGTTTTTCAACCAATATACACATTTCCTGTTAACAAACTATAGTTTTGGCAAGTCGGTTAGGACATCTACTTTATGCATGACAAGTAATTTTTCCAACAATTGATACAGACAGATTATTTCACTGTATCACAATTCCAGTGGGTCAGAAGTTTACATACACTAAGTTGACTGTGCCATTAAACAGCTTGGAAAAGTCCAGAAAATGATGTCATGGCTTTAGAAGCTTCTGATAGGCTAATTTACATCATTTGAGTCAATTGGAGGTGTACCTGTGGATGTATTTCAAGGCCTACCTTCAAACTCAGTGCCTCTTTGCTTGACATCACGGGAAAATCAAAAGAAATCAGCCAAGACCTCAGAAAAAAAATTGTAGACCTCCACAAGTCTGGTTCATCCTTGGGAGCAATTCATCCGTACAAACAATAGTACGCAAGTATAAACACCATGGGACCACGCAGCCGTCATACCGCTCAGGAAGGAGACGCGTTCTGTCTCCTAGAGATTAACGTACTTTGGTGCGAAAAGTGCAAATCAATCCCAGAACAACAGCAAAGGACCTTGTGAAGATGCTGAAGTACAAAAGTATCTATATCCACAGTAAAACGAGTCCTATATTGACATAACCTGAAAGGCCACTCAGCAAGGAAGAAGCCACTGCTCCAAAACCACCATAACAAAGCCAGACTACGGTTTGCAACTGCACATGGTGACAAAGATTGTACTTTTTGGAGAAATGTCCTTTGGTCTGATGAAACAAAAATATAACTGCTTGCCGATAATGACCGTCGTTATGTTTGGAGGAAAAGGGGGTAATCAAATCAAATTTTATTGGCCACATGCGCCGAATACAACATGTGTAGACATTACAGTGAAATGCTTACTTACAGCCCTTAACCAACAATGCATTAATTTTTTTAAACAAAAGTAAAATAAAACAAAAAAAGTGTTGAGAAAAAAAAGAGCAGAAGTAAAATAAAATAACTGTAGGGAGGCTATATACAGGGGGGTACCGGTGCAGAGTCAATGTGTGGGGGCACCGGCTAGTTGAGGTAATATGTACATGGGTAGAGTTAAAGTGACTATGCATGAATAATTAACAGTAAAAGATGGGGTGGGGTTAGGGGGGCAGTGCAAATAGTCCGGGTAGCCATGATTAGCTGTTCAGGAGTCTTATGGCTTGGGGGTAGAAGCTGTTGAGAAGTCTTTTGGACCTAGACTTGGCACTCCGGTACCGCTTGCCGTGCGGTAGCAGAGAGAACAGTCTATGACTAGGGTGGCTGGAGTCTTTGACAATTTTGAGGGCCTTCCTCTGACACCGCCTGGTATAGAGGTCCTGGATGGCAGGAAGCTTGGCCCCAGTGATGTACTGGGCCATACGCACTACCCTCTGTAGTGCCTTGCGGTCGGAGGCCGAGCAGTTGCCATACCAGGCGGTGATGCAACCAGTCAGGATGCTCTCGATGGTGCAGCAGTATAACTTTTTGAGGATCTGAGGACCCATGCCAAATCTTTTCAGTCTCCTGAGGGGGAATAGGCTTTGTCGTGACCTCTTCACGACTGTCTTGGAGTGTTTGGACCATGAAAGTTCGTTGGTGATGTGGACACCAAGGAACTTGAAGCGCTCAACCTGTTCCACTACAGCCCTGTCGATGAGAATGGGGGTGTGCTCAGTCCTCTTTTTTTCCCCTGTAGTCCACAATAATCTCCTTTGTCTTGGTCACATTGAGGGAGAGGTTGTTATCCTGGCACCACACGGCCAGGTCTCTGAGCTCCTCCCTATATGCTGTCTCATCGTTGTCGGTGATCAGGCCTACCACTGTTGTGTCGTCGGCAAACTTAATGATGGTGTTGGAGTCGTGCCTGGCCATGCAGTCATGGGTGAACAGGGAGTACAGGAGGGGACTGAGCACGCATCCCTGAGGGGCCCCCGTGTTGAGGATCAGTGTGGCAGATGTGTTGTTACCTACCCTTACCACCTGGGGGCGGCCCGTCAGGAAGTCCAGGATCCAGTTGCAGAGGGAGGTGTTTAGTCCCAGGATCCTTAGCTTAGTGATGAGCTTTTGAGGGCACTATGGTGTTGAATGCTGAGCTGTAGTCAATGAAAGGCATTCTCACGTAGGTGTTCCTCTTGTCCAGGTGGGAAAGGGCAGTGTGGAGTGCAATAGAGATTGCATCATCTGTGGATCTGTTGGGGCGGTATGCAAATTGAGCGGGGTCTAGGGTTTCTGGGATAATGGTGTTGATGTGAGCCATGACCAGCCTTTCAAAGCACTTCATGGCAACAGACGTCAGTGCTACGGGTCGGTAGTCATTTAGGCAGGTTATCTTAGTGTCCTTGGGCACAGGGACTATGGTGGTCTGCTTGAAACATGTTGGTATTATAGACTCAGTCAGGGACATGTTGAAAATCTCAGTGAAGACACTTACCAGTTGGTCAGCACATGCTCTGAGTACACGTCCTGGTAATCCGTCTGGCCCTGCGGCCTTGTGAATGTTGACCTGCTTAAAAGTCTTACTCACATTGGCTACGGAGAGCGTGATTTCATAGTCATCCGGAACAGCTGGTGCTCTCATGCATGCTTCAGTGTTGCTTGCCTCAAAGCGAGCATAGAAGTGGTTTAGCTCGTCTGGAAGTCTGGTGTCACTGGGCAGCTCGCGGCTGTGCTTCCCTTTGTAACTTGCAAGCTGAAGAAAACCATCCCAACCGTGAAGCACAGGGGTGGCAGCATCATGCTGTGGGGGTGCTTTGCTGCAGGAGGGACTGGTGCACTTCACAAAATAGATGGCATTATGAGGAAGGACATTTATGTGGATATATTGAAGCAACATCTCAAGACATCAGTCAGGAAGTTAAAGCTTGGTCGCATATGGGTCTTCCAAATGGACAATGACCCCAAGCATACTTCCAAAGTTGTGCCAAATGGCTTAAGGACAACAAAGTCAAGGTATTGGAGTGGCCATCACACAGCCCTGACCTCAATCCTATAGAAAATGTGTGGGAAGAACTGAAAAAGCGTGTGCGGCAAGGAGGCCTACAAACCTGGACTCAGTTACACCAGCCCTGTCAGGAGGAATTGGCCAAAATCACCCAACATATGTGGGAAGCTTGTGGAGGCTACCCAAAACAGTTTGTACCCAATTTAATAAACAATTGAAATGCCAAAATGCTACCACATACTTGGCTACACCGTGTTAACAGCTGAGCTACGAGGATGTATGTAAACTCTGACCCATTGGGAATGTCTTGAAATAAATAAAAGCTGAAATAAATCACTCTCTACTATTATTCTGACATTTCAAATTCTTAAAATAAAGTGGTGATCCTAACTGACCTAAGACAGGAAATGTTTACTAGTTTGAGTTTAAATGTATTTGGCTAAGGTGTATGTAAACTTCCGACTTCAACTGTATTATCCAGATACTGACTTAACACTTGGTGGCCTAGAGCAGCACCCTAAAAGAAAACGTTAGATGAGGCAGAGGTGAACCTGCAACCATAACACTTCAACAACAGTAGACATGAGATCCTCGCTAACCTTTACAGGAATATGGCTCGGAATATATGCAGCAACACCTCCTCCATAGACATTCCTGTCTCTTCTGTAGATGTTATATCCCTGTATTGCTACTGCTGTATCAAATGAATTATCTAAGTGAAGCAGCAACATAACTTCCACTTGCCTTGAAGGGAGACCTCCAGGAAGTAGTCAGCATACTTTGTCATGTAGAGCACAGTCTTCTCCAGGCATGCCATGGGCCAGCCATCATGGAGGTCTGCGTCGTTGACAGCGATGGACAGGTAGTACTCTATGAAGTGTGCAGCTGTGGGCAGGTACAAGTTCCACTGGAAGGTCTCCAGCAGGAGGAGCTCCATGTGCAGCAGTCCCTGCTTGGTAAGCACCAGGTTCATGGAGCTCATGCAGCCCAGGCTGTTAAGAGTCTCCAGCTTAGGAACCCGGTCCTCTCTCTCCTCAAACTTACCTGCAGAGGGGGGGGAAATAATCACATTATGAGTTTATAGGCTAGGTGGGCCACAGCAATTGGAAGTTTGGCCAAGCAGAGGCTTGCAAGGAAGCAGTCAAACTTACTAGCCAAAAGCAAGCAGGAGAGTGCGACCATGTGAAGCTGTTGCACCGTTATATCATAGCGGTCCATGAAAAGGTCCAGCAAGTAGACGGCAAGGTGTCTGGCTGCTGGGCACAGCCGGTAGCGATTGCTTACGATAGCTATGAGGTCTGCAAAGTAGCGCCTGAGGTTGAGCTGGGGGGACTGGCCTTTGTAGGAGGGCAACTTGATTTCCTGAAAAAAAGTGCATGTCATGTTACGTTATAAGATATGTAATCTTGGACACCCAGATCTAAAATCCTGCGTAATTGCTTCAGATGCTCTATTAAAAAGGTCTGGGGGGGGATGTATGAGAAAGGATACTGAACAAGACTAGTGAAGTCCCCACCTCCCTAAATAGAAACTCTCAGACAGTTTCAGGTAAGTCTATGGGCCAGATGTCCCCTCCCCTTCAAACATTCCAAAGATGCAAGCACCTACGAAATCGTGACTGTCCAAATGATCAGTGACGAAAAATCAGGGCACCGGAACCAAGTTTCTTGTTAGTCGTCGCATCCAACAGTCTGTTGAGACGCTCCGATACCATTTATGTTACGTTCTGTCCACGAGAGATTATGTCCGCATTTTTAACTGTTGGAATCATATAAATAAAATGTGTATTGCGATTCACTTTCGTCTGCACCTCCCTCGACTTCACTCCTCAACTTTTGTCTGCAGTCGGTTGCTTTAGCCTTACCACTCAAACGTGCCCAATATCAAATAATTTCTAAGTAGCAATTAAGCACCTTACTGTGATCGTTTTCAATTAAAATGGTCAAAAATAAACAAATTCCTTCTTAGTAGTGTTGCACAGTATACCGAAACTTCTGTACTTTTTCGATACTAGAACATGAAAAACTGTTAGATATTAGAATGAGTTACTTTCGTTACTTCTGCCAAATGTGTCCCCTTATAGCGCGAGTGCACCATTCATGCCTGTCGCCTGCTCCACTTACTCATTGCTAGAGCACTGGGAGTCTAGACTGCAACATGTTAGCTCCTCACTCATTCTGCATAGAAGTTGCTGATTGTCACCAGAAACTTTATTAATTCACTTAAAAGCTGCAATATGTAAATGTTTGGGCGACCTGACCAAATTCCAATAGAAATGTGACAGATCTCTCATTGAAAGCTAGTCTAAGAAGCGGTAGATCTGTTCTACGTGCGCTATTTCTATGCTTCCCGTTCTTAAGTTTAGTTTTTGCGTCTTACTTTCAGTTTTGTACAACAGCTTCAAAAAAGTGAAAATATAATAGTTTTTGGTTATTGAAAATATCTATTTCACAGCAGTTAAGATGGTACAATAATTCTCTACACTATATATTACTTGTTTTTTCATCAACTGAAATTAGGAGAACTTAGAATTTTAGCAACCAGGAAATGGCTTTGCAATTTCTGCATATTGCACTATTAAATCGTCTCTCCATCACATTCAACGATTACAGAGGTATAATAAGAACTGGAGACTGTGTCCAAGATGTCCACCCATTGTTTTCAATGTAATCTACTCACGTTTGCATTCGCTGATTCATGGACCATCTATATCTGGTTTGCATCCGGTTTATACAGACCAACATCACATGCATCTTAGCCCTTGGTGCGCACAGGGAGCAGAGCGAGCAGCGACAAGTCATCACTTAATCCAAAAACAGACTTTGGATGAATATAAACAAAAAATATATAAACGCAACAATTTCAAAGATTTTACTGAGTTTCAGTTCATTTAAGGAAATCAATCAATTGAAATAAATTGTCTGTGTGAAGTTGCTGGATATTGGCCGGAACTGGAACATGCTGTCGTACGCGGCGATCCAGAGCATCCCAAACATGCTCAATGGGTAACATCTGGTGAGTATGCAGGCCATGAAGAACTGGGACATTTTCAGCTTCCAGCAATTGTGTACAGATCCTTGCATTATCATGCTGAAACATGAGGTGATGGCGGCGGATGAATGGCACGACAATGGGCCTCAGGATCTCGTCAAGGTATCTCTGTATTGAAATTGCCATCAATAAAACGCAATCGTGTTTGTTGTCCATAGCTTATGCCTGCCCATACCATGACCCCATTGCCACCGTGGGGCACTCTGTTCACAACGTTGACATCAGCAAACCGCTCGCCCACACAACACCATAACATGCTGTCTGCCATCTGCCAGGTACAGTTGAAACCGGGATTCATTCGTGAAGAGCACACTTCTCCAGCGTGCTAGTGGCCATCGAAGGTCAGCATTTGCCCACTGAAGTCGGTTACGACGCCGAACTGCAGTCAGGTCAAGACCCTGGTGAGGATGACATCATTACTGGGTTTTATAAAAAGTAGAGACTGCTACTTCACCGCAAATGTTGTTGTTGATCAGTTACAATAAAATAAGTCCCAAATGGAAGGGAAACAGATTGTCATCTATAGCCACATGAAATCAGCGAAAACAAGCTCAATAATCCAATGCATGCACACACACTCCTATTGAATATGCATTGACTTGTATTGTGAATAGGCCACCTAGACTACATCTTGATTTACCTAGTTTATCAATAGAGATTTACCATTCAAATACATTATTACCATTGTTATGTAATTAGATTGTTTTTACTAAAGTCTAATTAATTGTATGATTGTATATTTGCTTAATTAATGCATACAGGACTGTCTCTGAAAAATTGACATCAAATTTAAAATGTAGTGATATTGAATTCAAAAGATGTCCAACGATTGAACAGAGCAGTAGCTGAGTTTTGTCTGGATTAAGTGCCATTCTGTGACTTAGTATAATACTCATTTTTTTGCCGTGGTATCGAGTATCGTGATACTAAACCTGGTATTGAAGTCAAAATTCTGGTATCGTGACAACACTACTTTACATTTGATATTTTAGCCATTTAGCAAACGCTCTTATCTTAAGCTAGCTAGGTGGAATAACCACATCACAGTCATAATAAGTGCATTTTTCTAGGAGAGGGTGAGGAGGGGGTGTGAAGGGGGTTGCTGTGAGATTTCTCAAGCAAGAATTTTGCTAAGACTGTTTGGGAGTGGTCTGAGTGGGGACGGGAAAACTGAAAACTAGCTGTTATTGGCAGAGGTTAGGAATTGTCTTATTTGTCTATTAACTAATTTACTCCCTGGTGATGTCACAGAGGTCTTTTCAAACAGCTCTTACACAAAAAGGGCATTAACATAACTTTCACAATTTCACAGTATTATTCCAACCTCAGCGTGGGATGTGGATATATATACACAGTTGAAGTCGGAAGTTTACATACACTTAGGTCGGAGTCATTAAAACTTGTTTTTCAACCACTCCACAAATGTCTGTTTAACAAACTATAGTTTTGGCAAGTCGGATAGGAAATCTACTTTATGCATGACACAAGTAATTTTTCCAACAATTGTTTACAGACAGATTATTTCACAATTCCACTGGGTCAGAAGCTTACATACAAAGTTGACTGTGCCTTTAAACAGCTTGGAAAATTCCAGAAAATGATGTCCTGGCTTTTGAAGCTTCTGATAGGCTAATTGACATCATTTGAGTCAATTGGAGGTGTACCTGTGGATGTATTTCAAGGCCTACCTTCAAACTCAGTGCCTCTTTGCTTGCCATCATGGGAAAACCAAAATAAATCAGCCAAGACCTCAGAAAAAAATGTGTAGACCTCCACAAGTCTGGTTCATCCTTGGGAGCAATTCATCCGTACAAACAATAGTACGCAAGTATAAACCATAGGACCACGCAGCCGTCATACCACTCAGGAAGGAGACGCGTTCTGTCTCCTAGAGATTAACGTACTTTGGTGCGAAAAGTGCAAATCAATCCCAGAACAACAGCAACGGACCTTGTGAAGATGTTGAAGGAAACAGGTACAAAAGTATCTATATCCACAGTAAAACGAGTCCTATATCGATATAACCTGAAAGGCCGCTTAACAAGGAAGAAGCCATTGCTCCAAAACCGCCATTAAAAAAGCCAGACTACGGTTGCACATGGGCACAAAGATCGTACTTTTTGGAGAATTGTCCTCTGGTCTGATGAAACAAAAATAGAACTGTTTGGCTATAATGACCATAGTTATGTTTGGAGGAAAAAGGGGGTAACTTGCAAGCCGAAGAACACCATCCCAACCGCAAGCACGGGGGTGGCAGCATCATGCTGTGGTGGTGCTTTGCTGCAGGAGGGACTGGTGCACTTCACAAAATAGATGGCATCATGAGGAAGGAAAATGATGTGGATATATTGAAGCAACATCTCAAGACATCAGTCAGGAAGTTAAAGATTGGTCGCAAATGGGTCTTCCAAATGGACAATGACCCCAAGCATACTTCCAAAGCTGTGGCAAAATGGCTTAAGGACAACAAAGTCAAGGTATTGGAGTGGCCATCACAAAGCCCTGACCTCAATCCTATAGAAAATGTGTGGGAAGAACTGAGAAAGCGTGTGCGAGCAAGGAGGCCTACAAACCTGACTCAGTTACACCAGCTCTGTCAGGAGGAATGGGCCAAAATTCACCCAACTTATTGTGGGAAGCTTGTGGAAGACTACCTGAAACATTTGACCCAAGTTAAACAATTTAAAGGCAATACACTCAATTAGTATTTTGTAGCATGTAAACTTCTGACCCACTGTGAATGTGATGTAAGAAATAAAAGCTGAAATAAATAATTCTCTACTATTATTCTGACATTTCACATTCTTAAAATAAAGTGGTGATCCTAATGGACCTAAAACAGGGAATTTTTACTAGGATTAAATGTCAGGAATTGTGAAAAACTGAGTTTAAATGTATTTGACTAAGGTGTATGTAAACTTCCGACTTCAACTGTGTGTGTGTGTGTATATATATATATATATATATATATACATACACACAACAAAGGCCTGTGTTAATAGAATATATCAGGTCACCAGCTCTCACTTTGGGAATATTACACTAATGTAGGCAGTTATTGCCTCCACTTTGAAATATGACAGCATACTTACTTTGTAGCGCAGAGCCTGGTATATATCTCCAGCAAGTTGTCCTTTCCACCATTGGCCCTCAAGCTCCATTTAATCGAACTTGTAGGAATTTCTTGAGGCACAAATTGTACAGTCTAAAGATGGTAATCTCAAAACTTATGACAACAGTTGAATATTCTGCATAGCTGAAATTCCAGCAGTGAACAAAGATTGTCTTATTTTCCCTCCGCATTTTCAATGAAAAGGTCAAGTACAGCCATTGTCATCTCAATATCAAATAATTTCTAGGTAACAATGAAGTACCTTACTGTGATTGTTGTCAATTAAAAAATGGTCCAAAAAAAAAACTAAAATACCTTCTTAGCAAAGAGCTATTTTTTCAAGGAATACATTTTGCTAAGGACAATCAGGGAGTGGTCTGAGTGGCGAGGGGAAAACTGAAAACTAGCTGTTATTGGCAGAGATGTTTGGAATTCTCTCTTATTGGTCTATTAACTAATTTACCAGGCAGGACAAAACTCCATCCCAACCAAAACAGTCTTTCAAAAACAACTCGTACATTATCATAATTTGCACAATTTCATAGCAACATTCCAACCTCAGTGAAGAAATATATATAAAACACAGGAAAATCACATTTCACTGCACTGGGCCTTTAAGAGAAATTAAGGTTAGAAAACGCTAATATTAGCCAAACCTATAGTAGCTATTCAGCAATTCAGGACACACTCACCAAGCCAATTAATGACCTGGCGGCCGTAACAGTGTAGACAAAACCGCTGTGTGTAACATGAGATCATTTGTGCAAACGCAACTACGGAGGAAGTAATATACTAACTGCTACAAATTCACACACATTTGACAAACCTCAACATTGATTTCAAGATGATCAGCTTGAGGTGACTATTGGCTACTATCCTACATTAAAATGACGTGTTGAGTCAAATAGCTATTTAACATACGGCCAAAAGTTTCAGACAAACCAATCCCCAACGACTCCAGACTTACCCCTACACGCCACACTTAAAAGCGTAGTACAACTATAAAGCTGACTTTTGCTCAAGAAACTCGATATAGCCGTGAGTTTTCCAGTTGACATAAAGTTATGATTCTTCCATTGTTGAAGATACTCGAGTCAGTCGATGGCAGCTCAGCTCAGGCATGCGAGCAGTCCCAAGAGTGGTGCTGCAATGGGAACTCATGATAAAACGTTCTCAAAGCACTGCTGCCAATTGAAACTCACCTTACACACCAGAGACATCCAATCACTGGCCGGGATTCATAGACGTCAACAGGGATAACGTTTTGGTCACGGTTAGTGCAATCCGGGATTCCTTGGAACGTCCATACCTAACCTTAACCCTTAACCTAACCTTAACCATAACCTAACCCTTACCTAACCCTAAAATGAACCCTTACCTTAACCATTTTACATTTCAACTTCAATGGGGTAGGGACCTCCCAAGGATCTGTGATAGGATGGGCCTTTTGGTCACAACTGAGTCAGAAATTGCGGGAAGAAACCCCTAAATAACGGATCATGTCTGCGAAATAACTCACATTATTGTGAATTAGAATCAGATCTGGAAATAATTATTTTTCTGGAATTACCTAACGTTTTCACTATATCTTTTACTAACCTGATATAATTATGAAATTCCTTCTAATACAACGTAGCCTTTAATATTTCTATAACTCTTACTCTAAAGTAGGCGGTGCAAGTTATTTTGAATAAAGAAAGCTACCCCATGAGTATAATCTGCTATTACATCAGAACAGGACATTTTTCCTGTTCTTTTTTCCATTTCAGAATAAATAAACTTAATGTGTGAAATGAATGGCTAGAAAGTAATGTATACTGAACAAAAATATAAAAGCAACATGCAACAACTTCAAAGATTCGAATGAATTACAGTTCATATAAGGAAATATGTCAATTGAAATGCATTCATTAGGCCCTAATTTATGGATTTCACATGACTGGGAATAAAAATACAGTATGCATCTGTTGGTCACAGAAATTAAAAGATAGGGGCGTGGATCAGAAAACCAGTCAGTATCTGGTGTGACCACCATTTGCCTCATGCAGCGTGACACATCTCCTTCACATAGAGTTGATCAGGCTGTTGATTGTGGCCTGTGGAATGTAGTCCCACTCTTTTTCAATGGCTGTGCGAAGTTGCTGGATATTGGAACGTGCTGTCGTTACACGTCAATCCAGTGCATCCTGAACATGCTCAATGGGTGATATGTCTGGTGAGTATGCAGGCCATGGAAGAACTGGGACATTTTCAGCTGCATGCTGAAAATGCTGAAACATGAAACATGAGGTGATGGCGGCAGATGAATGGCACGACAATGGGCCTCAGGATCTCATCACGGTATCTCTGTGCATTCAAATTGCCATCGATAAAATGCAATTGTGTTCATTGTCCGTAGCTTTTGCCTGCCTATAACATAACCCCACCTCCACCATGGGGCACTCTGTTCACATCAGCAAACCGCTCGCCCACACAACGCCAACGTCTGCATTTGTGAGGCCGGTTGGACATACTGACAAATTCTCTAAAACGACGTTGGAGGTGGCTTATGGTAGAGAAATTAACATTAAATTATCTGGCAACAGCTCTGATGGACATTTGTGCAGTCAGCATGCCAATTGCACGTTCCCTCAAAACTGGAGACATCTGTGGTATTGTGTTGTGTGACAAAACTGCACATTTTAATGGCCTTTTATTGTCCCCAGCACAAGGTGCACCTGTGTAATGATCATGCTGTTTAATAAGCTTCTTGACATGCCACACCTGTCAGGTGGATGGATTATCTTGGCAAATGAGAAATGCTCACTAATAGGGATGTAAACAAATTTGTGCACAAAATCTGAGAGAAATAAGCTTTTTGTGCACAAAATCTGAGAGAAATAAGCTTTTTGTGCGTATGGAAAATTTCTGGGATCTTTTATTTCAGCTCATGAAACATGGGACCAACACTTTACATGTTGCGTTTTATATTTTTCTTCAGTATAGTAATCCACCCAAAACAGTAAACATGCATTGATAATAACCAATGATAGGTGGCGACATCAACCACTTATGAGCATTTAGTGCTTTTTACTTCCAAAAAAACAGATGAAGATTGTCTCCCACAATGATTTGCTTCCGACTTCAAGTTGCAGTTGGTGAGGAGCAAAAATATCAAGTCGACAGCATTCAAAAGTTCATGACCTTAGATCACATGGTTGTTGTAAAGGTCATTCAGTGGACACATAGTCGCAAGTCTGAACATTTTTATACCCATAATGCAACAAACTTTGAAAGGTGGTAACCAACGTTGGTCAACGTCTTGACAAAAGTGATCCTCTCGAACACGCCCGTTGTAAATTCATGTCTCCCATTCAAATACAAAAAAGCTAACAACCGGAGTTGCTTCAGCTGGAAGGCCTAAGAGTGTTTGTCACTTGTGTACATTGGAGCAGATATGTAGTGTCCTACGTTCATGATCTGGTGGATTTACAAAGCAGTATAGGAGGAATCAGTTTAGGCTTAGGTCAGAACCAGACACCTCTTAGTGTGCATCGTGCAGTGTTGGAGAGCGACTCTCCATTTGAGCTGATCTGTAATCATGACCCGCTAGCACCTCCCCCGTTCAGAGGGGAATGAGGCAACCTCACAGAGTTACACACAAGGATACTTTATTTACATACAACAGACATCGAATGGAAATGGTGGGAATGGTAGTGTTTTTTAAACATGCCCAGCACACCATCCCACAGAGATATGATTGAGATATTACTGTGTAGGACAGAGGTGAGCTTTGCTATTCTCTCTGCCACTGCTTGGAGGAGACTGCAGAGATCTGAGTGTGACCATAGAGATCCTGTTACTTGTTAAATTTACAACTTATCTAAGTACTTGTTGCATTAACAACTTGTCTAAATCCTATCATCAAACGAGTTCAGCCAGTGTTGGCTGTGGATTGACTGCATTGTTTGAATGGAATGTTGGCATATTGGCAGTTAATTCGAAAAATGTATGGAATCGTTCATCTAAAACTGTCTGGCTAGACCACTCCAGGACCTTAATGTGCATATTCTTGAGCCACTCCTTTGTTGCCTTGGCCGTGTGTTTTGGGTCATTGTCATGCTGGAATACCCATCCACGACCCATTTTCAATGCCCTGGCTGAGGGAAGGAGGTTCTCACCCAAGATTTGACAGTACATGGCCCCGTCCATCGTCCCTTTGATGCGGTGAAGTTGTCCTGTCCCCTTAGCAGAAAAACACCCCCAAAGCATAATGTTTCCACCTCCATGTTTGACGGTGGGGATGGTGTTCTTGGGGTCATAGGCAGCATTTCCTCCTCCTCCAAACACGACGAGTTGAGTTGATGCCAAAGAGCTCGATTTTGGTCTCATCTGACCACAACACTTTCACCCAGTTCTCCTCTGAATCATTCAAATGTTCATGGGCAAACTTCAGACGGGTCTGTATATGTGCTTTCTTGAGCAGGGGGACCTTGCGGGCGCTGCAGAATTTCAGTCCTTCACGGCGTAGTGTGTTACCGCAGAATTTCAGTCCTTCACGGCGTAGTGTGTTACCAATTGTTTTCTTGGTGACTATGGTCCCAGCTGCCTTGAGATCATTGACAAGATCCTCCCGTGTAGTTCTGGGCTGATTCCTCACCGTTCTCATGATCATTGCAACTCCACGAGGTGAGATCTTGCATGGAGCCCCAGGCCGAGGGAGATTGACAGTTATTTTGTGTTTCTTCCATTTGCGAATAATCGCACCAACTGTTGTCACCTTCTCACCAAGCTGCTTGGCGATGGTCTTGTAGCCCATTCCAGCCTTGTGTAGGTCTACAATCTTGTCCCTGACATCCTTGGAGAGCTCTTTGGTCTTGGCCATGGTGGAGAGTTTGGAATCTGATTGATTGCTTCTGTGGACAGGTGTCTTTTATACAGGTAACAAGCTGAGATTAGGATCACTCCCTTTAAGAGTGTGCTCCTAATCTCAGCTCGTTACCTGTATAAAAGACACCTGGGAGCCAGAAATCTTTCTGATTGAGAGGGGGTCAAATACTTATTTCCCTC